GGCGGGTTCAAAAGTTGTGATGGGTGCTCGACCAGACGCAGATAGCCAATTCACTATCGGGGACAAGCGCGAAAACGTTAAAGTGCGGGAGCAGTGGCCACCACGGTTCGCCCAAGCAAGTCCGCAAAGCCAAAAATTCTCCTGAGATTTCCGCTGGGGTGAGTTGTCCCCTAAAACTGCCTAATCTCCAAAGCATCGCCACTTTCCGGCAATCGACCTGGATCATGATGCTTAGCCAGCCAATCGCAGCACGTGCCATCAACCGTGTTCTTGCCATGTATCTTCGGCCAGTCCCAAGTGCTCATCCCCCCTTGGTGTGTGGGCAGACACGAATTGACACAGACCGGACTCTGGTGTTTTGGCACCGCTTGGTCCGCCCACTACCGACTGAGATTTTAAAGTCCGCAACTGTCATCTGCCAACATGTTGGCAGCACAGATCGTGCTGGGCGAGCATCCGGGACCCTCATGCGGATGACGTTTCCGGGGCATGTCCGAGCTGGATGGAGCCACTGGTAAATCAAACCGTCATTGACCACACCGAGTTTACCAGTCTGCCACGCCGCTTGCGTGTTATCTATTCAGTTACGAGCGACTGTTACTCCATACTCACACGGCGCAGGCAGAACTTACAGCGCCATGGGCACATGGCTAGAGGGATTGGATGGGATTGCAGGACGGGACATGTTGAAATCTACTCTGGTCCGCGGTTCAGGATCATGCCAGCCCCTGAATGCAAGGCTGCAACACCTGATGCTGATGCCAATTGCCTTGCTGATGCCACTGTGTTCTTTAGTCTGCTGCGTTCAGGTTGATGCTATTTATGCCCTAAGCTGCGTGGAACCCGCATGGATTTACTCCGTATCCAGTACTGTGTAGAGACCTGACACAAGTGAGGGTGAAGGGTTAGTTGGTGGGGAGATCGTCCCCTGCCAAGACCCTGCGCCGCGTCCGCAAGTGTGAAGCGGCCGTCAACTTTTTCTGGCGGTGCGGATTCTGTTAAGAGGTCTGCGGTGTTAAAACACTCGGCTTGCTCACCACGTTCCTCTGTAAATATTCAGCATCACCAGTCGGTGTTGCGCAGACGGTCGGCTGCGCCCTACTCTGTCTTCTCATTCATTGACTGCATTGCATCCAGAAAGCTTGCCCAGAATGCCTGACATGTATGCGCCTCGTCGAAATCCACCCCTCACCGCAACTAACATTGATCCTACAGTTCAGTCGATATCCTGGTAATTGGCGCTGGCCCAACTGGTTTGGGCGCTGCGAAAAGACTCAACCAAATTGTGTGTGCCTCATGCGCCGACTGAGATCCAGTAACTAACCAGTTTTCAGAATGGACCCTCGTGGATGATCGTCGACTCGAATGAGACTCCCGGAGGTCTTGCGTCTACCGACGTGACCAAGGAAGGATTTGTGTGTGCCGTTATCCTCGAAAACCCCTGTTGGCATGGCTAATTGCAATTCAGCTGTACGATGTCGGCGGTCACGTCATCTTCTCCCACTACAAGTATTTCGACGATTGCATCGACGAGGCCCTCCCGAGCGAAGACGACTGGTATACACATCAGAGAATATCCTACGTCCGCTGCAAAGGGCTATGGGTGCCATATCCCTTCCAGAACAATATCTCGATGCTGCCCAAGGAGGACCAAGTGGTATGCATGGACGGCTTGATCGATGCTGCCATGGAAGCAAGAGTAGCAAACACAAAGCCCAAAAACTTCGACGAATGGCTTGTGCGGAACCAAGGCGTTGGTCTCTGCGACCTCTTCATGAGACCTTACAATTTCAAGGTTTGGGCTGTACCAACCACGAAGGTGAGTCGACTCGGGAAATTGGCTATACCGCGTCTCTGATTAATGGCACAGATGCAAGCTGAATGGATGGGCGAACGTGTAGCTGCTCCGAACCTGAAGGCCGTGACCAAAAATGTTATTCTAAACAAGGTTGCTGGCAACTGGGGCCCCAACGCTACCTTCAGATTCCCTGCGCGGGATGGTACTGGTGGCATCTGGATCGCCGTGGCGAAGACCCTTCCAGACGAGAAGAAGCGCTTCGGTAAGAAGGGAACCGTCAAGGCAGTCGATGCGGACAAACAGCAGGTGCTCATGGAGGATGGCACCACTATCCGCTACGAACGACTCGTCAGCACCATGGCCATCGACTCCTTAGCCGAAGCCATGCAGGATGAAAAACTCATCGGCCTCTCTAAAGATCTCTTCTACAGCAGCACCCACGTCATTGGCGTGGGTATCAGAGGTTCGCGGCCTGAGCGGATTGGCGACAAATGCTGGCTCTACTTTCCCGAGGACAACTGCCCCTTCTATCGAGCGACCATCTTCTCCAATTACTCCCCTTACAATCAGCCACAAAAAGATGTCAAGCTTCCCACACTACAGCTTGCGAATGGATCTCGAAGACAGAGCATGCAGGCCAAAGAAGGCCCGTACTGGTCGATCATGCTGGAAGTCTCCGAATCCAGTATGAAGCCGGTCAACCAGGAGACCCTTCTGAAGGACTGTATCCAAGGTCTTGTCAACACAGAAATGCTGAAACCCGAGGACGAGATTGTCTCAACGTACCACCGTCGCTTCGATCACGGCTATCCGACTCCGAGCTTGGAGCGTGATGGCGCTCTCAAACAGATGTTGCCTTACCTGCAAGAAAAGGGTATCTGGAGTCGTGGCCGCTTTGGTTCCTGGAAGTACGAGGTCGGAAACCAGGATCACTCATTCATGCTTGGTGTCGAAGCGGTCGACCACCTCGTCAACGGTTCAGTGGAACTGACCCTTAACTACCCTGACTTTGTCAATGGCCGGCAGAATACGGAGAGACGACTGGTGGACGGAGCACAGCTGTTCGGCAAACAGAAGGCGAACGGCAGTGTGGTTGTTGGAAGACGGATGACTGGCGGGAAGACTGAGCTGGGAGGCCGGGTCGAGACCAGTGGGAAGGAGACCCTCAATGCGAGCAGCCGGACCGCGACCGCAATGAAGGACGGTAATTCGCGAGTGCTGAATCGTCAATGGTGAAGAGATGTTGTGACATTTCCATCCTTGGCCTTGGACATATATCCCTTTGGTTGCCGCGTAGAGCAGGTCATTTCCACGAGGATGAAGCAGCCGACCCTCCAGGTACATAGATGCTAGACTCGATGGAGCCCGGAACAAGGGCTGGGACAGTGACGGCCGTTCGTTCTCAGCGTAGCGCAGCAAAGACTTCGGCAGTCACTGGGGAAAAGTTTTGCGGTCACGCCATCGAGTCACAGCCTCCATCTATTCCTGTACACAGTACGCTCGTAAATGGCCTGGACGGAGCCATGCCATAGACGAAAATGCGGGGAAGGCTAGTACGACCTGGGAAGGAACAAAGATCGAGATGATCAGCTGAGCTGAAGATGCCAGTAATCGGGGAGGAAAGCATGAGGGGTTCAGGTATCTCGAGAGGTACTCGGCACGCTGGAGTACCGTGTACTCGGTACTTTGATGTCTGTCCGGCATGAAGTATCTACGTAGTAGCAGTAGTAAGCTGGGGGGAGCATCCCCTCTTCGACATGTGGAGCAGGGCGCAAATGGCTCATTGACACGGAGTACAATCTGCTCACAACACCAGTTGGTTCCACTGCGGGTTCGGCGCTCCAGCGCCTCATGAGGGGCCACAAGTCTCTGAGATCCTGTACGAGTACTGCGCAGGGTTTTAATGTATCAAATGGCACAGGGCGGGTGCCATGTGCCCAGCATGTCGACTATATACTTCTGCCTTCCTGTCGCGTGCTGCTCTGCGGGAGGCAAAGGTGATATTCACCTCGATAAAGCAGGAGATTGTTGTTGCTGACAATGTCCTCGAGACACGCCATCTGCAAGGGAGAACTTACCCGAGGTACAGACAAAGTACTCGTACCTGCAGGGTCGGAGAACATGGGCATCGAGCAACTTGCCGCTGGACTTTACCAAAGCCGTGTCGTCGCCGCTTATCTCGGCGTTCTTGCTCCCTACTTAGGACTTCTTCGAGCAAGGGAAGTGCTGTGGCTTCGACCGCTTCTATATTGCTTCCGGCTGTGGAAGAACAAAGCACAGACCAGTGTACTGGATAAGAAACGCGAAGTTTTCATATGCAATCGATCGAGAAGTGGTTGACAACGATCGCGACGACAAACCATGCACCACGTCATCTGGTGGGCATGGTTCTTGAAGTTGAGTGGCCACGTTCCGCAGTTCCTGAGCCACGACCCGCCCACCAATGACGCTGAAGGCAATTCTTTCGTCTGACCCCGGTGCTAACCGAATGCGATGGCCCAACGGCATCAGAGTTGCTTTTGGCTGCTTGTCTTCTGACTCGCTCAGGATGCTCAGATTTGTTCATAAGGCACGGGAAGCACGTAAGAGAACGTGACCGCACCCCGCCGAGCCCGCATCGTGGGAATAGAGACGCAACCATTCCTCCGTAAGCCTAGCTGTCTTCTCGCCCGCAGGGGCGGTGACGGCCAATAAGCCAGTTAACTTTGGGCCTGGGGTTCCCAGTGTGGCAGACGTGCATCATCCAGCCCGAAAGGCGTGACTCGTGATCTGTGATCGGTGAGAGAAGTGTGAGAGGTTAGCACCCACGTCGCTAGGGCAGATGTGGTTCCTGGCTTTTCCATGTTCGAGTTCCTGCCTCAGAACCGCGAAAAATCACTTCGCTCCATATACAAACTCTCTCCTCGCTTGCATTCGACGGTCTGCCACTATTGAGTCAACACTTTTTGCTATCTACCTGCAGTGCACGATCTCGCCGAGTTTCCTTGCCCTTTGGTTTCCTTTGTATCCCTACCCCAAAAGGTACGTAGCTTCTCCAACAATCCCAGTCGTCGCAGGCGCCCTTATCGTCATGGCCATCTTGCATACCGTCGATCCCAATGTCCCATCCCACCTCGTCTGCTTTCTGTTGTACTGCATGTTGCTGTATTGATGCTAAGGCAACCTCGTTGCACAGTCGACATCAAGCATTAGATTGCCCATCATGTCGGCCGCCCATGTCGCTCCATCGATTCCTCCGCGCCCAGCTCGAGTCCAACAGGCTGCTGCTTCCCAAGGCGTGGGCAAGCTCCCTGACATCCCTCCTCGTCCCATAAACAAACGACTTGAGCGCTCCGTCTCACCCGGCAATTTCCCTCGTTCACCTCTCAATGAGCCGTGGTCAGCCAATGCCACCCGTCACAAGACCAATGAAAAGGCCACCGACGCCATGCCACGCCGGCCCAGCGTGCAAAATCTCCCTTCGATCGGCCAGGAGGGCATGGAATATGCGGATATCGCGGACATGCAAACAGATCAGCAGCTGCCCGTTTCATCTTTGGCTGTTGATGCCGCGGCCCAGACCAGGAATATTGCCCAAGACCTGCACCTGCATGCTCCGAAGCCGTCTCTCCCGAAGTCTAGTGCGACTGCACAGGTTCAGGCTGTCACTAGGACGGATTCGGGCCAAGCAGCTGTTCATGGTCTAGGCAAGCCGTCCACTCCTTCGCCGGAAGAAGGCGAGGGTCTGCGCCAGGTGCGCACGAGAAGCAGTTTCTCGCGTCCCACGTCTGCAGCGGCTGGCGAGCGCCGCTCCTCAATCTTTGGAGACGAAGAGACAGGGCCTGCTGAACTTGGCCTGCGTGTGCCTATCAACCCTTCGTTGGGAGACGTGCAGGCCCCCTCCCCTGCGCCTGGTCTGAGCCCGTCTCACACGGGCACCAACGGCGACAGGAAGCGGCCGGGTCACTCCCGAGCAAGGACCAGTCGAGAGATCTTCACTCCCCCGGGCAGCTATGGCCTTCACGGTCACGGTGTCGCTCCTCAGGACAAATTCGAAAGAGATTGGTACTCCAAACACCCCGACGCTGCTCAAATCGAGGAGACACACGGTCACGGAGTATATGAAAGCATTGGAAGCGGCCGTGGCGCGTTCGCGTTGAGCAGCGACGATCTGAACAAGATTGTGCGGGAAACCGCCAGCCGTGGATCAGGATTTGGTATGTTGTACAAAGCACGCAGCCTCGTCGCTTGCTAACTTTTCCGCCAGGTACTTCAGGAGTAACACAGTCGTATCCCGACGAGCAGATCGGATATCTTGCGTCAGACCTGTACGTTGCAAGATCACAACAGGGTACGCCAAACAGCCTCGCAAAAACCGTGACCAACACGTCCCAGCCCGCGCACGAATCCCCCTTGAGGAAAGCCAGCTTCCCTGCGGATGACAGCATTCCAGCTGAGATTCGCCGTAGTAGACTATCAATCTCGGGCAAGCCCGACGACTTGGACGTTGTCGATAGCGAGCAAGAAGGAGACACCCACATCCCGCCTGGTCGTCGCTTCAACAAAATCACGGGCGGCGAAGAAAGCTTGAACGAGTCTGTCGAAACTCGCCCCTTTGTTTCTCACCCAACGGAGGAAGAAGATCATGTCATCGAACATGGGTATACCGTGCCAATCCTGGCAGCAGACGAAGTCGCGAAAGGTGCAGGCATGGAAGATCTCCGACCAGCAGTCTCGCCCAGGCAAGAACGGCGTGGAAGTCTGGAACCTGAAAGCGGCGCCATCACACCAGGCTCTCGGCCGTCGAGCCGACCGACCAGTATGTACAATCTCCATAGCGCCTCACATTCTCTGTCTCGCTTCCTTTCGCACCACGAAGAGCAAGAAAGGATGCACACGCCGCTGGAAGACGTGCACGAGTATGAGCCTCTTTTCCCGGACGACGACAAGAAGAAGCCTATCAACCACGCGGAACGTTTCAAGCCGAGACCGGATGCTCTCAAACAGCGTTTCCCCAGTCAGGACATTTGGGAAGACACCCCTAGCAGCCTTTACTACTCTGCCACCGTCTCGACCCCAGATCTTCCTGCCAAACCCGACACAGCTCCTCCATCTAAGACATTCGAGTCTCCGGACGCGGAGTCAGCGCGGAAGGAAGAGGTGTCGGAAGCGGAGAAGGCTAAATTGATATCGAAGGATGAGAGACTCGCCAAGTCCCGTTTCGCACCGCATCTTCGCGATGACATGCCCACGAGACCAGGAATGGTTCCTAGGTTTCCCAGCCAAGATATTTGGGAGGATAGCCCAGAGAGTCATCATCTTGTTACCGTGATCACTCCCCGACCGCCAGAGCCGGAAGAACAAGAGACCTCGCCAGTGGATACGGCGAAGCCGACCATCCCTCCACGACCAGCGAAGAGCAGATTGGGAGAAGGCGCATCGTCCGCCCAGGTTGCACCAAGCATACCGCCACGACCGTCTAAGGCTTCTCACGCTGTGCCCGTACTAACGACACCATCACCGGACACTAGCAAGCCAAAAGATACTTCCCCAACTCTCAAGAAAGTTCCCAGTATCCCTGACCGCCCGAAGCCTCAAATACCCTCTCGGCCGGCAAAGAAACCTTCCGCGGATGCACTCGCGAAAACACTTTCCGGTGAATCTGCAGGATCCGTGGAGCAAGAGAAGGTCTCGCCTCCGGTCGCGAAAGCCAAGCCTCAAATTCCGGCCCGGCCTGGTGCAAGCAGTAAAATTGCGAACCTGAGGGGGAACTTCATGAATGATCTCAACCAGAAATTGGGTCTGGGACCGCCTAAGGAGAAGGAACCTGAACCAGTCGCGGAAGAAGCGAAGCCTCTAGAGGACGCCCGCAAGGGGAGAGCCCGAGGTCCGCAACGAAGGGCACCGGCTAAGTCGCCGGCCGCTCCGGTCAAGTCGATGGGATTTGCGATATTCGCACCACGATCTCTGTGGACCATAGAAGAGGGAGAATTGAACGTCCCTTCAGCCGACGGTGCCCCCGTGTCGGACATGGAGGCTACGTCTGAGGACGTCCTCTCAGAGAAGAAATCAGAGCAGGCTGAAAACTCGACAGCTGCTGATGCACCGCTGCCGCCGACTATTGACACCACGGATCACGCCGAGTCGCAAGGCTCAAAGACGGAAGCTGAAGAGTTGCCAAGTGCTGCAAGCAACCTTGCAGATCCGGAACCCACCCTCGGGGCTCCCACGCAGGAGAAGTCCAATCCGCTGAGCATGGCACCAAGTAGAAACGAGTCAGGCGAGAAGAAGGCGATGGACGATGGCGATGCTGAGGACGGTGAAGGTGTTGATCTGTCTCAACGCACGACTGAGAGCAGCGGGCAAGCTTCCGGGCCAGAATTGGAGAGAGAAGAACCGGATCCCACTACTGATGCGATCCCCGTCAGCAAGCAGACCACCGCCAGTTCCAAGGGTGATACTGTTCCATTGGAAAAGACCGTATCACGAGAAGAGCCCTGGGTCTTGAGGAATATGTTACCTGAGGGAGAGCCAGGGAAGGAAAGCATGGAGCAGGTGTAGGAGCCCAGTCGGAAGCTACTCTATGCCGCTGGTGTGGAGTACCGCCAACGTGGAGTGTGCTATATGGTGGGACGAGGTATGAAGCTGGGTTATAATTGGGCTATGGGCTTGGGGCAAGGAAAAGTAACAAGAAGTCTGTCGCATTTGCACCGTTCGTTTAGAGTAGCAAGAACCCACCGAATGGTGTGCTTGAGTTTTATCAGAGGTGTCCTTTTCGTTGATGAGTTCCCGGCTCTATAGGGTTGGACACCGGCCTCGCCCACCTGCTCGTGCTTGTCTACCTCTACCGCCAGACGGAGAGGGATATCACGCTCTATCCTTGTCAGCCAACACGGTACAGGCTGTACGACGGGCAGTCTCCATCCACTATATCCACCGGGGAATGGTGTGTCTCTGGTAACATCTTGCTCACCGCATAACAATTCATCAACACCGACTGGCCTCGGCTTGAACAGAAGGGGGGTTTCAGATCGTCGGTCATTAGTCTCACGTGCTTTGTCCGTGTTCTTGCTGCTCTAACTGTGTACCCGTGCGAGTTGAGTGAGTTGAGTGAGTTGAGTACCACCGGTTGAGATGTCTGTTTGATACCTAGCTAGGTAGGTACGGTAACAGACCAGAGCAGACTACACCGCACCGCACCGCACCACAGCCACACAATCGCACTCGTGCACTCGTGCAGATTGTCGAACTCTCAGGTTCTCGTATTCTCGGATTCTCGTGTTCTAAGGGCATGATCGTCATCTGGAGTCATGTGGTGGGGCTTTGGATCAGGTGTTCGCTGCCTTTATTTTGAGCCACGTTTAAAGACTGTGGCTCTGGCTTTGGATCGTGTGTTCGCTGTTTGTGGTTCTGAGGCACGTTTGAGGACTGTGGCTTTCGATCAGGTGTTCGCTGTTTGTTATTTTGAGCCACGTCTGAGGACATTGTGTCTTGTCTGTCTGGCCGCTTATACTGAGAGCCTGAGACACCGGAACCGGGCTAGGTCGCTAGACACATGTCTCTGTCTTATTGCTTGGTCGATTGTCTGGCTTCTCGAATGTGGGCGCTTCATGGTTCGTGATTCATGGTTCGTGATTCACTCGTGTATGTGAAGGCAAAGTTCTTGTGAGACACGGGCTTGAGTGCTGCCGAGATGGCCTTTGAGAATGGAGAACTTGTCTTTCTGTCTATGTCAGTTTTGGATTAAGATTGAGATTGAGATTAGAAATGGGACTGGGACCGGAACTGTGTTCTGGTCAGCCTCTCCGTCTCCATGGAAGTGGTCGACTCTGGTTCGTATAAAGCCGTGGATGTGTCCTCGTTGGAAACGGGATAGAGCATGTTAAGATTGAGATTGAACAATCACAACCACAACCAACACCACGGCTACAGGTACAGCAAAGATCACATCCGCGACCGACCCCCTTCGAGCACAGTCGCAGCTCCAACGAGAAACCAACTAAGCGCATCCATACAACGCTACGGCACAGCTCCCATCGCAGTAATGGCTTCGTCATCCAAGTGCAACTACTCGATCAGTGATACGGCGTCCAGCAGAACGAATAAGACCACTAAAGTCAAGTCTTCAACCAGCGCAGACCCTGGCACTATGATGTCCATCAGCAGCCGGAACCAGAAAGCCGACAACGGAGTCATCGGGCTTGCCCGGGCTTTTGGCAGTTTCAGACCTTTTCTCGGAGGTAAGGAAGCTGGCAGATCACAACAGAGCCACGAGAGTCGTGAGACACGCCAGTGCTGGGATGATACTTGGGGCAGTATCGGGTCTGAAGGCTCCAATTCGCACGGCAACAACAACGGCAACAGCCAAATTGCGAATAACGGGCAACTCAACAATCTAGATAGTAAGGATCGGAAAGACAAGGTTGGCCAACTTCAGAACAAGGAGAGCTGCGACGAGGAGGAGGTTAGCGAGGACTGGCTGTGGAGACAAGCGGACGAGGCGGCTGCTGGGGCGTCGTGGTGGAAGAGGAAGTGATTAAGGAGTTTGGACCTGGACATGCAGATTGTATACTGGCAATTCGGATGGTACGAGAGCTGGTGTAATGGAAGTGGAGGAGACCATGGTTCTGGGGAGTGTGACGGAGGTGTAAATTCGTGGCTTACTCCTTGCGGCCTAGGCGGCTTTCTTTGAATGAAAGGGGCCTGGGCCTGTGAGATAGGCGCGTCATCTGGACTGAGTTCGGCTGGGTCGACGATACCAGAACTGAAGAAAAGTCTGCGGCGAGTATCATGGCCTAGATCCTGTGGACGTTTCGGGGAAAGAGACCTTGAATCTGGGCGTGTGTCAGGTCTGGAAGAGGACGTTCGTTAGAGACCATAGAGCATTCACCAGGATCTGGTACATAAGCACATAGCCTGCAGGAATCCAAGCGTGCTACGGGGTGATCAGTCGACGGTATCTTCATAAAAGGCCATTCGAGGTTTATTCCTCCAGCCGCTGAGTGTCGAGTGCTCGGTGCTGGATTTGATCATTGCGGACCTTTGAAGCCAAGATTCGGCTGCCCGTCGCTAACGCGCTGTTGGTCTCCTCTCCTTTGTAGCTGTTGCTCGTTAGGTGCAAGGTGGAGAAGGTGCCAGCTCAGCCTTGAGCGAAGAGGCCTATGCCGGACAGTAGTGTCTCTCTTGTCGTTTCGCTTCAGCGAGCAGGTCTATTCATTCCGCGCTGTAGTATCGCATACCGGTTTGGACGATGACGCCCATACGCAGGTCATGCTTGTCCCTGGACTTGGGCGCTGTGAACCATTGGTCTCGTCCTACCGATGTAGAACGGTTCCACTATGCCCTGTAATTATGGGACAGACCGCCCAGGATCAAAATGTTCCCGAGGACTTGTCGAGTGAATCCAGGGAACGGAGAAGTGAGGTATGCGTGACACTCTTCAGATAAGCCAACTTTTCGGCTCACACCAACCTCCAGAGGCATAGGTCTACTCTCTAATGCCGTATGGCTGATCAGGTTGGTAGCGTCTCACAGTGGGCGCATTTTACAGAGAAGCGCGAGGCTGAGAATTGGCCGGATAAAAGATTTTCCGTACCACTAGCGTGTATCTTCAGCCTTGCGCACCACCCGTCGACTCGGTCCTGAATCTGTCACTCCCTCAAACACCTTTGCTCGACTGCAACTGAGCCTTCTTAGGCAGAGGAAGATATGTCGTCTTGTATTGCTGGCGAACAAGGACAACCATCACGATGACCCCTTCCGACCCTGACATTTCCGCCAAACTCTCCGCTCCTCCAAAGAAGTCAATCTTTGAACGACAAAAAGCCGAAGCCGAAGCCAAGAAGGCGCGAGAGAAGGCAGAGACTGCGGCTGCCCTCGAGGACTTTGTTAAGAGCTTCGATGATGACGGAGATCGGCAGTCGAGCCTCCCTCCCAGGCCGGGAAGAGGTGGCTTTGGCGCTGGCAGCGGTAGTGGTGGAGGTGGCTTCGGGCCCTCAGGACCAGGGAAAAGACATTTCACAAGTTCAGGTCTGAAAAGTGGACCGGGAAGCCTGGGCCCCAGTCCGTCTGTGCCACGGAGCGGACCTGGAAGCTTGGGACATGCTCCCGGATATGGAAAGAAGAGGCAGTTCGACGAATACACTGGTCGACAAGATCGAGACCGAGATCGCGACCGAGACCGACGGGACAGGATGTTCTCTTATGGAGACGGGAGGGACGATAGCAGTAGGAGAGAGACAAGCGCTTTCAGCCGAGAAGAAGATGAAGACACAAAGGATGCAGAGGAGAAGGCTGCCGCAAAACCGACTTTGCATCTTTCGTCTCTCCCTCCGGGGACGTCGCCCGCTATCATTAAAGGCTTGTTTGCTCCCTCGCCATTGACGGTTGAGAACGTGCGCATCTTGCCGCCTCCGCCAGCCTCAGGCATGGAACGGAAGTCTGTCTCGGCTATTGTCACCCTCGCAGCTGAGACGCCGGCCACTGACATCGATACCATGGTGTCCCATTTGCAAAACAAGTATCTTGGCTTTGGCTTCAACCTGGCTATCTCTCGCCATTTGTCCTCCGCAGCTTTGACGGGCGCGGGTTCACTGAGCAACAACACCCCTTCGTTCAGTCTACAAAATCTGCCCTTTGGCGCCAAACCAGTCGCACAACACAGCTCCCTCTCACGCGCTCCTCCACCTGGCCAAGGGCATGGACGCTTCGCTCCGCCTGTATCGTATACATCCTCAACACCCTACGGGCCGCGCTCTGCAGCAAACAATTTGCCTCCTACACAAGTCAATGTACAAATCCCATCTGACCTCAAAGAATTGCGCCTGATCCACAAAACCATCGAGACCCTTCTAACGTATGGTCCGGAGTTTGAAGCGCTCTTGATGTCTCGACCCGAGATCCAACGCAACGAACAGTGGTCTTGGCTGTGGGACTCCAGGTCCATTGGTGGAGTCTACTATCGTTGGCGGCTGTGGGAGATCCTAACGGGGGCGAAATCACGTCGAAAGAATCAGCAATTCTCAATGTACGGGTCGCGGAAACCACATGGGGATGTTCTTTTCGAAGGCCAGAGTACCTGGGCGCCACCGAAAGAGGATCTCAAATTCGAATATACTACTCACATTGAAGAGTTCATCTCCGACCAAGATTACAACTCATCCGACGAAGAAGACATTGACGATGACAGAGGCGGGGGTCTAGCTGGACGATACCGCGATCATCAGAGAGTAGGCGACGACGATGCTACCGGCGCCATGGCGGATAACGATGGTCAAGGTTATCTCAATCCACTGGCGAAGACGAAACTCATACACCTATTGTCTCGTTTGCCGGAGACGAACGCCAAGCTACGTAAAGGCGACGTTGCCCGTGTGACGGGGTTTGCCATCGAACATGCCGGAGCCGGAGCGGATGAAGTGGCTGAGCTGATCACGCAGAATGTGGTCAGACCGTTCCGCTACAGTGTCAAGCGACCAAAGGAAGAGGAGTTGCATGGCTCTGAAGACTCAGATGGCGACGAGCACAAGAACGGCAGTCCGAGAAGGCAACTCGGCATCGAAGATGACAACGAAGCGTCGGCCGAGAAGAAGGATACAACGACAGATACTACTCCCTCCTCTCTAGTTGCCCTTTACCTTATCTCCGACTTGCTCTCCGCCTCCTCCACCAGTGGCGTCCGCCATGCGTGGCGATACCGCTCTCTCATCCAGCACCATCTGCTCCGGCAGAGGACGTTCGAAGTCCTTGGCGAACTTCCCAAAAAGTACCAATGGGGCAAATTGAGAGCGGAAAAATGGAGGCGACAAGTCCAAGTTGTGCTTGGGCTATGGGAAGGATGGAGCGTTTTCGAGGAAGCCAAGATGAGGGAGATTGAAAACAGTTTCTTACATCCGCCGCTGACCAAGGAAGAGGAACAGAAAAAGGCAGAGATTGAGGCAGAGGAGAAGAGAGAGAAAGAGAAGTCTGTAAATCGCTGGCGGAGTGTTGGTGACACGAAGGACGAAAGTGGCCAGGGTCTTCAAGGGAAGCCTACGCTTACCGGTGCTGATGCACGGGACAGCGATGTGGAAATGAACATGGACGGTGTGCCTATGGCTGAAGACGACGACGACGGAGAAACGGTCTTGACTGATGAGAATATCGACGGCATTCCAATGGCTGATAGCAGTGATGAAGAAGCTGAGCCAGTGCCACCTCCGCCGCCCCCTGCAGAGGATGGCGAGCCTCGTGCAGGGTCAAAGGAGGCGGAGCCAGCACCAAGCAGAGTTGCTGAGCAGGAGACAGCCGCAAAGTCTGTACATGTGCCGCTGGTGTCTCAGGGTCGGCGGGTTCGGCCAAAAGCTGTGGACTTTGACGACATGTTTGAATAGGAATCAGACAGCGAATCGACTGGCTAGAGTCTGAATGGTCCCATATTGACCTTGATATGGTGTGGTATGAAGTATGATATGCTGATCCTGCCTCGAAACCTTTGTCTACGGCTCTTTCTGCCACTTCCAATTATCTGGACCGATTCTCCTACCACCAGAAGTCATCGATTCCTTCACGCATTATGTACGGTACTGTACAGGCAACCTTCCTGGAAATCGGTCGTCCGCGCACGAATCTGAATGAACTCACGGCGCGTCATTGACAGGGCAGATGCAGGAGAACTTTGGAGTGCAGTACATGATTGCTAGGTAGGATTCCACTCAATCTACCTCGAAAATCAGTCGCTAATATTCACCATTGCCATTTTTTGTTGCTTTTCCACGTCATTCCTGTTCCGCCTTTGTGCCGACTATCATCAACTCGATGTTCTGCGCCTCCCACTGCCTGAACTTCCTAGCAGGGAGTTTCTGCTCGAACATCAAGTCAAGCTGGAGCGGTGTACGTCCAAGCATCTCCGGAATGAGATACCAGACCGCAGCAAAGGTAAGCAGGCACAGGCCGGTCCAGACGAAACCGATTCTCGACCGCAGATTGCCCGAGTCAGCATTGTACATGTAGGGAGTCACGGTGCTGAAGACGAAATTCGCCAGGCCGCCCGTCGCCCATCCTATACCTTGACTCCTGGCACGAAGCCGGAGCGAGGATGCTTCGCCCCCAATAACATAAGATGCTGGCCAGATGCCCAAGGCAATAGTGAAGGTGACCACATTCAAAGTCACTCCGACGTACCTGGCGAGGTTTAGCATTTTGCGAACAGGGATCGCTCTGGGTATTGCTGGTTGACTTACCATGGCGACACGGCGGAGTCGAAGCATCCGGCGATGCCCACTGCAGGACCGGGGTCAGTATATATTACCGATACAGAGATATCGAGAGGAATGGCAAATGTGACTCACTGCCCAACCACAAGAAAATCACAGGCGCCAATGTTATGATCGAGAGCCTCCTCCGCCCGACAAACGTGAGCAACCACATGCTGACGATGGTCCCAAGAAGACCACCCGCGATCCCGCTGATGAGAAAGATCAAGCTGTCGTCGGAGTCCATCCCGGCGATCTGCAAAAAGTAAGGGCCGTCGCCCAGGATCGCCAGACCAATAAGTTGTGGCATGACGGCCGCGAACATGACAAGAATGGTACGGCGTCTGTCAACACCTCTGAAGCAGTCAATGTACTTGGTCTCATCGGTGCTGGCGGACTCTTGCTCATGCAAGATGAGGGCCTGAAGCTCTTCAATGCGGCCCTGCGTGTCCTCGCTGGCTCGGTCGAGACGCTTCTGTGCCTTGAAAGCGGCTTCCAGTTTCCCCTTGCGGACGAGGTAGACCGGACTCTCTGGCAAAATGAGAGCCACTACCAGCGGCACTGCTGAGAATGGCCACTGTGATATGATGCACATCCGATATGAAGTCGGCCCTTCCATGTCTTCGGCGGCGAAGACGATCACGGCAGAGATGAGCTGGCCCAGCAAGAAGAAAACAGGGAAGAAGGCAATGACAGGGCCCCGCAGGGTCGACGGCAAGAGCTCGGACATGTAGGTCTGCGTCGCCGTCACGACCACTCCGATGGCCAAGCCCATCAGCACCTTGCCCAGCAGGAATATTCCTTGAGGACTTCCGCCGTACTGCGACGCCCAAATGACCGCGACTCCCACGGTCGAAGAGAGAGTCCCCAGTCCGAGAGAGAGACGACGGCCAAAGTGATCAAGCAGGAAACCGCCGGCGAGGGCTCCCAGCACCATCCCGATGGGGCTCCCGGCATTCCAGGCACTCATCCATCTGGACTCGATGATCCACTCGTCCTCGTAGAGCACGCCGTAGTCATGCCTGCGGATCACAAATGTCAGTGCCGGCGCGAAAAATCCGGGACACACGAGACACGAGACACGCACTGGAATGCCGGTAGAGAAGCAAGGTTCCCGACCATCGCCATGTCATAGCCCCATAGCAAGATGGCCGTCGTCAATGCCAGGCAGTATCCTGCCACCTTGGGCCATTTCCGAATAGCTCGCCAGAGCGATAACTTTGCTGGAGCGGGAATCCCGTTCGGTGGAGCGTCTTCGACGTGCATGACTGGGTCTTTGTTGGCGTCGCTAGCCTCCATGGTACAGCCTCGAAGAAAGACCCGGAACGGAAAAGGCCGCACCTCACTGTCGACGATAACAAGGCAGACAACGGCGGTTGCCTTCTGGTTATCAGGAAAGGACTGGAGGTATGGGATTGATGGACGCGCAATCTCTCGAGGCGCACGGGGTACACGCAATTGAGCGTTGCTGACAATAATGCAAAACCTTAGAAGAAGTATTAGGGAGAAGACATAGTTCAGCCAAAATCTGGGGTAAGGTTGCTCCACCCCTTGTAGCAAGATACGTTGCTGCGAGTTCGCAACTCCGAGCGAAATCGCAGTTGGCCTGACTGTTTGCCCCTCTCCATGGCTCGACGAGGCCAGACTTGGCACCAAAAGGCCAAGCAGGGATTGCGAGTCGCTGTGTTGATCTGACGCGTCGGGTCGTCGACCGTGGATGAATAACGCAAACTTGGCGGGTTGCAAAGACTCTTCAGAGATGATGCTCCGTGTTCTGGAAGCCTGGGATCTGACAGTGTGGGTACTGCCTCAGCAGCTCTGGGAAGCCTAACTTCGTGCCCTTAAAGCCTAAACCCTAGAGGCAAGCTTCCCACAGCCGAGGCTTGATGGAGCCTATGGACCAGCTAGACACTCCATGGCTTGGGGCTGGTGGCAGAGCCGCGGCCACACGTATTATTGCTTCGGTTCTCAAGACATGAGATATTTCGAAGGTCCTGCATGCCGTCCACCAATCCGCCAGCAAAGTTCTCACCTTCAGAAACCCAGGGCGTACTCTCGCACAGATGTTGCGCACTGTGAGATCATCAGCAACGAGGCTGCGTAGATTAAGGGGCTGCTTAGGCGGAACCCCCCTGCCCCCTCAGGCGGCGCATCACAGGATACTCCGTCCGTTGTCCGTCCTGCTCCTCTTCGTCCCCAGCAACCCAAGGCCAAAACTTGCCAAGGGGCGGGGCTATTATTGGAAACACGAAAATCCAAAGCTTGACGTAGGAAAACGCATCGACGTTTGCATATTGCTCATGTCTGTACGCCGTTCGATAAGCATACACCTCGGAATGATGCTGCCTGGCGCAAGAGGTTGAAAACCACATCGCGAGCCAGCAAGGTAATGGCGCGCAGGAGAGGATGTCTGCGTAGTTGCAGCATCGCCAGCAATCTCACCTTGAAACACGCAAACTCGCGACCATCATGGCCGATGTATCTGAGGGTATCGCCAGGCCCAAGGGCCGAGTCAAGTCTTGTACATCGTGTCGCCAGGTAAAAGTATGTATGAGTCCTGTCCCGTCTGGTCCCCGACGTTCACGCTGATGCGCGCGGTCGCAGCTGCGATGCGATGCGGTGACCAAGTTTCCTGCCGCTTGCTCACGGTGCAAAACACATGGACTGGACTGCCGGATCGACTCGAACTTCAAGCGGGTCAGCGTCAGAGGGTAGGATGCTCCCAGTCGTGGCAGGAGAGAAAAGTATGAACGATCTGGCTAACACGCTCACCGTCTTCTTTCCCAGTCGACTGGAGGAGATGTCGCAGAGGGTCAACAGTCTTCAGAACAACCTTTCGCACCAGACGCCCGAGTCCCTGTCCGCACCGTCTTCTGTGATTCCTCTGGGACCGGGGAGCACCACCTCGGCCACGTCCTTCTCTGGCGAAGATTGGCTGATGCTGTCCGACTTCGATGCGAACCAGAACCGAAGCTGGTCGCTGGGAGACGTCGTGCTGGGTTACCAGAATGTATCCGAGCTGTTGCACTTGTAAGTCGTGACAAGCACTTCTTTTACCGCTGATGCTGAAGGGGGATATGAGCAGCTACGCACACAACTACTACGACCATCTGCCGATATTGGACAAGGTGACATCGACATCAACATTGCATGACTCCAATCCCTTCCTCTTCTGGACCATCTTGCGGGTCGCGTGCTATCGACATCCAAGGTTCAGCCACGTCTTCGAACTGAGCTGGCAGCCCTATCGGCTTCTTCTGATGAGCAATCTCGTTGCCATCATCCATGACTTTCGAACAATCCAGGCCATCGTCATTCTTTGCCACTGGCCGAACTCTGGACCGAGACAGAGCCAAGATCCTAGCTGGCAGTATTGCGGCATTGCACTGAATGCGGCGATGCAGATGGGATTGGACCAGCCCCATCCCGAAAAGATCGCCCCGGGGTTTCATGGCAGATCCAACGTCCATCACATGAGTGTCTATTCACGGCACATGACTTGGCTGGCGTGCTTTCATATCAGCACAAGGTACGTTCCGCGCCCCAATCTTCGACTCGACAGTAGAGAGTAGGCTGACTTTCCCTACAGTCTCAGCGTATGGCTCGGTGTGCCACCCCATCTCTCGTCCCCGGCCCAATTGAACGCTCTTTCATCCACCGCCAAGGAACCCGACGTCCCACAGCAGTTCATGGTGCAAATCGAGATCCAACGCCAAGTCGTCCAGTACTCGACGTCTCTTGCCGGCGACGTCGACGCAGCTACCGCCTCGACACTTCTGAACCTCTTCAACAATGAGCTGGACAATCTGTTCAATGCGTTTAGAGACATATGGTCCCCCAGGCTCGAGATCCAATTGCTGGGCGCCAAACTGTACCTCTTCTCCTTGGGCCTCACCGTCGTGACGAAACGGCCCGGTCTTGTGAACAGGATGGCCGAGCATTACGTCCCTGACCCGACGAGATTGCCCGTCCAGCTGGGCCTTCCAACCGCGGTCTCCTTGATCCACAACATCTCCAAGCTGAACCGGGAATCGTCGTTGGAGCCACATTCGTCTGCATCGGGTGCGATACACTATCCGAAATTCTATTTCCGCTTGGTGGTCTTCGCCGTGGGGTTCCTGATGAAGTTCCTCAGCACGAATCCCAACGCCTCGCAGGAGGATAGAGAGCTTGCCATTTCGCACATTACCACGGCGCACCAGTTCTTCTCGAGCTTCCCTACCGGGGAGGACTTTGCTCGGGTCGCACAAGCGATTGAAGTCCTGGCGAAAAACCTCCGGTCGGACAAGCACGACGATTCTGACCCGATAAGAACCAGATCCGGGGCTTCGTTGTTGTATGACATTTTCCAAAAGTTTAGGGGCCAACCGGAGCGATTCGCAGGCTCGGATGACAACACCACCACCACCATTACCGGGGCACCGTTCGAGGCGTGGAAACAAAACGACGACGCTTCGAGAACGACGGCGCTGAGCGCTATCAACGCTGGCAGCACATCCGTGTGGGCTCCAGTGGGGACCTACTGCGAGATGTCAACATTCCAACCAGGCTTAGAAGAGAGTCTCGACAGTCTTCAGTGGATGTCGGATGACATGCTCTCGGAAATGTTCAGGTTGTGAAGGTGAAGGTGCTGCGGCACCAGAGATATGCACGCCCTCTGGCTGTTTGCGAAGAACGTCCTTGAGCACAATTGAGAGGCGTCTATGATTTTGACGGTGTGCCAGTTCAATTCAATACTTTCCCGGCCAAGCGCAGACCTGAGTACCTGATATGACACTATTTCGCCTTCCACCATTTCGATCAATCCAGGCGGCTCCAGACCAAGCCGTTACTCCTAGATCGTAGAATAAGACGGATTGCGACTCGGAGTGATCGCCTTGCTGGACTTTCGCTGTTCAGCAATGAAGGAGACGAATCCTCCGAGGCAACGAGACTCGCAGTGATTGGCGCATTTCACCAAGAATGGATTCAATCCAAGCCCTAGATGCGAACGTCGGCTTGTAGCCGCATGGTGATTGGTCGCCCAATTGCGATTTCGCCCCGGCGAGCGAAGGGTCCGGGCATTCACCACACAGACGACTGTCCGCGATGCCACGGCTCAAAGTTATGTGTCATGGGAGACCACAGTACACGACCGGAAATTCCTGGTTCCAAGCAAAAGCTCTCGACTGTCCAGACTCAAGTGACGGGCCCGAAGTAGTCCTGCCCGGCGCCGGAATGCGGAGAGGCTTCTATGCTTTTAAAGAAGAAAGACACGAACTGATGCTGGATGAACGTTGTGCTACCACGAACAGCATCCTTGAGGACATCTTCTACTTCTGTCGCCCTTTGACAAAGCAAACACCCAACTGGATATGGCCCCGTTCATCGATGGGGATGCCAAAAATGGCGGGCAAGTGGCTCCTGAGCCAGGACGCCTTTGTCAGATCGTCACGCCGGTCGGAAACCTAGGATACGGCTTTGTCGAATCCCAGGTTGTTGCTGAGCTGGAGAAACTGGCGAGTGTGCCCACTCCCACTGCCATCATCCTCGATGCGGGTTCAACAGACTCTGGCCCGTCGAGATTGGCGCTCGGCATCACGGCCGCGCCGAGAGGTCACTACGTGCGCGACTTGGGCAAACTGCTCAAGCTCGTCACCAAGTACAAAGTCCCGTTGATGTTCTCTTCCGCGGGGGGTGACGGCAGCGACGAGCATGTCGACCTCATGGTGGATATCATTCGAGAACTGGCAGAACTCCCTGAAAACAAGTGAGTCGCGGTCGGCCCCAATCACCAGCCAAAAGTGGCAAGCACTGACGTGGAAATTGATATCAGGTCGTATAAACTCAAGGTCGTATCCGTGTACGCGACCGTCGCCAATGATCGGGTATCAAAGAGGCTCCAGGCAGGCGACGTTGTCGGCTGTGGACCATGTGTCCCGGCGCTGAAGCAGGAGGACATCGACGCGACCCCGCGGATCGTCGCTCAAATGGGGCCTGAACCCATCCTCCAGGCCATGGTCGCGAACCCTGATTTCGACGTCATGGTCGTGGGCCGGGCGTACGATCCTGCTCCATATATCGCGTTCGCGGCGTATCATGCTCTGAAGAAGGCTTCCAAAGATTTGAAATCGCTGTCGAAGGAAACGCTCGGCTCCTTTGTGCATATGGGCAAGCTCCTGGAATGCGGAGGTTCCTGTGCCCGGCCCAAGAGCCAGGCTGCCTCGGCGTATCTTTACGACGACAACTCTTACGATATCATGCCCCTGGATCCCCTGGCTGCTTGCGTGCCTCTCAGTGTCGCTGCCCATACGCTGTACGAGAAGACCAGACCGGACATCCTCCACGGACCGGGCGGGTACATGGACCTGACCAAGACATCGTACGAGCAGCTCGCCGACGGAAGGACGATCCGCGTGCGAGGCGCCACGTTTGAGGCCTACTACGCCCAGGGCGAACGATACACGGTGAAGCTCGAAGCCGCGAGGCTGCGTGGTTATCGCACGATCTTCATCGGTTCCTTCATCGACCCCATCCTCGTCAGCCAGCTGGACAATGTCATCGCGCGGATCAAGGAATACGTGGCATTCCAGCACAAGCACATCACCGAGAAGTGGGACTTCGACTTCCACGTCTACGGCCGTGACGAGAACTGGACCCCCTCAGCTGCTGGCACCGGCGGACGTCCCTACGCGGGCAGCAAGGGCATCTTCATCGTCGGCGAGGCCGTGGCCGAGTCCCAGCACGTGGCCACCAGCATCTGCGCGTCGGCGCGCATCGGATGCGTCCACGCGCCGTACCAGGGCCAGAAAGCCACGTCCGGAAACTTCGGGTTCGGCCTCGGCGGCAAGAACGAGCTGGAGACGGGACCCTGCACCGAGTTCTGCGTCTACCACCTGATGTCGCTGGCCGAGGGCGAAGAGGGCGCTGTGGCCGCTGAAACCCACGAAGCAGGCATTGCTAACACGGTCGACGGCAAGCCGCTGTTCCACTGGACCACGGTGACCGTAGGCAAAGGCGAGGCGGAGGACCCGGCGACAGTGCCTGCGGTGGCGTCCACGAACGGCAGCAGCAGTGCGGCGACAGGCAGTTCCAAACGCGACAACGCACCACCTTTGTACGAGGTTGCGCCGCTCCCTGAACATCCTCGTTTTCTAGCAGACGTGGCGCCCGTGGTGCGGTCCAAGAACTCGGGCCCCTACGAGATCACGGTCGACATTCTGTTCTCGACGCCAGACGTGTACGAGCTGATCAAGGCGTCGGGCATCCTCACGACGGAGGTGGTCGCCAAGCTGTACGGCTTGAAGGTCGAGGAGATGGTGTGGTGCGGTTTCTTTGATCAGGCTTTGGCGTTCAAGGCCACGTTTCCGAGGAAGCGCGATGGCCGGATGTGCGCGTCGGGTGGATTTCTTGAGAACGATATGCACGGGTCGCAGCAGTATATGAATCTCATGGAGTTGCCTTTGGGCGAGGAGCTGGAGGGGAAGTTGGCCAAGGTGTTGAAGACGTCTGGTTGAGGCGGAGATGAATAAATGAGATGAGAGATGAGATGAGATAAATGAGATGAGCTAGAGGAGATGATATAAACGAGATGAGGGGATATCAGCCCAGAGTGTTGGTCTGTCTGAGCTAGACGTAGGCTGGAAGGAGATATGAAACCCTCCAGAAGTGAGATGTCAGATAGCGAACAACGCACAGTGAATATTCCCAGCAAATGTTGTGATGTTCAATCCGTAAATTCAGCACGACTGAGCGCCTCGTCGTTGTTTCGCAGCTACCTGTAATTCTGTACAGTATCATGTCGCTTGGCCTGAACTTGGCTGAGCCTCAGCCTCAGCCTCAGCATGAGCTGGTCAGTGCCTGAAGTCTGCCTTAGCACAATTGCCCACGTCCTGATCATCTACAGTTATCTACTAAGTAGCCCACTACCTCTCTCTGATTATCAATACGTCCAGGGTTTTGTCCCTTGACAGCACCTCACGTCGTGGCTCCACCTTCTCCGGCCCTTCATACTCCGTTCATTCAGGGTGCTTGCAGTGTCCTCTGATCCCTGGCCGATGGTTGCGGGCGTCGGTGCGGGCATCGCCGCCGCCGCCGCAATGGGACAGATGATAGTAGCCACCGTGACGCTGGGTCAGCAGAACGCAGGGCAGACCCATACGGTAAGTTTAGTGGTGCTTCGAGAGAATACCCAATGAAGCAGCAGCAGCGAACCCCCAATCAGTTAAAGTGACTGACTGACATCTCCCCAGCGGTCTAGGATGAAGAAATTTCAGCCATCAAGCGAGACCTTGAGGGGATGTGGCGTGTTCTTCGTGAACACGGGCTTGATGCCGCCGGCGCCAACGGCAAACTCTCGTCCTGCGATGAACAAGCACGTCAGGCTCGAGTCCGGGCAAACCGTATCAAAAGTGTGGACGAGTTGAAGGACATGGAAAAGGCGCTACAAACAAAGGTCAGGACTCTGGTCGAGGAGAACAAGGTCAGTCAGTCATTCCCTCAGTATACATCCAGGTTTTGACAAGTACGGTTCTTCAAACTTGTTTAGCCTCGTTGCCGCGAACCGCAGGACAAGACTTGGTTTACTCGGACAGTCGAACAACGTGGAAGGGACTTTATGGGGATCAGGTGAATTATGGACCAACCTCTACTTCATCTAGTGAGTGTCCAGCCAAGGTAGCTAGCTGTTGCTACTGTATCACATATCAACATCCATATTCACATCTGACGATCAGAGGTTGATCTACATCTGCGGACGTCATGTCTCGTTGATGTAGACAAGCACACTATTCCATCCCGCCTCAAGTAAACAGCAATGAACCGGGCCAAGTCAGTTGTTGTAGCCCACAATGCAAGCGGGTGAAATGATCAAGTTTCATCGCTATTACGTGCTCTAGTGGTAGCCCATGTATACGGATCAGATGATGAGCAGCCTGTTTAATGCCACTAGTTGACCGCTAGCCGTTGCCTGTGTGTTGGGGCTTGTTGTCTGAGGCATCGAACTAATGCGTCTATTGAAATGTCGTTCCCTGCGCTTGGCCGACAAGCTGGGAGGCTCTGACAACGCCGCGTATTTCGCTGTTCTTTGACCTATGCTTGCCATGGATGTTCGATTTCCAAGTGATCACGCTTACTGTCCACATTCAGCCGTTCTCTTGGGCACGGCGAGCGCGGAGAAAATGGAAAGTCCTAATGCTTTCTTCATCACGAGGCGGAGAGTTCGATCGTCCACACTGATGCATTTAGTATATACTTTGTGTGATTGCCGCTTCCTGGCCGGCGTACTTCTCGCGGGGTGTAGGAACCCAACTCTATTTTGGATATATGAAGATGTCTATGGACATACAACGTGAATATGATACAATGCCTGTGAAGGTGCCGAGTCATCAACCGTTTCTTCCCAATCCTTTCCCTTCCCGGAAGCCTCCCAAAATCGATTTCCGTACAGATATGGGTCAGAGGGTATCCCTCATATACCAGGCGTCAAGCTCATGTGAGTGAACTGGTGGCGGCTCGAATCGACTGCCCATGAAGTACCCACCTTTTACTCCGAGTTTATCTTTTCTCACCCCAACTCCGTCCGAAATGCTTTGACGTCCTGAAGGTCCGCTTCTCCTTCAGCTAGACCCTTGGGTTTGAGGTCATCTGGTCATCATATCACACCATACTTGTTGGCCGCTGCTCCATGACGAAACCCTCCTGGCTCCCACCTCCATCGACCTCTTTGTAATGTTGCAGACTCTTCTTGGTGCGCAGGTGGAACCCGGCTTCCATCCACAACTTCGCCCCAATCACCCAGCCGGGGTGGTAAAGGGTGAGTAAGGCGACGGCCACAAAGATCATGGGCCCCTCCAGGATCATAAACTCGAGTTCATTGTTGGCGAGCTTGCCGTCAAACCCCTGCTGCAGCTCGGCGAGCCGGTAGACGGAGCGCACCAGGATCGTGAGCACTGCGACTGCAATGGCGATGAGCATGCCCTTGAACCGGCGTGAGTTGCGCAGCGTGGTAAACTGCGCGTCCAGCTTCGTGGGGTTCTTGAGCACCTTCCACGCAAAGTGTGCGCAGATGGCAATGAAGATGGCCAGCGACACGACCTGCGAAGCCAGCCCCGCGATCATGACGTCTATGCCCGTCTGGTTGTCGGCCTCGGTGTCGGACGTCGAGGCGATGGCGCCGCCCGCGGCCTGCAGGAGCAGCGAGACGAAGTCGCAGAACACGAAGATCAGCGTGATGGCTCTTGGGGAGAGGAGGCTGAGCTCGACGGCGAAGAGGGTGATGATCCGACCTAGGCACAGGTAGATGGCGGCCGTGAGGAACGCGGGTCCAATGGTCAGACCGATCAGGTAGATGATGAAGGAGTTCTTGTCGAAGATGTTGTCGTGCAGCATGATGCGGCCGATGTAGCCGACGATCTCGAGCACGAGACCAAACACCATCCCGACGAGGTAGCCCCATGTTTTGTGGCGGATGCCGAGGAAGAGCTGGGACGCGAGGAGCACACCGAAAATGCCGGCGTAGATAGCATTGCCGGGGAGGGTGGGGATGTATTGGATTTGGCCGTACTCTTTGACCGAGCAGGTGGCCAGCGTGCAATCCGCGCTGTCGAAGGTCGAGTTTGACATTGTGGTTGGGGGAGAGGTCGTTGGCTAGAGGCGGTCGTGTGTAGAGGAGAGAGCACAAGGCGAGGTAGGAGTGACGGCTACTGAAGCTGTAATGTGTAGTCAATGTGCTTTGTAGCTGGTATCAACTGATGGATGGAATGGAATGAAAGAGAACGAAGGACCGTGCTATATACTTTGGACACTCCATAGCAGAGCGATTGTATAACCCCTGGCGGGACCTGGCCCATGGCAACATCAGGAAGGGATCAGAAAATCCACCCACAGCCTCGTTGTTTGTTTGACGGTCATCGCAATAGCGAACGCTATTGCTGTGCTGTGCTGTGCTGCGCCATCCAACGACGTTTGAGCGGCATTACGGAGTACCTGAGATCTGTATGTGGTCCAGAGTCCGAGTGGGTGGCAGCGACAGCAGGCAGAACAATTCAGATCCGCCAGCGTGATGAGCGGATCGCATTGTGGGTACCAAGGTGTCGAGGTGTGCTATGCGCGGAGTGCAGGGTATTATTTTAGGAATCACAGATCATGAACAAGCTTCATGGTTCGAGTCCAGGGTATGCGTCGTCGGTCGTGCTGCGTGCTTCGTGCTTCGTGTCTCGTGTCGGCGAAAGCTTCGCTGCGAGAAGCGAAGTTTGAGCGAAACTGGCTGGACGCCGCAAGGGAGCACCTAAACAGATTAGCGGCCACCACGGAGCCAGTGAGGTTAGGCAGCGATGAAGCTATTGTACCCAGTAGTGTTCCCGCAGCAGGCCCTGGCTCGGCGATGGGCGTTGCTGGTGGGGCAGGCCCGGGCTGGGTAAGGCGTCCCCTAACGCTAACTCAGCGCCCACTAGAGGTCGCTCTTAGGGCCCTGCGAGCGGGACTGAATAGTATCCTTGGGGGCGGTGCCTGCGCGTTGTTATTGGTCCGCTCGGACTGCTGCGTAGAATCGGGACAGAGTGAGTGTTGCATTTTCAAACATGGCTTCATTCGCATACGCAAGGCAGAAGGGATTTTGACTCCAGGGATAGTGTGTCATGATTGTTGCTGTTTCTGGCTGTTCCCTGGCTGTCCCTGGCTCGAATAAGATCGAAAGGAGAAGCATTGCATGGAGCCTATCCCGTGTCCACGCGTCTGTACAGGCCAAGTTTTCTCATTCTCCTTGCCAAGTTCGGTATGATATGCTGCTATCTACAGAAATTGCCTGTGATAGCTTCGGTGTTTTGCTCTGAAAAGGCCTCGCGCTTTAGGTGCCATGGTCGATGAGCGCATGTGCACCCGCTACTCGACCGGCTTCGACCGGCTCGACACTGCGGCTGCCAGAACGAGGATATCTATCTTGATGGTTCAGTTCCTGGACGCATTTACTCTGTGCTGCATCGGTATTCCAGCTGTGTTAGTGCACAAGGTGGCGGGCCTTGATGGTAAGGGAAACGAAGGTTTGGTATTCATATCTAACAACAACTCCCGTTCTAATTTGAACTACTTCTGAGTGTCCTATCTAATCACATAGCAGAGTGCGAGATTGAAACCATATCCGCTTCTTCCCTCAACAAAAGCTTGCTCGGCCCGATCTCGCCCATTTGAAACAATGATCAGAGACCTCGATGCTAGGTGACTGCAGCATAGTCGTTGAACAGTGCACAGCTCTCACAACCTCTTCACTCTATCTGAAGCACCATCCTGCCACGCGACCCTCTTGAACCGGACACGTAACTCTCGCTCCTATTGACTTCTGTTCGTCGGATGCCGCTCGCCACCACCTCCCAGACTCAGGTTGCCGAACCCCACCCCGAGCTGATTGATGCCATGCTCCTCCTCTTCATCCCCACCAAAAACCGCCGAGTATCTCCTCGCGCGACCATGGACAAACTGATCGTGGTTGCGAATTGCATTGTCCCGCCGGTTCAGCAGTTCAATCGTAGCATCCTCAAGTTGGCGCCCATGGAATTTGCAGAGACACAATTTGGCGAGTTGCTCAACCTGGCGATTCGTGATCTGTTTCGGTATCATTGAACCCATGGCTTGGAGCAGCTCGCGCACCTGGGCCGGACGGGAGGCAAAATGAGCGCCAATCGCCCATCTGCAGCGTGCATTCATTTTGTTGGCGACTCGGCCCATGCACACCATTTCTTTCCTCACCTCATCGGTGATCTGGAAGACAACATCAGGGGACCAGCGGTAGGTATTGGCGGACATGATGCGAGTGCGAATTAAGGGGAACGGGAGAATCGCCGGTGCAATTGGAGTGGAACGAACGGATGTAGATGTGGGTGGCTGTAACTTGGGGTTTGGTATTTCGTGGATCTGATTTTGTGTTCGTTGCTGCTGCTGTACGGTGTATGATGTAGGTTTGGCTGCGAACCGGTCAATTGAAGCCCCTATATAGCGAGGATAGCAGGCGGCAGTGCCAGGCAACTGAAGCAGTGCGAGAAGAGATTCACAGATCCCATCCCACACGTGCTCAGCAGAAGACAAGGAGGATATTCCTGGGCGGCCACACATAAAGAACACGTCTCAGACAACCGATTCTGACAATAAAAGAGCAGTTGTCTTCACGGACTGAAACCTCTTGACTTAACAACCGAGCACCGAGAATCTGTTTCTCAAAAGAGCTGGTCGAGGTTCGTGGCCTAGCGAAGTTGGAATGAAATAGCATTCTACTCAGGCAGGTGTCTTACCGGCGAGACAAATGACACTAGAACAAAGGAACCCAGTCCCAGTCTGTGGCATGCATGCCCACGACAAAATTGAGTGGATGTCTCGTCGGCATTCTTACCAACATTCTTGCTCGTAAAGTCCAAATCCAGAGATAGGCCGGGAGATGCAAGACATTGGACGGGTCAGCGACATATGGGTTGAATCATTTCCGTGAGAGCAAAGCGGACGGGAGATGCGAACCCGAAGTCGCAAAAGCAGTCTGACACAACCGCTGAATGGCACGACTGATGCGGAGAATGAGTGCTCATGAAACAGCAGTGGTAGTGGTCTCAACCTGTACCGTCGGGGTCTCTCCAGGTCGTTGTTGAGAAGGTCCGGAGCGTTTGTGGGCAAAGTTGCTTAACCGCGCCTTCCATCCTCTGGTGGCTTCGAGCTCTGCACGGGCTCCTTCTCTATCAAGTTGTGCCTGCAACGCCTCATTGGCGAGCTGCATATTGTTGGTTATACCGGTTGCTTCGTCCAGTTGATTGCGATATCGTTCCAATTCCTTTCTTGTCGCTGTAAGCACTTCAGTGGCTGTCAGGTTCTGCTCATGCAGAGTTGCGAGCGCCTGGATCTGCACCGACAGGTTCTGCTCCGTGGTCTCCAAACGTTCCTGGAGAGTGACGTTGGATCATTGAAAGTTTCTTGCTTGTGCTTCGGTTGTGGACATGGCCTGCAGAAGCTCTTCTACTCAAGCCGGAGCGTTGTCTCCAGTGCCTCGTTGTCCCGCAGTTGTGTTTGTAAATTTCCAATGGACAGGTTGAGTTCTACATTCGAAGACTCCCTATCAGCAATCTTGGATTTCAATTCATGGAGCTCGGCTTCACGATGCTGGAGATCAGCTTTAGACAGTTGCAAGCTCTCCTGTAGTTCCTCAGACTGCGTCGTAGAGCCCTGCAATTCGGCTTCAAGCTCTTGAATACGGTTCTCCAACATCCGATTCTTGTTTTGATGGCCTTCGATCGCTGAGTTGGCGCGCATCATCTTGCTCTTTTCGCTTGCGAGGTCTGCTTCAAGCTCTCGGATCTGTTGGTCCTTGCGGGAGGCATTGTCAATCGACTTCTGCACCTCTCGAGATATTTGGTGATCTGAACAGTTGTCTTCGATGCTGAGCTTGTTGCAAAGGCTTCTGCGGAATTCCGTAAACTGGGTTTTCAGGTTCTGGAAAGATTCGTACGAGGAGCAGGCTTCGGTAAGACGGTCTTCCAGTTCTTTCTTGATGACTTCTCTGTTGTTCTTGTTGTTGAAGCATAAGCACAGGTCGGCCAGGCTGTCGAGCTCGGCATCTGAGACACAGGTTGGTGGCTCGTTTTCCATGGTAGCAAGTAGGTCTTGCACTTGTCGGCACTGTCTAGTATTAGATGTGGTGGACCAGGTGCATCGCAACCACTGCCCTCGTCTTGATCGTGTCCGCATTTGGCAAGGGACTTCCCCGTAGTACGGATCCATGACGTGAAGAAACATGCTAGGTTTCCAAGCATACGCTTCCATGTTGCAACTCTCTGTGCGATCTTTGATCGAGATGAAGCTGATGGCAAGAGGTATGGGATACTAAGAGACGACGTGAGCAAATGGATCCAGGTAAGCGGACTGGGCACCTCCATCCTATATACTTCCGTTGCGTAACCCCCTATGAGGAATGGAGGTGGCGTGGACCGCCATGGCCCAGATGGTCGCGACCGTAGAGGGGCAACATTTTGGCTGAGCCAAGCGCCGGCGAGGACACGCGACGTATTCTACCTCAAGTGCGCCTCGGATTGAGACGAGCCCTGATCCTTCGGCCGACTATTGTCCACGATCCAGTTGGTTCCTCAGCCTCGGTCACAGGCGACCAAGTGACCTTATCCGCGATAGACACCGCCAGCGCCTCGCAGGTCAAAAAGGGTGCTGGAAGCCGACAAGCGGAATGTAGGCAATCATTTCGCAGCATTTCATGTCGCAAGTAAGGCAATGATGCTAGCGTAACGCAGTGGTCGCGGGTACGCGGCAATTGACATGTTGATGGAGAAGTGAGTGATCTATGGATTGGGCATAATGTCCATAAGTCATGTTCGCAGGGCGAGCAGGAGCCATGACTCGTGTGCGGGTCTTGGAAGGCCACGCATGACTCGCACGGAATTCATCTCACTTCTTCACCAACGGACTTTCCTCCCTCGTGTCTGTTCAGTCTGTAGCAGTGGTGTGGTTAAATGCCTCTTCATTCAACCCGAGTCCTTCTCTCAGGTTGTCCATGCTCGCTATTTCATTCAGAGCAAGTGGCATGACTCCAGCATTGTTGATCAACCCATCGAGACCCTTTCCAGCCAGGAGCTTAGAGCCACTGCAGTGTTGAGGCTGTCCTTCTCGGTGATGGCCATCTCAACGTGTCTGACTCTCCCGTCGGATTTATAGATCAGGCGTCGCAAGACGCTCGAAGAGAGCGAACCGTGTCGTTGCAAATATGCCCTGATACTTGACTCTTTGGGAATCCGGATAACTGAGCAATGAGCTCCAAACCTATCCGCGGCCACCGCCAGTAACTAGGTAAGAGGACATGTTCGTACTTTGGTGTTAATGTTGAAGTACGGCTGTGAGGGCGGGGAGGGTTTATAAAGCAAGCTGCTGTCGGATACAAGCCTGTCACCCAAGCAAGAATCTCCAGAGAGCTTAAACACAACTGGCTGTCTATACCAGATTACGGGTCCAAATGAGATCCATTTTGCCAACCGGTCGTCTAGATTTTAGCCCGCCCCCAGAAATCGAGTACCATCTCCGGGCAAGAAAATCCTAATCCAGGGCTTTGCGAAGGGATCCGGATCTGATTCGTCCATATGACCAGGAAGCCTATGCTCCAGCTTTGCCAGCTGTGACTGCATCATCGACCATCAACTGACTGGCCCCGAGATAGTTGACTGGATCACAGAGTCCTCGCAGTCTTTCCTCAGGCACATGCTGTGTAACTTCCTCTTTTGTCTTCAACACATCAAATAATCCCTTCTGTGTCTCTATCGACTCCTTGCACGCTTCGTACACGATGTCGTGGGCGTGTTGTCGACCCACAAATGGAGCGAGTCCCATCATAACAGCCTCTCCAACGATTAGTCCTTTCGTTGATGATAGGTTCCGCATCATAGCATCAGTATTGACGACAAGGCCACCGAGCGCGAAGTTCATTTGGTGTAGGGCGCCCACAGCCAGAACAAACGCTTCTGGTATGGCCACCCATTCCAAGTGCCAAGGACCGGAGGCTCGCTCAAAATCGGTAACCATCGCGTCGAGCACAAGGCCTGCGTTTGCTCGAAGAAGCTTTGAGGCCGCCAGTATGACTTCGCTCGAGATCGGGTTCCTTTTCTGCGGCATGGTCGAAGATGCTCCGCGATGGGGAACGAATGGCTCAGACACCTCTCCCAGCTCGTTCGAAGACATGATGATAAGATCATACGCGATCTTACCCAATGAGCCACCTATCAGGGCTAGAAAGTTGACGATTTCTGCTACGTTATCTCGCGCGACGTGCCAGGTGATGGTGGGGTTTTCGAGACCCAGTTCCTTGGCCAACTGCTCCCTGACACGGAGACCTGTGTCGTCGGAACCCAGGGAAGCTAAAGTGCCGGCAGCACCACCGAACTGAACCAGGAGACAACGCTTCTCAATCTCACGCAGCCGCTCAGAATGACGGATGATGCTGGATAGATATACTGCGCACTTGTAACCGAAAGTGGCCGGTAGAGCGTGCTGCAGATGTGTTCGACCAGCCATAGGAGTGTCCCGGTATCTCTGAGAGAGACTTCGTAGTATGCTCTCGAGTTCCTGCAAGTGCCGCTTGGCTATTTGCAACCCTTCTCGCATCTGGAGCATGGATGCATTGTCCATCTGCAACATGGTCTAGGTCAGAGGAGCGTGGTCAAAACGTATGTATGGTGTGTATGAGAGTCCCTCAGCACAGTGCTGCTCAGTCATTAGGCCTCCATAGCTACTTACTATGTCTTGGGTCGTCGCTCCCCAATGGATGTATTTTCCCATTTCACCTGATGCATGCTCAACAAGTTGGCGCACAAGAGGGAGAACCGGGTACCCTACAATCTCGGTCTCTCGTGACAGCCGGTCAAAGTCGAGGCTAAGTGCGTCTGATAAGTCGGACGTCTAGGCAAGGATTTCAAACTCACTGGAAGCTGTCGTCGGTAAGTTTCTTCATGAGGATCTCGCCTGCTTCGACAGGGATGACGCCAGTCTTGGACTGCGCAACAGCTAGTGCAATCTCCACCTCAACCATTCGCCGGGTATACGCTTCATCATCAAACACAGCTCGAATCTCTTTGGTGCCGAAGAGATCCCTGAACAGGCGTGAATCAAGCGCGGATACAGACATGTCGACAGGGTGTGGCGATCAATGGGAGCGTCTACCTGCAAAACTCACATAGGAAACACGGGTAGCGGAAGGAAGGGCTTCGTCTGGTCCTGCAAATATCGACGGAGAATCTCCTGAAACTGGGGTTCCTCGGGCTCTTAAAGTGACTGGCGAGCAACATCGACCTGCTCATGCCGGTGTGGGGCCGACATCAGCCTTGTGCGGGGAGAGCTTTCGGACGAGGCTGCCAGCTTTCTCCTGAGGTTGAGCGCCTGGGAAGAGGCACCTACCGCGACTCACCCAGAGCTAGTACGCGGGCAGTGTGCTCGATCAGCAGTTGTCGCGGTAGGTGTCTGTGATGTTCCCCTGTACCCGCCTCCTGCGTCTTGAGTAAATGGGCAGTGCAGAAACGAGGAGGGAGGACAACGATGGCACAGCTTCAAATCTCTCTCGGGACATAGCAATAACGCTAGTCCTAATCAAGACATTCCTGCGGCGGAGTGACACGTGACCGTGACCGAAGTCGAATGGAGCAGTTCGACTTTCGGCGTAGTCTTTGATGCAGAGAGTTTAGAGATGTTCGTATCAACCCGTCTCTCCCTAATTTGCGGTTGCCGCGCTGTTGAAGGGTGGAAATGTTTTTTTTGGTGCTGTTGTGCGAAAAGTGAAAGTCTTGGCGAAAATTGTGCCCCGCCTGCCTCAACCGCGGATGCGCAAGCCTCAAATTTTGATCCAACTTTCCGCGTGTCTCTTGCAACACCAACATCTTCGAGCATCTGCACTCTTGTTACAACGTTTCCATCCAATCAAGATCAAAGTCGGTGGCTCCTTTCGGCGATCCTGAATACCTCAGACAGCCGTATAGTATCGTTGCTCGCTGTCGCACCTGGATCAACTCCCAAACCGCCAGCCTCCTGTGACCCCGCCAAGCTCCTCGCAGTCACCGTTGACTCATCTCGCCGCCTGAGTTGTCAGTCATCTGCCTCTCGCAAAGTCCACCCTCACACCAGATCACGTGCTCGAATATGCTCTTGACGAGACCTCATCGTCCACGATACTTGACCACAAATTCTTGATCGGTCCAGATCCAGCTCATTCATTCAGCCAGCTGTCAACATGCCGCCGGTTCTAAAAGCGCCACCGCCCAAGCCGCGTCCCGGGCAGGCCCGCCGATCAATCTATCGTGGCCGTATCGAAGGTCTTGGCAGCCCCGTACCAACCTCTCTTCGTGCATCGACGCCTACACTTGTACGAGCAACCACCCCGGCTGCACAGCCGCAAACTCGTCCAAAGTTACTGTGTCCCAACCCAGACTGCCCGGACCGGTCAAAAGTCAACCGGACGGACCAGGGCCTCATTTGCGAAACTTGTGGTGCCCTTGTGCAGGAGGATTCTGGTCTTGTCAGTGAACAAGGCTTTGGCGAGACGGATTCAGGTCGTATTGTCGCTACAGGTGTTCAGGTCGGCCAAGATCAAACCCACCAGAGGACTTTCACTTCGGGAGGCGCCTTCGGAAATGCCGGTCGCGAGGCAACTTCGAGCAGTGACCGTACCCGAATGCAGGCGAGAAGCATCATGACCTCTTATTGTCCCATTTTCAACATCCAAAGCTCTGAGGTGGAGAGAGGCATGCTATGTTTCGGCCTCGCTGTCACAAATGGTTTTCTTGCGGGCAGAACCATCGAGTCTGTCGCGGTCGCATCACTCTATATCGCTTGCCGTCGCAAGAAAGAGCAAGTCCAAGGTGTCCAGAGGCCAGTCTACAGCCTCATGTTGATCGACTTCGCCGAAAAGCTCAATATGGATGTCTTCGCCCTCGGCAAGATATATCGCGATCTCTACGAGAAGCTCTGGTACGACAAGAAAACCGGGTCGTGGAAAGACGAGACGGCCTCACTAGACTTTCAAGGCATGGACCCGGCCGTGCTGGTGCCCAAATTCATCAAAGAGCTGGAATTTGACAGGAGAGACGAGCTCAAGATCCAGTACGACGCTATTCAGATCATCAAGCGGATGAAGCGGGACTGGATCCATGATGGCCGTAGACCTTCCGGTGTTTGTGGAGCGGCTGTTCTGCTGGCTGCTCGAATGAATAACTACCGACGCACCACGCGAGAAATCGTGCTGACAGCCAAAGTCACCGAGATCACTCTCAATAAGCGACTCCAGGAGTTCCACGACACAAAAGTCAGTAATCTTTCCGTCACGAGCTTCATGCAGGAAGCCAAGAGTTGGGAAGATGTCCCGCTAGGCCACCATTATCTGGATGAGCAGCAGCCGCCTATTGTGAAGGAACAGATGAAGCCCAAACAAAAGAGGAAACGAGGGCGTCCTCGCAAGCGACCCCTTCCAGAGACTGCAGCTGAGATTGAAGGAGACACCGCTACCACTGAGCCGCCAACATCAAATACTGAACGAACGCATCCGGCGAAACGAGTTCGAATTGATGCCCAAGGCTACAAAATTCCGGAAATCCCAATTCGGCGGCTAGACGCAGAGTCATTACAGATCATCGACAAGCCACCAACAAACCCGCAGCCCGAGCACATTGCTTCTGAATCCTTGCGAGGGGAGGCGGGATCTGCATCCGAAGTAATCGATGACAATGCGGATGTCTCTCCCAGTCACTCGCCTTCTCCTCCGGCTGGCGGCGAAGAAGCAAATGCCGATTTCGGGCTACCTCGCAGAAAACCCAGAGGCCCTAATTGGCAGCCTCCGCCTCCCAGCATCGCCGAGATAGCCATGGAAGCTGGCATAGAGAACGCCATGGATGAGACATTTGTTGACAATGCTGAACTCAGCGATAGGCTTGGGGTGCGTCCTTCCGGCGTGCCTCGTACAGATGCATCACGCCCCGGCGCCTCTGATGTTGATGCACAAAGTCCTTCAAGAGGGCAAGATGATCTTCGGCATGAACAAATGGATTTCGACACCGACCCAACCCAAACTGTCCCTCCACACCAAAAGGACAAGACCCTCGGTCCGCCCGTCAATACCATCATCGGCAACTTCGGCCACGTCTCTCTTTCGCCTACACTCAAGCCAGACGAGTTCGATTCGGATGAAGATGTCGCCACCTGCACTCTGACAGAAGAAGAGTCTCGCATCAAAGAGAGGGTTTGGGTGAGCATGAATGCCGACTGGTTGAGAAAAGATCACGCGAAGCGCATAAGGAAAGAGTTGAAGGACGCCGAAATGAGAGCAAAAGGGCTAGATCCTGCTGAAGAAGAGCGCAAGAAGAAGGCAGCCAAGGGGAAGAGAAAGGATGGCACCAGGCGGCCAGGACGGAGAGGCGATGTCAGTTATCTGGCCGAGCAGGGTCGGAAGAGGAAGGCTCCTGCCGATGAGGGCGAAGGTGGCGGCGAAGGCCAGGAACAAGAAGATGGTGAAGCCGACGAGGCAGACGGTGGCGCTAGGCCTGAAGAACCAAGAACTGCCGCCAGAGCCATGCGGCTGATGTTGGAGAACCGGCGTACGTGGTCGCACAGAATTAACTATGATGCCGTTGACCACATCTTCGCCGCTACAAGCACCAGCGAGGAAAGCGCCGAGTCACGCAGCGCAACCGGTGATGGTCAAAGTCGAAGTGGCAGCGTCGCCGCTTCCGAGGGGACACAACAGACCAGTAGAGAAGGCAGCGCGACAGGATCCCCTAGTGCCTCAACACCTGCGGCAGCCAAGGACAGCATTCCTCTCAGACACACGACTTTATTCCGCGGGAACAAGCCCAGAGGAAAGAGGCGCGGCCCTGTCGCTGCTGGACAGAAAGAGAAGGAGAGACAAGCAAGGAATGCACAGAAGAAGGCCAAGACAAGTGAGGGCCATTCGGGCGATCGATCGGCTTCAAGAAGTCGAAGCACCAGTACGCCTGCATCGGCAGAGTCGGGACCATCGCCAGAACCTCAATCTCCGAACCCAGGACAGGGGGAAGCACCACAGCAAGCATCTACGGCAGATCGACATCTTCCAACCCCTCCCGGTAAAGACACACAACTTGGGCCTCAAATACCCGGCATTACTACCACTGCTCCGGTATCAACGACGCTTGCCAACCATCCTGGTCCACAAATACCCAGCCTGAGATCCACAGCTCCGATGCCAACGCCGCCAGCCACACAGCTTGAACCAACGATTCCCAGCATCAAGAGCACCGGTCCGCAACAAGTTCGAAGCTCATCTGGAGGTGGTCCAGGAAAGGGAAACTCCAATCCAGTTGGCAGACAAGGATCCCAGTCTTCTCCTTCGGGAGAGGCTAAAGGGAAAGGAGATGAGCAGGGAGAAGCAGGTCCCGAAGAAGACGAGCTCGAGGCTGCATTGGAGGGGCGTTATCGAGCAGGCAATTCGGAGGACGAAGGGGAAGACGAAGATGATGATGAGGAAGATGAAGATGAAGATGATGAATATGAAGACGAAGAGGACGATGCCGAATAACATGGCGTTTACGGAAAATGAACGAGGGAGATACTAAACAATGCCATGCTCCGGCCAGCTTGTTGCTCAAAAACAAGCCATCCGGAGGGTTTATATGGTGTTGGCGACATGTATCAAGTTGGAAGTCGAACCTCCCAGAGAAATGAGAAGTCCTCGGCAAGTCGAATCAACCTGAAAATTAGAGTCACTTGGGCTTTATTGGACTAGGAATATGGACTGCAGAGATTCAAACACAGATGGATCGAACAGCGTGAACATGAAAGCATGGGCCCAAGATACGGAGTACTCAATGCCACAATTGCACGAGGTACTACAGTACCAGGTAGGTACTTTAGACGTTTGATAGCTTGTCCACGCTCTGCAATGCAGTTGCAATCCAAGCTCATACAGTCCGATTCGTCAAATCGCGACCCTTTCCCGCTTGCCCAGGCTCCCTGCGACTACGTACATACACTGTGAGACCGTGTACCCAAGATACCGTCCTGAAGATCAGTATTGCTGCTGCTGTTGCTAGAATTGAGGCGGACGGAAGGGCCGAAGGCGACAGGTCGCCGGGTATCAACTCACTCATCCACTCGTTCATTCCTTCATTCCGTCCTTCACTCTATAGTCCTCGGCCACCGCCCTTGCGTGCTGATCAAGGTGGTTGTCCACTCCGCCTTGTTCTGTGGCTCCAGTCTGCACGTACAAGGACGAAATGTTTGCCGGTCTCTTCGCACCCCAATTCCCGTTAAGAAAGACTGGGACCTCCTTCCACTCGCAAAAACCTGGGACTCGCTGTCCGTCCCGTCCAATCTCAACCATGTCATGTAGCGTCTGTTGTCGATTCTGCGAAGGCTTTTGAGGCCAATTGGTTCTTCAATGGCGTCGAATTCCGCGGCGTTGTGGCAGTTGTGCCGGTTCTTAGACTCCCTTTTTTTTATCTGTTGAGCCCAGCGCCTACCAGCCTACCAGCAGCCTTTTGCGATGAATCGGAGGCGCTGGCGCTGAGACGGTTGGTCCGCAAGCTCGCGGCCGGCCAAGGAGATATCGGGGAACGAAATCCCCTGTTCATAAGGATAAAGATATCACCTCTTCCATCTCAAGCAAGCTCCTCTTTGCGATTCTCCACCTCCGACCCTTTTTGTAACCAGCCTCTGCGTGGTTACAGGCAGATGCCGCTGGAAAGCTGGAACGGCCGTAAAGTCGTTCAGCCTGCCGGAAGGCGCAATATAGATATCGTTCGTCTGAACTTGCGTACTCCGCGTCTCGTGCCGGAAGCGGCTTTCCCGCTGTTGCAGAATTCATGAACTGCGATGCGATGCGATGCGATGCGATGCCTAGGCAGGGCATTCCTCCTTTTCCCTTCCTGGGTGGTGAATGATATGTCGCGGATCGCGTCTGATCAGAGCTCTCGTTCCTCATTTGCGTATATAAGTCATGCTCGTCATAACAAAAATGCTCATCCCGCGGGCGGCGTAGACACGTTTCCGGTTTGATCCTGCACATCTTCACCTCTTCACCTCTTCTTCACCTCTCGTCGTGGCCATGCTCTTCCTCCTTCTCCTCGGATATGCTCTCTCTACTCAAATCCCGTCGATGGCCCTGATTCCTCCTTGTCTCGCTCCCCTCTCCTGCGCCCGGCCCACCGGTCAAAATGTCCTTGAAGCTCATCCTCCTCGCGCGATCACGGAGACTCGGCGCCCTCGGTCGTTGCGCGCCCTGGGCTCGTCCTCCAATGAAGGGCACCTCGTGCCAGATTTGGCGACAGACGTAGTAGAGGAAGTCGTAGAGGATGGCGAGGATCCAAGGGACCATGTTCAGGATGGCCAGGATGAGCTACAAAAGCGGGAGCCGAATCAGCTGGATGTTGCCCAGGGGGGCCGTATACATTGGAGGGGTGGTGTGGAAGCGCAGACTCACAAAGGCGCGAATGATCCATGTTTCGTAGGTGGTCAAGTGAGAAGGGAGGATCGAATACCACGCCATATCGTCTACGGGGCAGTATAAGTAGTTTATACACCACCTTGCACACACCGCTAATGCGGCTACGGTAGACGAGACTTCAATTCTCTCCTCGACGGTGATTCAGCAAGGATTGGCCGCGCTCAACGAAGGGTCAGGTCGATTGCAGATGGGCACGGAACATGTGCGTCCTGTCCAAAGGTGGTCAGGCAGGCCTCGATAACATCTTGCGGATGCACCAGGCACGCAATTTGAGTCGACCGAGTGCAGCCAAGCATGAGGTGGTGGGCGAGTGGGAAGGAATGGAGGCGTCGAGCCCAACGAGTTTCTCGACCACCTCTGAGTTTCAGTTTCGAGAATACAGTACAATCGTGGCCTGCCACCACGCAGCGCGGGATTGCGTCAACGCTGACACTATATGAGAATACTGCTTATATGAGAATACCTACATGGCAACATGTTGGTCTACCGTGCTGAGATGCTGTGAAGCCTGAATGATATTGTAACTGTAAAAGCAATCTATGAGCTTTCATGGGATATCCGTTGACCATGTCAAGCAAACTAATGAAACGACAGAACGAACCCTAGCTACACACAAGCAGCTTCTTTGATTCGACGGGCACTGTGTTAACGAAGCTGCACTTTTCTCTTCTGGAACACGTCGTTTCCCTGCGAGCCTGAGAAGACATAAAATCGATGAATGAACACCGGAGAGCTTGGAATAAAAAACCACTCAGGCGGATATGACGCCAATAGTAATCGTAACCCGTACATGGCTGGCAGGACAGGGCCGCCGTACATAAGACATGGGCGAGAGCATACCGTCTCATCATGTATCTCGTCAAGTCATAAGCCTGCGCTTTTTGGCAGGTGTCGCAACATCTCGATTGCGACCATTATTGGGATCCCGCATCCGCTGGACCGGCGTGACACCCTTGTAATGAGAAGAAGTGTATGGCGATGAATGGGTCCGCTTCCTGTGGCGCGGTGCTGGCGTGGCAAGCGGAGAACTCGTCAAGTTGACGTCTAGATGCGATGGCAATCTGCTCATGGCAGGATCAGCATTGCGTCGGAAAGCCGTGACATTGCCACTGTTGAGATGCGCGAAGTCATTGCCCAGGAGATTTTGACTTCGAGGCATGGAAATAGGCGACGCGACGCCGTCACTCTCTTCCGAGTCGCTGTCAAATTGTATCACGTCGGCCAGATCAATGACGTCTTCGCCGAGTTCATCTCCCTGAAAGCCGCCCAGTATGTCATCGTCGAATAGAAAGTTGGTAGAGGGATAAAATGCTTCGAGAGGACCAATCGCCTGCCCTTGGTTCAAGAGCCCGTTGGTAACAGAATTGAGGCCGGCAAGCATGATGTCTGGTGTCGGGCCGACCATAAGATCGGTTGATTCCCGATCACCAGCATCGCTTTCCTCAATAAGCTCAGCAAAACCTACGTCGGGACTAGAAGTCTGAGATGCACCGTAGCGACGAGCGAACTCTTCCCCCAGCAAGTGAGGATTGGTCATGAGAATGATCTTGCCCGAAGAGTCGAGAATGCCGGATGTCTTATCGCCTTCGTCGATGAATATTCCCCGAGGAGGACCTTTACGACGAGCAGGCTTCTTGCCAGACTTCTTACGGGGCGGCGAAGGTGGGGGTGACGCATTTCTTCTCTGTTCGAAACCGTTTGGGGTGCTCTGGAGTGCTTCTTCCGGCAGGCAGTCGTCGGTCAGATCAGCTGCAGGGCGTTAGTCATAGTGCGCGGAAGCGAATCACATTGCAACATACAGTCATCCAAATCCTCAACCAGTCCGCCAACACGGTTATCAACACCATGGTTAGAAAAAGGAGTGTCAGGTAGTGCTGACGGCAACAATGCGCGAGTAATGGTGGGCGACTCCGACATGCGCATGAAGAGTGTGGGATCTGCGTCGGCGGCAAAATGCACATGCCTCTCCGCAACGGCTTCAGTGGCACTGTCACCACTTTGAGATGATGGGAAACGATAGATACTACCGTCGCTGTCGTCGCCGAAGCCGTAGGCGGACAGCCCATCAATTTGGTTGAGGAAGTCAGTATCACTTAGCTCTTCCTCCGGGAGCATTACAAGTAGTTCTTGCTGCTGAATGCGGCGTTCATCCAAGTCGTCGTCGGAGTCACTGATGTCGTCGACGGCCTCATACACATCGTTGTCATCCTCGTCCGAGTCTGCGAAGACCTTCTCCTCGAATCGTTTTCTATTCTCCTCGGGAGAAACATTTGGGTCTTCGTCTTCCTCGTAGTAGTCGTCAAAATCCCCAAACATGCTGTCCGAGCCAGCCATGGAGACATTGTCATGAACAGTCCGAAATTTCCGCCCCGCCCCGTTCATATGTCCAGAACGAGACGGGGCTTTGACAGCTGGCAGGTCGTCTTCATCATCAGCGTCCTCTTCGCTGTCTTCGTCTGACGCATCGTCCGCACTGTCGAACCCACCGAAGCTGGACGAACTATTCACGGAGACAGGAGTATCCGCTCTCTTCCTTTTGCCAGACTTCTTTGTGACAGCGTACTTGCGCACAGGTTTGCTCTTCTTCCCATTCGATGGTTGGTACAAGTCATTTGGATGTTCCTTCGACGATTTGGTCATTTTGATGGTGGAGCCTAGCATTGGCTGCCGGCCACGGGAGTTGCGGGTGTAAAGACGAGACATCGTGATTGTCTTTGGGGCTACTAGGGGTATCAAGGGTATGGATATGTGTGGGAGGAAGTGGTGGGTTGGTTTGAGGCAAAGGTGAATGGGCGAAGAGTCGTCCTAGGTGTCGAAAAAGATCGAGGTCAACACCTTCTGTCGCCGAGGACGAGATGGTGCCTTAGTGGTGTGTAGATGAAGCAATTTCGAGGGCAGTAGTTGTCGTGAGCTCCTACGCGGTAGAGCCTCGAAAGAGTAGATATCGAAACGAGGATTTGCTGAGGCGCTGCTTGACCGACCACGAGAGACCCCAGAGGGGCCTCTCCGGCCGTCTAGAAAGCAGCGAAGGCCATAGCAAAAGATGATCCTCGAACGATATGTGATAAGAATGCTTTTACTGCTTGCTTGATCTGGTAATAATGGTGCGGTCGGTGATACTGGCGTTGTGCTTGGGAGAGAGAAAAAAGAGAGAAAGTCAGCACAAGGGCAGGAAAAGGCTGCACTTTGTACAGGCCCGCACTTGCGTCGCTTCCTCCACACGCCTGCGCACCTGGCATGCAATGGCCACTGACCGTGCAGCCGGAAGCAGAATATCCTCCTAGCCTGGAACTGTTACTCGCTAACATACTCGGGTTAAGCACCGCTCCACCAGGCGGATCTAAACGCCTTCACACCGCTATTCCCGCGTGCCTCTACTGGACAACTGGCTTGTCTCGATGCTACGTACTCCGTATTGTGGCATAATTGGTTCCAGACTACTTGTAGCGCTGGTCACTGCCACTCAACGTCCAGAATATACGTGCATTCCCCGTTCAGTGACCTTCGAGAATCAGTCGAGCTTGTAAAAAGTTTGCTGACTGCTCGAGGGGGAAAAATAAATAGAATTCCAAAGACCCCCTCGCGTGCTCCGCGGGCAGCGGACGAGCCAATCAGAGGGGAGCCTGTGAAAGCAGTGACTCAAGGTGCCAAGAGCAGCCCCTCGCCTATCAAACTCAATTTAATGAAGCCGCACAGAGCTACTACTCGGTACCTCACAGCAATGACGAAAACATATTCAACGAATGTCTTGAACAATGGATATCAAAAGAATAGGAGCTCCGTTGATTAAAAGGCCCCTTCTCGCCAATTTGAGCTCCAGCAAAGTCAAACCAGGTCATTCGTTCGTGGTAATACGGGATACAAACAATTTCAATGCTGAAACCAGAAACGCAGAGAAGAAAAATAGAATACCCCACACGCACGCTCCGCCCGCTTTCATCATAACTGTGTAATGTGGCAGGTCATCACGCGTTCATTCTCCTCATTGATCAATCTTCCCTTGATGGACCGGTCCCGCGCAATACCGCTTGGTCATGGTACCGTGGTTGGAGGAATGGGCTTAGGCTCCACTTGGACGGGCTGCTCAGGCACCTCAGTCGCTTGCTTCGCAGCTTCTACCTCTTGAATCCCAGCCTTCACGTCTTCGATGGATGCTCCTTTGTCGGCAGTCGTTGTCGGACGTTCATCTGGATGCTCTGCCCTGTATTCCACGTCTAGCTTCTGCATCTCCTCTTCTGTAAGCTGTCGTTCTTTCTCCAACCTGACTTCGCGGCCGCGTTTGTGACAGTACCAGAAGACGAATAGAAGTACTGTCCAATGAGTCAGAGATTTGCAAGCCTTTGTTAAGTGGGCAACCTGGAGGTCGAGGAGTACATACCGAACATTGCCAGAGACCACAACACATTGACCCCCATGAAGGCAGGGAACCTCGCGCGGAGGTAGTTCATAATCGATCTTAGCGTGGCCGTTATGGCAGTTGGCTTACCAACCAGCTCTTTGAGCGATGGTGTCTTGAAGCCCATCTTCTTTGCGGCAGCAGCCGCTTTCCCGGCGTTTTCCATGTTGACGCCGCTTTTCTGCGCTCTCTCAGCTGCTGCGGCCATTATCTCGGGTGCGAAACCCTTGGTCATCGTCTCGGGAAGCCGCTCGATGAGTTTCTGGAGGAAGCCTGGGAGAGAGTTGAAGGTGCTTTGCAGCTGCCTGTCGCTATTGGTCAACAGTTTCTCTAGATCATCGTACGCTGTGGGAACGCCATTGATGAGGTCCTTGAACACAAGATTGAACTTCTGCAAGAGCTCCTGGGTTTCGTCGCTAATTGAGAAGACGCGATTATTGACGGCAGCAAGGTTGAGTCGTTCGAGCATGATAGTCATGTCCTCTTCCTCCTTCTTCGCTTGCTTCTCTTCATCAGTGTCTTCAGCTTCACGCCTCTTGAGGTCCGCGGCGATATCGTCCAATCCAGCAGCAGTAGCTTCATTCAACTGGCGCTTTGCATCTCGACTGTCGCGTCTGAGCCAGCTCCATGCTTTTCTCGATCTCGACTCTGGTGCGAGCTGCTGGTCGTCATCCTGAATCATATCAGGCTCTTCAGCAAGTTCGGATGGTGTCCCAGGAGGCAACGGGACGTTCTGTGCGCCATCCATAAGAGCAAGCTGCGCATCCTTCACTACTGTGGGCACATCAGGCCGTGCTGGGAGTGGAGGTGGATTTTCCTGCGAGGTTATGTGATCGAGAAATTTCTCATCCTCCTCCGATAAGACAGGCGCCTCAGACTTGCGTGCCGTCGCAAGACGGGCTTTGGCTTTGATGTAATTGATATATTCCATTGCCATAATGTCCGACCTATCGCGAACGTCGATTACAAGTGAATATCTAGGGCAGAACCAACAATCCTAGGGTATGCGAAAGTTGAAAAGAACGGAGTGAACGAAGTGAAAACGAGGAGGGTATCACAGCTATTATCGATGATGAACAGGAAATGCATCTCGAGCACATGGTAACAGGCCGATGATGGAGAGCTGGCGCGCCTGCGCCACAATGACGTCGACGCCAGGAGTTGGTGTTCACTGTCAAAATCGAATAGCCAATTACCTCCCACCTCGGCCGACACACCAGAGTGTGCCGGCGCTGGAGTGCATTCCTCGAACGCGATCTTGTACGCGGATCGTCAAGAAATCAGCAGTGCTTGAATGTCTCTGACAGTCCTTCATGGCAATGAGGTAAAGTCACCTCCATCTAGTGTCTGAGTTGGTGGGAACAAGAGATGACCCGTTTTAGTAGAAGTTTATGGCAGGCAGGACGGTCGCCATTTCTACGGAAACAGCAGCATTGGAGACGATGGAGGTAAGAGCCCAACATCTACTATTAATACCTCTGGCGTAAGCGTATTGCACTTTGTGGAAGCCGGATGACGGTTTGGAGACTTCGACTCCGTTGGAAGTACAACTGAAGTTGAAGGTGGGAGTGGCTGCGTTGCCGGGAGTCATGTGTATGAGACTTCGCTTTCATCTCTACTGGGGGGCATGCGGTTCACAGGTAGCTTTCACCAGTTGAAACAGACCTGAGCGCGTGAAGCTCAGATATCACCCTTGCAACCAGTGTTCCGCAGTCAATTTCAGCTTCAACTGCCTTTCCCGTCACCTCCTCTCACCCTTCAAAACCCTATCGTTCCACCCAGTCTGGCTGTCTTCTCTTTGCTACTGGCCTCATATCCTGACATTGGCTGTTGTTTTTCTTTGCTGCTCAATTATGACGAGATTCGGAATGTCTTTTTCGCCCTCACTGCCACCAGACACCGAGGACGGGGACAGTGACCGCAACGACCGCAACCCACTGCCTTTTCAGAACCTCAGCTTTCGAGGAAAATCTCCGACATACCCTTCAGTGAAAGTGTCCCCTTCACTCGTCTTCCATCAGAGCACTCACCGCCTTCCCTACTTTGCACACCAGCAGCTCGACCCGAGTTATTTCCCATTAGGTATGTTTGCATTCAAGCGCAGCGAAATACCAAAGCACTGCCTCTTCGGTTCTGACCCTACCAGGTGTGGGTCGACCGGTTGGCGGTCCCATAGTCGAGGGAGAAGAAAGCGACCGGGGTTGGGACGAAGAAGATAGTGAAGTCGGAGCCGACCTTGAATCCGATGCCGATGATGACCTGTACTCCGATAAGCCGAAGCGACGCCGCAAGTTCGAGTCCTCCAAGATAGCCAATGCTGCCGAGCTCAAGAAGATGAAAATCCAGGGAGGCCGCCCTGCCGTGGCGAAGAAGGTCACAGCCGACCTGGATTCCGATGATGAGCTGATTGTCCGCATGAAGGAAGCACGATATCTGGAGAAGGACATCGCGAAGGCTCTCATCGACCAGGGTCGCACTGCCTACAACCCAAAGACGATTGGCACTCGCTGGAGACGCATCAAGGCGGCTTTGCAGAAGAGACAGGACGACTTGCTTGATGCTGACTTGACGGATTGGCACGAGGGCGACGTAAGGCTTTTCCTGGGAACTCGTGTCGGCAAAACTGACTGTCGCTAGGATGACGTTCTCTTGCAAGCGGTTGTAAAGACAGACAAGGAGGTCAAGAGGCTGAAAGAAGAGATCGAAGCTAAGAAATGGCGTATGGTGGCAGATCAGATGAAGACCATGAAGGCAAGTTTCGTGCTTCTGATGCAATCCTAGACCTTTGCTGACGCTCTTGCTCCAAGCCCATTGTCAACTTCTCGCAGAATGCTTGTCGTGAGCGATATGAAGCTCTCCAGGCAGGGATTGCGAAGCCCACTCCCGAGTCGATTGAGAATCCGTCGGAGGAGATTCTCGAGCGCATCAAATCACGTCAAGACAAGGAGCGAAAGATCGCGGAAAGCAGGCAGTACAGTGTATTGGAACAGAAGAATGTCGAGGCCAACGGATGGACATCAAGGATGCGGACCTACTTCTAGACTGAATGGACGCCCGTGTCGTTGAGGGAATACGCCAGTGACCTTGGGTGCGCCGATATTGCGAGCCCACTCTCCACACCAGGCACTTCCACATAACAGCGGAATTTTCGTCCTCGGCAATGTCAGGAGTGCTTGCAACTTGGCTTCCGCCTGGCCGATTACCTTCGCTCAACAACCGATGCGCTGGGTGAAGTTGGGTATTTCGACATTGACCCAAAACTTCGGGTGAGAATGCAGAGCTTTACCAGGAACCGAGCTATCAGAACTGTCGTCTGTAGCCGGACTGAATGTGCACAGGCGCCCGGAAGAATGGAGAATGACGACGTCACGAGCTGAGGTCGTGGTCTCTGATAACTCTGGCGCGATCCCCGTTATGGGCACGAGACGCGTGCAGATGTCGAACGCGGTCAGCTGACGATGTCAACAAATGATTCACAAAATATCATGGAAGCTTCAACTCATTGCTTTGCACGATCGCCCCGACCCATCCCCGCCTAGGTTATTGCAGCTTGTCCTGCAAGCGTTCCTGGGGAGAGGCGCAGTTCACCCAACCATGATTTGACGGCGCAGCTTCGTTGGCGTGGTTGCCTTCGCCAAGCCCTGCAGCCGCCTGCGCCTTGGGTATATCTTTCGCTTCGTTCGCTCCATCTTCCTTCCTTTCCTTTCTTCACGCAAATGAGCAGGCAAATCAACGCGCGTCCGGAAATCTTTGCTTGAGCAAGGACTTTCGACCGTCGAGTTTTCTGAGTGGTTTCCATTGGCTGTTGGCTCTCAATCTCTCCGGATGAGGCTGGCAGGCGAGGGGGTCATCCAGAAGACTTCGCAGCTCACGGATCACCTGGTACTCTGTGGATCAAGCGTCGCTCAAGAAAACCTATCACGCTCTCTACAACTCTCATAGGTTCTTCTGCCGTTCCTTCATACCTTCCTTCGCTCGTTCGTGTATCTCTGGATCTTGACAACCAACAAGAATGCCAATGCGCTCTCTCGACGAGATGTTCAAGCGATCGTTCAACACCAGGGATGGTCGCATCGTCAAGTCGAAGACCACAAAGACCAATTATCCCGAACATGTGAAGAAGAAGATGCAGGACACTGTGGACGCCGGCTCGCCAGTGGCAAGGTAGGCAGCAGCCAGAGAGCCATCTGCGCATGCGCATGGTCAAATCACTGATCGCAGTCCAGTACGCTGACGAGTCCCATCGTCACCTTGGTGGTGGGTCATGAGCAACGTCTTTTCGCTGCTCACGAAGACGTCCTCTGTCATTCACCCTACTTTGTTGCTGCCCTGAAAGGCCAGTTCCTGGACGGCGGTTCGAAGAGGGTGGAACTGCCCGATGAAGAACCCGAAATCCTGTCTTGCGTCCTCGAGTTTCTGTACAAGGGTGACTACTATCCCCGCTTGGTGCACAACAAGCGGCGAAACACTTGGGATCTTGAGAATGCCGAGCAGGATCTAAAACATGGTGGCCGCGGAAGCAGCGCATCGACAATCTATCTCTCTGAAGCCGGTGGCGATGTCCTCAGGGACACCGTCGTGTACTGCGCTGCCGACAAATACAACCTGGAGGAGCTGAAGCGCGTGGCTCTACGGAAACAGGGGCTCCAGTCGGGAATCCAGGTTGATGTGATCTTGCGATCGGCTCGGTATGCGTATGCACACACGCCGGACACAGAGTCGCGCCTCCGCGCTCATTACTTGGCTCTGATCATTCGAAGTCGCAAGACTTTCAAGAGGAGTGGAACCATGCAGATGGAAATGGAGAATGGGGGCAAATTGTTTTTCGACCTGTTTGTGGCCATGTGCAATCACATCGATGACATTGTCGAGATCAGGTAAGCTCACGCGTGTTCTGTGGTGGATGATCCAGTGATGGCTCGTGACAGGGGCTTACATCATTCCAACAGCAATAGCAGGTCTCCCAAAGTCATCTAAGGGCTGCAATCGTCGCGAACGGGATCGATGGTTTGGAGCTATGATGTGAGGTAGGACAGTATGGTCACCAGGGCCGTTGGCATCGACTACGGGTCGTTTGGAAACCCGTTCGCCTGCTTTGACAGCAAGCAACAAACTCCACTTCTCCTCGAGGTTGGCCGACGACACCCTTACTGGTTTCATCACAGAACCCTACTCTTTCTAATGGCACCTGATTTGGCGCAATTTCGGCTTTCCGCTCTTTCACAGCAGAAACTGGGATTTTGAAAATTCCAGGGAAGTAATCGACTCAATACAGACACAGTGTGCGATCTACAACTCGCAACTCTTATGTATCTATGGGTTGTTTCTCGACTCAACTCGGCGAAGACATCTGATATGGTGAAGCTACTCTCGGCTCAATCCCTGGGGATGGGCACGGGAACCTCTATGATCAAGAAATAGGAAATGAGAGATTCGGCCACCTCAAACGTTCTATCTTGGTCTGCTTCTCGGTGAACTGACACTATGCAGCAGGTCTTATTGCCAAATGGGGACCCTTGGGTGATTCCCGACTGACTTCTCAGTTCGATTTCTTCACATGCTCTGCGCCTCGGGTGCCCGTTCATTTCCATTCGAGAACTGACCCAATCTCTTTCAGCCGTCACTCACTCTTCATCTCTTTATCCAGCTTATCTCTTTTATACCTGATGTTGATCATATTGGCACATTCGATATCCAACTTCTACATCCAGCTTCTATGATGATTGCCTCTTTCCTTGCACCTCTGGCTCAAATTTCTGGTCGCTGATTTCTCCTGGATCGAAGTTTGGACCCAGTCTAGTTGATCACCGCCATCCGACTTTCGGATTCACCTCTTCTCGATCGTGTCCACGATGTCAAGACGCCGGAATGGGCGTAAGGTGTCAGTGGACGAGCCACTGCGACAAGATTCACAAGAAGCACTATTTGTACCAGAGTTCGGCGGCGATGCGGAGGCTACTGAGATCGGTAGGGAGACTTTTCGTGGAGACCATCGAACCAATACAAGGAAACGACGAAGAGTATGCACGGAGAGGAAGTCAACAGCGACGACAGCCTCAATGAACTCACCATTGCAATCGCCTATTAGGCCGAAACCAGCCGGGCCTCGACCATCAGTCAGAATCAAGTCAGAAGCTGAAAGTCAGGCGCTCGCTGACCTGCGATTGAAGGCCTCGAGTGAAAAGGTGCGAATCTACGTGGGAGCTAACAATACAGTCTATGAAGTGGGCTTGGAGGACCTCGACAAAGCTGCGGCGCTGAAAGCGCTAGTGAACAAAACCGGTACCCAGACACCATTTATCATGCATCCAGAATTGACGGAAATCTCGGCGGACCACTTTCACTCGGTATATGAGTTCCTATTGACACACGAGTACATGCCTGCGATCATCGATAACCCACTGGGAGAGAACAGACTTCCCAAACGACTGGACGGGTGCACCTCGGCAGCCCATTACCAAGAGGAAGCATTGAGAGGAGCTCATCTCTATGTAATCGCTAAGCGCATCGGATTGAAGAGCATGCAGGATCTGGTGGTGCGGAAAATTACTCAAGCTCAGCACCAACCATACGATGTCGAATGTCTTCTCGGCATCGCCATGATCGTGTTTTCAAGACCAGAGGCGAACGCAGCGTTTGCGCCGTGCAATTCGGAGATAACGTCGAACATTCAAGACAGCGGAGGCGATCAAGACGTTCTCGAGGAGTGGCTCGTTCAGAATTTGGGAGACAAGCTGCAGCCCCTGATGATCAACTACGCTCAGTTGTTCTTTGAGGTCGCGAACCATGGTGCCTGTGCGGCTCGCGGGTTTGGTGCCAGGGTACTGCGACGAAAGGTCGAGTTTTGGGACACAGTGGGCGCGGATGTCATCGCAATCGAAGACGACGAGTGATAGCAAGAGAGCAAATGCTGTCAATGCTCGGGATCCCAAGGGAGAGGTCATGGTTTTCGGTCCTCGGCTGTGGATGCCTTGATTAGTTAAGCTACCGGATGAATAGCAGCATCGACGACCTTTTGATTCTGTCGGGGTATCGAAAGATGCAGTAACAACAGGCGCATAAGCTGCTTTTTGCGGCGGCCGTAGCAGGTCTTCTCCGATCACTTGGATCATAAGGCATCTCGCGGAAGTAAGGCGATCAATATCTTTCCTGCACATTCGCGGCTAGTTCGCCGGGCGGCGTACAAATGATACGATGACCTTGTACCACAGTGGCTCGTACCCTAGGTACTACTCCCTACTGCCTCGGCCGGCCCCCAGTTGGTGCCCCAGATTTTGCTCGCTTGTCACTGTGGAACACCGAAACACCCCACTGCACTGCACCCCACCACCGTTCGTTTATTCAACTTCCCCTCACGACGCAGCCCCGCGCATTTGGTTTCCCATCTGATCACTCCAGACGAGCAGCGCAGCTCGAAGTGCGGCAGTGCGAGAACATGTCTTTTGGCGACTTCGACATTCCTCTTTCGGAGGCTGGGTCATCCGCCTGCCGATGCATGCCATTTGGGTCTTGGGTCGCCTCACGACTCGGAGTGACTGGGCTGAAGCTTCGCTCCGCCTGTGGGCCAGACTTGCGAGATACACCGAGTCAGGCCGAGTCAGTGACCTTGACACTCTTCCGAGTTCTGGGTCTGTGGCCGTGATGCGTGCGTCCAGGATTGGGTTATCCCGAGAACACATTGGCTGCTTGCTTAGGCAAGCAATGCTGAGGGCTTCAAACCCCTCTTCTTGCCCCCTGCCCACTGACCTGGCGCGTATCCTGCACAATGATTCCGCAGTACGTCCTTGGGCTGGACTACATAACCGAGCACGCGTCCCGACCCAGGCTTTCTTGAGCCACCCCTCGCTGTACACTCCTCGCCTTTCCAGTCGGATCTTGTGTCTTCTGTGCCCTGACTTGCCAGTTCCATTTCCTGACTTACTCGCCTCTTCACTATGGGCGAACCTGCTCCCACCTTCGACATCCCGAAGGAGTGTGTGGCTGCTGTTGTTGTACGTTGCTCCCAGTGCCATCTCAGACAACTTCGACCTCTCACACTCTGTCGCAGAAAAATGAAGGTCCCGACTTCTACGTCGAGGTGGAGAAGGTCCCCGTACCGGAAGTTGGTATGATCCCAGCTCGTCTCCTTGGACTCCCGCACTATATCGAACTATCTGACCGCTTCTTGCCTCTGCAGGGCCCAACGACGTCTTGATCAAGCTCAATGCCACCGGGCTGTGCCTCAGCGATATCCACTTCATGCTTAACGACTGGAATCTCCCGAAGATGTCTGAGATGGGGACGAAGTGTGCCGGTCACGAAGGAGCTGGAGTGATTGTCAAGGTTGGCGAGAACGTCAAGGCATATAAAGTCGGGCAGCGCGCCGGGTTCAAGCCCATTCAAGATGTTTGCCACTCTTGCGAATACTGCAAATCTGGCAAAGAGACATACTGCACACAGGCCGTCTTTACCGGTGGCATGTGTGACGGTGAGTGAGGGCAGTCCTGGAGCAGAGTAGGGTATTGATGGCCTGCAGGATCCTACAAGCAATATGTCGTCTCTCCCGAGAACTACACTACTGTGAGTTTTGTATCGCGCTCCGAGTGACCACAGCTGACGGTCCGCAACAGATCATCCCGGATGTATGTGCAGCCTGAGAAAATGCAGTGGTGCTGTCGAGTTGTAACACTTTCGCAGGGCGTATCGGACTATGTTGCAGGCCCCGTCATGTGCTCGGCATCCACTATCTACTCCTCTCTCAAAGAATCAGACCTGAGGCCAGGTCAGTGGGCAGTCTTCCCAGGTGGTGGCGGCGGCGTCGGCATCCAAGGCGTGCAGCTGGCTTCCGCAATGGGTATCCGACCAATCGTTGTTGATACTGGAGACGAGAGACGGAAACTTTCATTGAGCTTGGGTGCTGAACATTTCATCGACTTCAAGGAGGAAGACCCGGTCAAGAAAGTCCTTGAGATCACAGGAGGTGGTGCTCACGGCGTAATTGTGACAGGTATGAAATGACCAAGCCCCACAGACGCGACATACTGACGACGCGATAGCTGTACAATCTTACCCCATAGCACTCGACTATCTAGGAAACCGCGGAGGTGGGCAAGTCATGTGGTGAGCAAATACACGATCTGGGTAGCTGTCAACGCATCGCTGATATGATCCCAGCATCGGAATCCCGCCACATGGCAAGTATCACGTCGACCTTGACCCTTCGAAGTTGGTCTTCAGGAACCAGTCCATCAAGGGCACGCTGGTCAGCAGTCTGGCGGACATTGATGAAACATTGGATTTCGCGAGACGAGGTATGATCTTCGCGGACTGCTAGTGCCCGAGCTGATATCGTTCCAGGTAAACTACGCCTTGAGCCCACAGTAGTCGGGTTAAGCAAGTTCAACGAATCAGTCCAGAAGCTCAAGAATGGGCAAGTAGCGGGGTGAGTGCTGCCACAAGACGAAATGCAATGCAGAGCATCTACTAACCAGTATAGACGCATCGTGGTGGACTTTAACTTGCCGTAATGCATCGAAGCGCTGGTCCATCGCCATTCTCGTGAACCGCCGTAAGGTAGCCGGGGCGCCCAAGAAGGAATGTCCGTGCAGTGGTGCTGTCGCAGCAGACACGCTGGCGCATAGGCCAGCAGATGTATCCTCGAAGTATCTTGCTATAGTCCGAACCGGCAATTGCTACCTGTGAAGAACTTGCATGTGCTCCAGACCGTTCTTTGCGTGTTCGTCAAGAACCGAACGCAGATTCAATGCGTGGTGGATGCCCGACCAATCACGATACGGAACCGCGTATTTGATCCAGGCACCCGAAATAGAGGCGCCAATCACAGCAATGCGTACGCGCTGGGCGTGTTTCAAGCTATTTCACCGGCTCTTCACTTGTACTTCACCCTCCTTTCTTCCTCTCTCTCAATATCCACCTCGCCCGTCTTCGCCTCTGCGATTGGCTTCCCTCACGGCCAATGGGCTTGAACAGCGCCTTTGAAGATGTGATAGATCTCAATGATCTGGCATAACTTCTATCTTGAGCCGCTAAACGCCAGCCAAGGTAGCTCTTCTCCCATCGCTCACCCATTGGGTCGCTTGCATCATAGGAGATGTCTCTGTAAGTCAGTTATCTCTCTGACCAACGAACCGTTGGTGGCTGTCTGGATGCTTTCATATCTCCTCATTCCCAGCCATTGCTCTCATCCTTCTCTTCTGTCCTCGTGTGTGTCTGGTCTACCATCGACAGTTTATTGAGGCTGTGTGCTGCGCGTTGTGCATTCCCTTCTCCTTCACTTCTTCACTCCGTTCTCTCTACGTGCAGCAGGTCTGCTCCTCTCAGTGTCTGTCAGGAACAGCATAGCCAACCGTACGCTGCAATCGTGCATTCATCATGGCCACCGCAACCGCTACCACAACCACTTCCGCGATACACGGCTTCTCCCTCTTCCCCACCACAGTTCCCAAGATCGCCATCCCGAATCCCCACAAGAGAAATCCCAGCTTGCACAGGATTAGCATGGTGGCGTCACCAGACGATACTCTGTCACCTGCGGGAGAGTCGGTTGTATTCAAGATGGAAGAGGAACGACCACCCTTGCCTCAACTTCCCACGCACTTCAACGAGCAGCATCGAACACGAGAATCAACACCCTCGCCAGATGATATCGGCCGAGCAGTGACCACGCACTCGCCTATAGACGGCCGAACTCCAACTCAGGCTACCTCACCGTCCACAGCAGCAGCCAAATATACACCCTCACTTTATCAATCACCAGGGATGAGCCAGTCGTCTCCACAGCCTTCTTCATCGCTAGGCACAGGATCAGCTACTACGTTGGTCGCCCAGCCGGCTCCCACGGCATCAACACCGATTAACAGGAACAAGTCACCTGTCGATCCATCTCCGATTGTCCCAATCCGGTCAATGTTCCCCGTCTATGATCCTTCTGTCCCTCTAACTCAGCAAGCATATGCTCCACCTAGACCGCTACCAGCGAGGCTGTCGGGCATGCCACCTTTCGCTGCCCCTGCACGGGAGGAGTACCGAAGTAGTTTGTCGATGCCTTTTACTGCCGCGGCGGCACCGAGGACAGCCCCTGCTAGCGTCCTCAATTTCCCTTCAGATGTCATGAGTGTGAATGTCGGCCCACGCGTTTCGACACAGAGGGAGCTAGAGAAGTTATGGGACGTGTCCCATGGCACGGAGCCCGGGTGTTCGATAAGGAGCTTTGAGCTTGAGATGGCCAGAACGGAGGAGGCAACATTTGTGTTTGGCTCGCATCCCTCGTTACCTTTCTACACACTCCAGACATACGACACCAACGAAATTGCTGTCAGCAAGACCTGCCCGAAGCGGGTGCCCCCCTCAGCCACATCACCTTCGTCCGCCGAACCTCCTTTGACACGCGACGTCGTCCTCTGCCCGCTCGAGCCCGCCGAACGCAGGCAGCCACCCAACGACGGCCTCGTGGCTTTTGTCTTCCCCAAGCTCGCGGCCATGCTGGCAATCAACCAGTCCGCCGCGCTTGCCAAGCAACACAACCTCGCTCCCACGGACAGAGACGACATCGAAGCCCAGGCCGTGCGAAGAGCAGCCAAGCAAGAAGCATGCAGCCTTCGGTACAACGCCAGAGGCGGCTTCTACGAACTTGAACATCCGGCCATCGGGCGCGGCGCCATGGGCGGCGACTTTGCGACCAAATCGCCGATCCCCAGCTCCCCTACGACCATTCGCTCAATAACGGGAAAACCGGTCCTACACATCATTATCTCCAAAGACAGTCCCCTCCCTTCCATCCACGTCGTTGACCCTAACGCTTCCCGCCGCGCGGCCGCAAGCATTATGACACCCACGACGGCGAACCCATCGTCAGCAGGACCCGGCATCCGCCGCTTCTCAACCATCCCTCAGACGGAAACGTCTCCTTCCTTGGAATTTCCGCCCCTCGCAACACTGGACCTGACGTCTGAAATCCTCCACATCGACGCAAACTCCATCCTAGAACTTATGCCGTCTCTCTTTAGCATCGACTGCGTCGTGTCGGCCATCATGGCCGTCGCAGTCGCGGATGCGACCACAAACCCTGCGTTGGGCAGCATGGAGGTCTGGAAGCCCCGACCCGCACCACCGTCCCGATATGGCGGCCCTGCTACAGGAGCACGCAGCATCTTCAACGGAGCGGGAGCGCCAGGGAGCGTCCGGCCCGTGGGCACCCGACCCGGGAGCGTGAAATCCTACGCCGGGTCAGCCTTCTACGCCACCATCGCCGAGCGAGAAGAGGCCGAGGAGGAGGCCAAGCTGATGCGAAAAACTCACCGGGAGGATGTCCGCGCGGCTAGGTCGTCCTCGAAGGCCAAGTCCAAGTCCAAGCCGTCAAGAACATGGTTTGGTCGCTCTACCTCGGAAGAGACAGACTCGTCATCCGATATCGAGCAAGGGTCATCGCGGCGCAAGAACAAAAAGAACAAGAACAAAAAGATCGTCATGCGTGAGTTCGACCTCGAGAAGCTGGGCCACTACCAATCCGGCGACCGCAAGGGCGAGGAACTACCCGCCGTGACGAGAGGCGCGATTGGAGGCCTGGTGATGGGGTTGAAACTTGTCGTGTGGTTTTTGACGCTCGTGGTCCAAGTTATTACATGGTTGCTTGTGCATATTACACGCGGTGTTACCAGTGAGAAGTTCTGATCGCACCAAAAGGGAAATTCAGGAAGGGATTGGCCTTGTTGGTTGGGTTTGGCTTGGTACCTAGGTCAACGGTGCTTGGGGACATGAATGACTTGGAGGACTTCTCTTTGCGTTCACACCGGATAAATATATCTATTGCATTGGATTGCGGAGGGTTGCATATAGCGGGCTGGATTGAACTGGGTGGACTTTGGTGGGATGGGATCGATTCACTGCGCATGTCCCAAGGAAGGCGCCTCATGGGAACAGAACTTCCCGGGCTGGACGGGCGCTCACTCATACAGCACCTACCTGTGCTGGATGTTACAGTAATGGTATACAGGACACGCTCGCAAGACACGTCAGGTGTTCATGCAAGGAGCAGAATCAAACAGTGCAAAACAAAAGACTAAATTGCGCAGCACAGTGCTTTCGAGACCAGTAGTTGTTACTGTATGTTTGACCTCGACAACAAAATTCCATCTCGACTGCCCGCCGGCGTCCTGTCTCGCAGCTTTGCTGGTGAGGTGTGAACGGGGAAACACAACGGAGTAAGACTAGGTACCCATGGTCCAGTACGTCCACAATCCGACAACATCGCTCAATAGCGAAATAGCGATACCGCAGCACTACCGCAATTCGAATCATTTACTACATACTACACGAATCAGTCATTGATACCACCACGTACCATACTCAGTATTGCGCCTGGTCAAGCAAGTGCCTCGCCCTCCGCTCATACTCTGCCATGGCGAAGAACATGATGGCAGGGCCCACACTGATCCTCGCGACACCTATCGCCGCCAACTCGGCCACCGTGAGCCCCTCCTCCCACTTGAACGAGACGCTCAACCGCCCGTCAAAGGCCGCGACCAGCCGCTCGACTTCGGCACGACTGACGCCGCGCTGCCTGCCGCCCCACACGAACACGCTCGTCGCGCCGGCATCCAGATACCTCTTCCCGCGCTCGATGACCTCGGCGAGCTCGCCGCCTTGGACGAGCGTGTCGCATCTCGCGTTGACCACAAAGTCACGCAGCCCAGCACCCGGGGCATCCCCAGCGACTTGCACGGCGGTCCGCACACGCGCCGCGGCCTCGTCGACCGAGTAGAACGTCTTGGCCTCCCTGTCGTAGTCCTCGAGGTTGATGCCCACGGCGCCGGCGGCGATGACCTGCCGGACCGCGTCCGCGAGTCGGTCGCCATACCCGTCCTGTAAGTCGACGGTCAAGGGCTTGCCGTGGGCGGCGGCCACTTTGCCAATCTGTCGCGCCGCGGCGATGTTTTGGTCCAATGTCAGCTCGTCGTCCGTCGTGCCGGCCGCGAGCGCGACCGAGTAAGACGCCGTCGCGAGGGCGTGGCAGCTTGGAAGGCCGGCCACCGTCTTGGCCGAGAGGATGTCGTACACGTTGGCCAGCACGAGAGGTCGGCCTGGACGGTGGAGATCACGGAACGTCTTTGCTGTTTCGCTAAGGTTTGCCGGAGCCATCTTCGCGGGAATGCTGTATACTGTATTCGCTTGGGTGTAACCCGGATTGTACAGATGATGGAAGAAGAAGGTAGGAAGGACTAATCCGCGAGATACATAGTACTTAGTCAGGGTCGTGAGCGGCGGGGTCGTGTTTGACTTTCGTATACGCGCACGGCGTATTCATGCACAAGGTACCTAAGGTTACTGTCTGTGGTAGGGCGTGGCTTGGCTTGGCTGCCGTCCTTCCTGACTGGGATAAATTCGTAGGTTCTAGAGGGTGTTCATTCCCTGCCGGTGAAGTGAGCCAGTCAATGGAGGGCCACCAATGTGCTCATACTAGCACAATTTTTAAAAGTGACGGGGAAAGGTGTTTCTATCATTAAGGTCCGGCATGGTCGCGCTCTCACGTGCATGATTCAACATGGGATGCGTCCTGCCATCAGTGGTCTGTCCCTTACCGGACAACCAAAAAGACCTCGGCGTTGCAGCTGCAGACGAACCGATATCATGTCATTCACGACGGACAGAATCGGAGTATACTGTACTTCCGAGTACTGAATGGCAGGGAACGAATGTCCACAAAGACCCTCTGCAGAAGAAGCATGTGCCGAGGACGAATATGTCAGCGTCGGAGATCGACACCGTCAATGGATACTTGTATCCAGGCCAGCAGTTCAGGGGAAGTAGACCCATGATTCGAAGATCCCAAGAATGGGTCGATACTTGCATTCTTGAACCCTGTCCGCGAAGACCATCGATCATGCCATGATGTACGAGTACGTCGTGATTACCATCGCAAGTCGGCAGAGCCACGGCGTGAGAAATACCATACGCGTATTGATGGCCAGGAGAAACCGCAGGGCTTGGTGTAGAATCCGCTGCGGCCGACCATATCCATCAACGATCTTCCCAGGAAACTGGAGAGTACTCACTCGCACATGATACTGTCTCTAAGAGATCTTCGAGAGACACTCCGCCATTGGCGACAGCTGAGCCCCCAAAGAAAAGAACCCTTGAAGACAACAACCGGGCGCGTCCAATGATTATCGCAGGGGTTTCGCCAAGGCTGATTAGTTACGTGCGTTGCTTGCTCCACCGGAGGGACAGACTCCCTTCCACCGAATTGCGGACTCTGTACTGTATGCACTGTACTCAGTATGTATGTCAGACTGTGCGATCGGCAGGGTCAGTCAGGCACTGTAACCGAGAGTTATCCGTCATGCTCTGGCCCCGTGAATCATATTAAATGCGATTGCACGCTGTGTGATTAACTCTCTTTGTTTGCCAATCTTGACATGAATCTTCTACCTCGTTACTTTCGGTAGACAGACAGGCATCCAGCAAGCAAGCAAGCAAGCAACAATTAATCTTATTCATCATGTCGACAACGACCACCTTGATAGAATCCACCTCCAATCCTATAATCCCCAACCAGAATGCTGAAGTCCTCGAGCTGGATAATACAGGCGATGACCCCTCTACCCAGGCTGGACAGTCCAGTCTCCCCCCAACCGACCACGGTGCTGCAGCATGGCGGTTACTACTCGCGGCGTTCGTGTTTGAAGCTCTACTCTGGGGATTTCCCCTCTCGTTCGGCGTCTTCCAGGACTACTATTCCAGCCTCCCGGAATTCAAGGGCGACCGGTACACGTCGGTGATCGGTACGACGGCCTCGGGCATCTCATACCTCGGAGCTCCCCTGGCCGTGCCGCTGATCAGGCGGTGGTCGAGGTACCGGACGCAGATGATCCTTGTGGGCTGGCCGCTCTGCATTGTCGGCCTGATCGCGGGCAGTTTTGCCAACCGGCTGCCGACGCTGATCCTGACCCAGGGCGTCATGTACGGCGTGGGCTTTATCATCTTCTATTACCCGATCTTGACGATGGTGGATGAGTTCTGGGTGACGCGGCGAGGCATGGCGTATGGCTTCTTGTGCGCTGCGTCCGGCGCGTCCGGTGCCGTCATGCCCTTGATCCTCCAGGCGCTGTTGGCCAGGTTCGGGTACCGAACGACGCTGCGAGCTGTGGCTGTGGCACTGGTCGTCCTGACCGGGCCTCTGGTCCCGTTCCTGAGGGGCCGCCTGGGACACCACTCCAACACGAGTCTCAGGACGGACTGGAAGTTTCTCAAGAAACCGCTGTTCTGGATTTACAGCGTGAGCAATTTGCTGATGGGGCTAGGATATTTCTTCCCCTCTCTTTATTTGCCATCCTATGCGACGACCATCGGCTTGAGCGTATCGAAGGGGGCTTTACTCCTGACCGTCATGAGCGTGTCGCAAGTCGTGGGACAATTCACCTTTGGCTATCTGTCGGATAAGAAACTGTCGCTGAACGCTCTGATGACCATCTCCCTCTCGGTTGCAGGGGCCGCGACATTCGGGGCCTGGGGTCCTGCCCGCTCGTTACCGCCGCTTATCATCTTTGCGCTTTTGTACGGTTTCTTCGGCGCGGGCTATACGGCCATGTGGGCGAGGATGGTGACTGCAATCGACGATGAGCCGTCCGCCTCTCAAGCCATGTTCAGCCTGTTCTGCTTCGGAAAGGGCGTCGGGAACGTCCTGGCTGGGCCGATCAGCGCCGCCCTGTTGAGCCTGTCGTCGGACACGGCTGGTTATGCGCACGGGATGTACAAAGCCATCGTGGTCTTCGCGGGGATTTGTCTGCTTCTCAGTGCTGGCACTTTGGCTGCAACCAAGTGCAGACCGAAGGGTGTAGCAGCCAATGGGAGTCGGAATTTCTCGCCCGACAATTGATACTGCAACTGCGACTATGTTCGAGGAGGCGAAGAGCCAATCTGGAGGACCTTTGGAGGAATCAATCGCTCTGAAACCCTCTGACACCCTCTTCTGAAAATATGTACACCGGAGATGGGGCCTCAGCCATAAACGCTCCGCCCCAGCGCAGGAGCAGCAGCTCTAGTCGATGTCGATTCCTCCGAGATTCATCCAATGCACCATTGAGTTTGGGCCGGCCAGACTCCAAATATAGGGATGGACCTACCCGTGTCGGCAGAGGTGCGGGCAATTTTCACCTGGTCAGATGCGGGTCTGCGGTACGTCGAGAACATCATCTTGGAGACATTCACCCGTGCGACTATGCTTGCACGGTACTCGGGCTCGCCTTCATTCATCCTTTCCTGGGCTATTGGATTCCGGGCAGACACTGCCAGTATAAGCCCCTCAGAGCTAGGCCAATCGAAACGATCGAGATCGTAGGAGTTTGTGATTCCTTCTCTGAGAGAGTCAAGCACGAACATCCGTTGCGCCGGGCTTGTGCGCACACGTTCCTGGTTTTCCTTCGTGACGGAAATAATGTCATAACGCAGGGCAACTGCTGGGATGGTGTTTCCCAGAAACGTGTCGTTGATCTCCCATTTCGTATCCTCCGGCAGCCAACTAATAGTATAGTAGTAGTCCCAGTCAAAAGGGAGCATGAAAGTTATACGCGCCGAATCGCCAGCGCCCTCACTTTTGGTTATTGCGATATGCTCCATGAACTCGGCCCATGAGACCGTCGGGTTGAAGCTGGGGAGCGAAAGATGAATTCCAGCCGAGTCAGCCTCCACCAGGGGCAACGGAGTTGTCGCTGGATCAACACTGGTGGAGCGGAACACGAACGATTTCGGGGCCCATGTGAATCCTCGCGCTGTCAGGTTTGAGACACTGGTCACATCGCGTCTGTGGGACGACTCAAAGACGGAATCTTGCGGGAAGTATCTCTGCAATAGGATGAAAGCCTTCATGCGCTTTTCACTTGCCTCAGGGTCATGGCGGTCGATCGCAAGGATCGTAGACAGGTCCAGATCAAGCATGTTGGCCAAGCATATTGTTTCATCCACTAGGTAACTGGTTGTCCGCCACTGGACAGCCGACCATATGGCTTGGATGCGATCATGGGTTGTCATTGACTTGAATTTTTCCATCTTTGTGAACGGCATGCAAGTCTCTTGGAAGATGGAGCGAAGTAATGCCTGATAGATCTTTGAGTCACAATCGCGGGTCTTATTAATACGGGCTGCAAGAGAAGAAAGCTCGACAGGACCATCGCGGAGCTGAAAAATCGACTTTTGAGACAAGATTCCCTCATGCAACGTCCACAGGCGCCTGAACCACGCTGTCCGGTTAATTCTGGCAGATAATTCCCAGGGGTCCCGATCAGAATCAATCTCGTCAAGTTCCCGACTGAGGATCAGGACATCTTTGGCAAGACGATAGACCTTTACCATCTTTGCGATCGCTAGGTTGCGCTCGGCCTCAAACTCGCTTCCAGTAGGGACACATAATGTGTCTATCCAGAAATTGCGATTCGTCGAGGCCGGAGAATCTGCCTGCTTCGAGGGCCCGAGATCATTGACTTGGTCCTGGATTCTCTGGAGCTGGCAAGTCGGTAGACCGTTGGAATGTAGATTTCCCAGACCGTCACTCCACACGTGAGAAATAGCCGTAAAATCGGGTGGCGAGCATGAGTCTGCTTGCTCGATGTTGATGGCGTTCATTCTGTTGTTCAATCTGATAGTGGGGATGGATCCCTGTTGGAGTATCTCTGCAACCGCGTTTGTCGAGACACATATCATGTCACAGTCGCACCCAGCTGAAACGTGCTTGGTCTGGTAGGCCTGTTGATCGACTTGACAGCTATGACAGGCGTCTTCCGTACAATGCGGGTGGCTTGTACTGTTGTTCAAAGGGCCCAGCCGCGAGACATAGTATCTACCGAGAACCGAAGCGTCTTGATAGACACGGTGTATGTCGCTCAGGCACCAGCCATTTTGTAAGAGCTTGTGTTTGATCACATTCGAATGAAGATAATGTGGGAAGGATAGACTACCTTGAGGAAAGACTTCATTGCGCGCAATTGTGAAGGTAGCATGTAACACGTCTAGGGAAAGATTCAGAGGCTCAGGAAGGAGATTTGAATAGGTATTGTAATCTTCGAAGGAGTGCATCAGCATGCGGTGGAAGTAGTGCATTCGGTCCAGAAGGTGGTCAATCCGATTGCGGGCCTGTGTTTGCTCTGCTTCGTCACGAGACGCTATTCGACGGTGCCATTCCTCGAGTTTGGAAAATAGATGGGCAGTAGTAATGATGGCTCGTCCGTCCTTGGACACAGCAGTCCAATCCTGGACAGGACAAGGAACACCTAGAAACTCGTCCAATACGCCGAAGAAGAGCCAGGATTGCACAAAAGCAGCTATAGGACCTCTCAAGCTCTTTGGAAAGGTCTCGGGGTCCATGCCGTAAAATTCTGAATAATCATATCCACATCGCTCCGGGTATGAGTCCCAAGGCCCACGGTAGATGTATGGGTAAAAGTCATATTCGTACAGCGGAACTTCGAGGTGGTCGGAATTTGGCGCCTGTGGAAGTGGTATATGATCCATCGAGCTATTTTGTTCGTCCAAGACGGCGTATGATCCGAAGGTTGCCTTCGAGAAGCATTTGCCAGACAGAGAAATGTGCAGATAGCAAAGCTGGCTGTGTGTGCTCTTCCCACAGAGTTGATAGTATTGCCGCTCACGTGTATGTTTCAATGTCCAGAGGTTGTTATTGCACCACTTGCCCAGTACGAAGTATGTATCAGTGAGATAAGTGTGGACCGCCGGCGTGTTGATGCGCTCAGAAGTTCGAGATTGACCTCGATCGCTCAGGTAGTTCGAGCCAGTGTGCGCATGTACCTGGTATAGTCAAGAAGAGGACGACGCCAGCTAGACAAAGGTCAGTAGGAAAGAAAGATCTCACGACCCAGGCATGAAGCCGCTGGACAAGAGTGAAACGACAAGCAAATTTCGGACTCTGTTGTATCATTCAGCTTCAGCTTGTGCCGCTGTAGGGACATTTGACGCATCCAACCCGCCAGTGCAGGGTGCACTGAGCATCGAGGAAGCAGCGATAACGGGTAAGTAGCGGATTCGCGTTTGCTTATCAAAAAGACACAAGAGGTAGGGAGGAGAGGAGGAAAGTACACCAAGATAATTAGCAGAGATGCGAAGACAACGGAGCATAGTGCCTAAAGCGCAGTACGGCGGACGATATCTTCCCTACACACAAAAGCTTCAGCTGTCCACTTCAGGAAAACAGTGAATGATGTCCAGGTCGGTCTGACTGACTGCCTCACCTGTCTCACCTCAAGTTTACTTGAATAGTAACGTCGTATTGAAACCTGTTTTGTCTCTAGTATTGTTCTCTCTGGCAGCCCAGCGACCCACTAAACTGTGTACCGCTGCCATCTGTGCCATGTAGAAGTTCCAATTGGTGACTGCTCCTGCAAGGTAATTACAGCAACATCTTCATGTTTTTTTTGATCTCAGAAACTGTTCGCAACCATTGTCACATCCTCATTTCCTTCGCACTCTCCTCCGTGCGGATGGAAATCGGTCTACTTCGTCCGTGAACTCTTTCCCTTATTACGATTGCAGCACCGCAAAATGAATGCCCAAATGAACCCCAACGGCAATGACATCGACAGTGACCTTGACTCGCTTTACGATCCATTTGGAGAGGAAGTAGATTGCCCAGATGACCAAGATGTCTCGGACTCAGCGTCATCCGCCGACTCAGACACCTCAGACACGGCCGGTTCTGTGGACCCGCAAGCTCGGCTTCTTGAAGACCTCGAGTCCGACCTGAACAGCCTCACCCTCGAAGCCGAAACGATCCTGTCCCGCCAACCGAGAAGCACTCAACTCATCCTCGCCCGGGAAACAAAGGGTCTATTCAAGGGCTACGAGAAGTACGGCTCTATGGCTCGCTTGAGAGTCGGAATTGAGAAATTTCTCCGCCTGGGGGACGAAAGAGGCAGACTACGCATCGAAGACGACAAGAACGACGAGAACGACACTCGGTCTTTGACACTCCAGCCAACACGGCCCAAGCGACGAGCTCATTACGGCGAAGCCTTCATGCTCAACTTCACCTCCGACGACGATGCCCCGAAATTCAATGCCGAGACCGACTTCATCACCCCTCCCATCAAAGACCCCTTCAATCCCAATCCGAACAGCTACATCCATCACCCTCTCCGCATCGTCGACCCCGACTCCATCCCCTACGTGACAACCCTGCCGTGGGACCCCATCGCCACGAAGATGACATGGCCCGCCCATCTGGCCTGGCCGCGTGGGTTCCTCAGCGCCATCAACAAGATCCTCAGCATTGTGGACCAGGAATCCCGTGTTCGACTCTTCCATCACGTCACGAAATGGGGTCCCAGCCCGGTCTTCCGCGCAGGCATAGCCGAGCACGTGAAGGCCCAGTACTCGACCATCTTCGAGACAGCCGAAGAAAACTCCCTAGGATTGACGCCCGAGACGAGATCGTTCCTGCGGGACATATACTTCAAGAAACAGTACCTCAACACTGCAGAACGGAGGATGTTGGCTCTCTCATGCAGGATCAACGAGGAATCGGTGAAGCTTTTCTGGGAGGATACGGCAATGCAGTTGAAGGGGTATGGGGCGATGCGTACGTTCATGGCCGCCAGGGAGATTGAGAAACATCGCGAAGCGAGGAAGAAGTTCGAGGGTGAGGCGCGGCTCAAGGAACAGAAGCGGAGGGAAGAGGTCAGGAAAGAGCATGAGAGGCGGATACTCGAATTGCAGGCTGGACGTGCTGACCCCTACGCTCTCCTCTACTACCAGGTTGACGGCGACGCGAACATGCAGCATGCGGGCAGGGACAAGGCCAAGGACGGAAGTCTGGACGTCAGGACATCGAAAGAGGAGAATACCATGGGCGCAAGCATGTCGAGATGATGCCGACGACGAACCGCTCCCCTGTCAACGGCCAAGAGCACGTGAACCGCTGCTCTTCAGAGTTGGCTAGCCTTGCTTCGCGGTACTACGAATGGATTCCACATCGCGGCGAAGGAAGCACGCACGAAGTGTCCGATGATGGCCGACATGGGGGTGGCTTGGCAGTACTCCGTAGCCTCTGACGGCACAAATCGAATGTAATTAAGGGGTACCGAATTGCACTTGCTCGTGCCTTATGCAGGAAATGTCTTGTAGAATGCCAACGTAGACCCCAAAGAATAAGTCCACACGAGACCATTTCTGGATAACTCATGATCACCTAGTTCCCACTCCTTTACTCTGTCTCCTGATGGCTTACAGCATAGCCACCGCCCCAGCAACGCCAACCACCGCAGCCATGATGCCCTGCCCCACACTCTTGACCGCCGCACCGGTATACGTAGCATTATACGACATTGTCTTCGCCTGCGTCGTCATGACTGTAGTCGTGGTCGTGCATTGCGTGGTAGTCATCACCACGCCTGACGGCATCATGCCCGTGACGGAGGTCTCAGGCACCGTGCTGACGGAGACGCTCGCCCCCAGAACGCTTGTCGTGGCCGTCACCGTGCCGGGGACTGTCGTCGTGGACGCGCCGCCGGTGTAATCAGTATTATCCTCCGTGGCCGAAGGAGACGATGTAGGCGCCGCAGAGTCGGAAGTGGCGGCTGCGTCTCCCGTCGCTGCTGGGCCGGATGATGACGACGCCGACGAGTCTCCCGCGCTGAGTGCCGCTCCACAGTACGTTTGGGCAAAGATCAGGGCAGCTAAACGTACACAAGCAAATTCGTCAGTCCATGTGCATACATGTCGTGCATGTGGTGTGGGCTTTGCTTGTCCAGTGCACACAATAGATCGGCCTGAGCCTGAACCCGGGGGGAGGCAGAAAAGCGTGCGAGAGTGTGGTGTGGGCGATTCGTACCTTGGACATCCTGCGCCGTGCAAGTCTGGGTCACGGCCGTCGTGATGGCGGCAATGAACGGCTGCGAGCTGCAGATACAGTCCTTGGCTTTTGCAGCACAGCCCGACGACCCGAGTGCCGAGTTCGCGGCATCTTGCTGTTGGGTATTCAGGTCAGCGTCAAAGTCAGTCGCTGGGGCTGTATGAGGTGCTGCATCTCTTACTGCACAGGCGGGCAGTCCAGCGAGGGCACTGGTGTCTGCGGGTGTTTGGGGCCTTGCTTGCGTAAGGGCTGTGAGGAGCAGCGCCGTGAAGATCTGGAAATGCATCTCGAATACGGCTGTAGTCGTGTAGGATTCGGTGTTGATTGGTACGGACAGACAATGGTAGAGAACGAGACCGCAGTGCAGAACGAGTGAAAAGGGTTATTAGCGTAATGAAGGACTGGACAAAGGCGATGTAGAGAGCAGCTAGCCATGTGTCCCGCTGGCACAATTCATCTATAAAAACCTCAGAGGCAGGTAAACAAGCCAGGTATGTCTGGAATGTGGCTCGTGGTGTTGCTGTGCTCAGCGCCATGGCAACGGCTGGAATGCTGATTTCTATCACGGCTCAGCTTGTCGTTATTCGGAGAGTGAAGCTCTGTTGGTTGTGCCTCAATGGTCGATGCCTTCTGCATCAGCTAGATGGGATGGAATAAGGAGGAAATCCAAAGCATTATTGTAGGAAGTTAGAGAGCATAGTGTCGAGATGGCGACCCGGGTAAAGGACAGCGTCAGGTAGATTCGCCACCAGTTGGAACCCGGTCCTGCTCGCGTTGTCTCAAGTGATCCAGAAGAGCTTCTGGCCAAAAAGCATCTTAAGTTAACGGGCAACACTTTTTTCGAGTGAGGTGGAGAGGCAGAGTCGCAGTTATTTTGGAGGGCCAAGCGAAATCTCAATTAATGGATGACTTCAGTTCCTATTATACCTAGTTAAGCGAAGTACTTCAGGCTGAACTTCGGCTCGCGCTGCCTCCAGCACCCTCTGGACTAGGACAATGGCAATGTCCGTTGGGATCCAACAATCACATCACAGCGTCCTTCACATATCAACGTTCTCTGCTCTGCAGCATGAAACCATCAAGCTTTGGCATCAGTCGTTGGCGCATTCCCTGTGGTCACTAGCTTTGGACCCTTTGGCCCAGCCTTGCCAGTGAAGTTTGTATAAATGTGCCAGACTCCACCGTCGCGATCAACGTTGGTTTCGATGATGCTGATTTCCGCAGCAGTGGGCGACACATGCCCTTCAAGCACCCATTTCATGTTGTCGTAGCCCTTCATTCCCAGATAGTAAGGGCCTCCGTACCAACAGTCATCACCTGGCACGCCGGGAAAATCAAGTTCGTTGTTGTCTGGCAGCGTGCCGATCCAGGTGCCTGCCAGATCGTAGCCATCTCCCTTTTTGGTGGCATTGAGTTGCCAGCCTTGAGGTTCATCATACCACTCATCAGACGAGGACTGGAAGCTGACGGTGATGTTGTCATTGTCCTTGCTTGGAATTTCGAAATAGAATGTATTGTTGTCGTATACGCGTCGGTCGAGTGATGCGTTGCCGGGAACCGTCATGCCTCCAATGAGGAAGGAGTTCTTCAATGGTTGCCATGTCGTGTCAGGGCATTCGGACGCGGGGCCCCCGGTTAGGGTGACTGTGGTGGTACCTGGAGATTCTCAACATTGGCTCTGCGAAACATTCAAGTGTAGCTCACCATTGTACCATGCAAGATACTTCCACATGTCGCCATCGACATATCCAGAGCAGTTGTAATAGTTTGAGCTAGCTCCCCGATCCGTGAAGACAACGCGTCCTGGACCATTGAGTCTTGTGGGAGGCTGATGAGAGAAGGCAAAACTTACGTCCACAATCCTGGCCCAACACCATGGTAGCCAGCAGCAGGCCGGTGACAAATGTGCGTCTAATTGAGGAAGTCATCTTGAGGACCGGTCAAAGGCAACCTCAGATCCAACAAGCTATGAGAATAAGAAGGGGCTTCCGGCCTGTTCATCGGAAAGAACACGGACGGTACCTGGGGGTATTTATCCTCGTTCACACCCCTATTGCCGAGAAGCCACGCCCGAAGCAAGGCAGACTCGCCACACCGCGTTTGTCTGCCACAGGGCCAACAGAGTACGCCACGAAAAGTTTGAACATTCCCGACAGCTATAAAAATAGGAAGGTTCAGCACGAGGACCTGACCGTCGCGGGGCGAGGAAATACACTGCGGTGTTAGAAGGAGCTCAATACCTCCGCCTTCCACATTCTCCTCTGCACAAGGATTAGTGCGTCGAAAGTCCATCGTTCGATCGAGATGGCAAGGCCTTTTGCACTTTCTGTTTTCGTCCACGTGCCGCTCCCTGTGCCTATCAAAATCCGACATTTGGACCGTCGCCCAGCCGCTTACCTGAACTTTAGGAGCAGATTTGGCCAGAGTCTTGCCAGAGGAGCTGAGAAACAGCCTCAGAGATCCAGACTCTCGGTGCAAAAGGAAATCCGGCACTCATCCAAGTCGGCACACATCTGAGCGTATAACGGATTGACATGGTAGCCGTGGCTTGTGTACAATTTCGAATCTAGGCACTTTGAGCCAGATCATACCTCGTACAATGCCCTGAAATCAAGATCGCTAAGAATGACCAAGCAAATGCTTCAAGGAGCCAAGAAGAACGCCTCGTTGTGAGGATCTGGGTCGCCAGCCCCACGACGCTAGCAGAGTGAGGTCTTCGAGATGCGTGCGATACTCATTGGACAAGACGCGGGGAACCCTGGCAACACGAGTGCGTGGCCATAGACTTCCAGACCTCTGGCCCGCTCGATTGAGAGCTTTCCCTTTCGATAACTTCCAGCACAGCGGAACGGGAAACTTTGAGAGTTTCAGCCGCGACATGCAGCAAGAAATAATATTATAAGTTCCAGCTGACTTGAAGATGCAGGAATACGAGGTCGGGAACGAGGCTAGCCTCGTATTCGCTTCCATGGGACGCTATGGAGAGCAATAGCACCGTCGTTCCACTGCGAAACCGGCTTGTGGTGGGAGGGTTAAGCTTTCCATCTCATGCCTTCGGGACAAAGGGCTAGGCGAGGATGATAAAGCTTCGAGGTCTCGGCTACAGTGTTTCATGAGTGTTGAAGCTCTGGGGACAGACAGGAAGAGTGACAGTTTCGAGGAGCGTAGAGTGCGCGAAGGTGTGCCAAGACGCTAATCCAATCTCAGGCATGGCGTCTGCTTCAAGGTTCTTCCGATCTAATCTTGATAAGATGTTGACGTCGTCGATTGATATCAACATTGATGTCCTGCTTGACGCCGTCGTGCGTAGAAGCAGCAAAACAGATGGATGGTACTGTGCTGCCTGATGAGTTCCTCCATACCCTCCGACTTTCCCTGAAGCCTTCCAGTAATCTCGTCGACACCCTTGCGAACACCGGCGGTGAACCTGAATCTGACTTCATCCGCAAGCTCATCGCAGCCGTCCTATGGCACCGAAAGTTCGTCCTGACATATTACATATGGATTGCGGCTGTGGTGGTTATATCCTGTGGCTTTGAGACTTACAAGAGGCGGCGACATCGGAGCAATGGTACTCGCAGCAGCAATGTCGATGTCAGCAATGATAGCGCCATCGACCCGACCGCATCTTCATCATCGAGCAGCACGTTGACAGGAGCGAATACACCCCCTCAGAAAGATGTTGACGAGGCCACGCCTCTGCTACTGCAGAAGGAAACAAAGGAACGCCCACACCTGCGGAATCGGCTGGCATCGTTCCTGCTCTACCAACCACGCCCTGTACCGGCCTTGACATCTCCCATCAACACCCTGCCAGATAACGGCACAAGTCTCTCCATCTTGTTCTTCCTGGCGCTCAACCTCTTCTACCTCTTCTTCCGCTCTCCACTCTCCGCGCAATGGATCTTCATCCTTGTCGACCGGGCCGGCCTTCTCTTCGTGGTCAACCTTCCCGTGCTCTATATTTTGGCGGCCAAGAATAATCAACCTATCAAATTCCTGACTGGGTGGTCCTACGAAGGACTCAATATCTTCCATCGCCGTCTGGGCGAATGGATGACTTGCTTTGCTGTTATCCACATGTTTGGGATGTTCGTCGTGTGGTATACCGTCCTTCAGCCCATGGGATTTACACTTCTCCACTACCTCACCACCAAAGTCGTCTTCTTAGGCATTTGCGCCATCGTCTCCTACTCCATCATATATATCACAAGCATTGGATGGTTTCGCCGGCTTTACTACGAGGCGTTTCTGGGCCTGCACATATTCTTTCAGCTTGCGGCGTTGGTGTTTCTGTTCTTCCACTATCCTACAGCTCCACCTTACGTGGGAGCTGCACTGGCCATATGGGTCATCGACAGAGGCATCTGGCGTATAGCGACATCAAGCCGGAAGTTCATCGCCACATTGGAAGTCGCTCCCGACGGACAAACCATTTTATTGCATGCGGAAATTCCACTACGGCAGCAGAAGTCGGCCTCAAGGATCGTAAGAAATCTCCGTTACGGCTGGGCACCAGGCCAACATGTCTTCCTCACCATCCCATCAATGGGCTTCAAATATCGCTTCCAAGCCCATCCTTTCACTATTGCATCTCCGGCGCCACCAGCGAACTCAGTCAGCAGACACCTGAAATCGTGGCCCCTGCAACTTACAATCCGCGCCATAGAAGGGTTCTCACTCGACCTCCTACACTACGCAAAATTCCACCAACACTGCGAAATCGTCCTGGATGGACCGTATGGCTCGGTCTCCGCCCTTGGAGCAGCCCACGCCGCTAGCCGTGTCTGTTTCGTCGCCGGTGGCAGTGGCATTGCTGTCACGTACCCCTTGGCATGGGACGTCCGTGTCTCAGCCTACGCCGAGGCAGACGCAATCGTTGCCACAAGAACAGTATACGAGAACGGCAGGAGGAAATCGCCACCCGCAACCCTTGAATGCAACCAACCCATCCAGAAATCGAAGTACATGCACTTCTGGGTCCGGCAGGACGAACGGCACAAAGAGTGGATCACGATGGTTCCGAAAGCGACTGCCACGATCCACGACCCTGCGCACACCGGCTTTAGATACCCCGATCAAGCTGCACAGGCTTCTAGAGTCGAAGAAGTATCAAGTCTGATCACCCGAGCGTTCGATACCAGAGCTCCACCTCCCGAGGGCGGCCGACCAGATATGAAGACCGAGATCTGGACGTGGGTCACCTCGATCCAGGCGGGCGTGCCTTCGAGGTCTCCGTCGGCAACGACGCTTGAGGACGCTGCTTCAGAACCCTCCTTCGATCTGTCACCAAACACGAAGACTAGCATGGGACCTGCGCCTTCCCGGGACGATAAGATCTGCATCATCGTCTCCGGCCCGGATGGCCTTGTGCGTGATGTACGCAACATCACCGCCGAACTTGTGAAGCAGGGATGGGATATTGACGTGCATGTCGAGAAGTTTGGCTGGTGATCTAATCTATCAGGGGATCTGCTTTGAATCGAACAATCCAGCCTACCTACCTACCTCGTACCTGGGTGGGTCTAGATAAGATCGTAAATCGAGGTCACATATGCATATACAGTACTCATAGACTCGAGATTCTAGACTCTAGACTCGTACATAGACTTGCACTGGGCGCAACGTCAATATCAATGTCCAACGTTACATGGAGTACCAGTACTGTAGGAAGGCGTATTCAATTCAAGCATAAGGAAGGAGTATGGAGAACAATACAGGCCGTGCTGGAGTGGTCATGCGTGTCTACAGAGGGGAGACGAGGCTGAAACACAACCACGGTAACTACCTATGTATTTAGAAAAAGCCGCCCTCCAAACGGTAAAACAGTACTTCAGAGCTATAGTGTCAGGGGGCAGCGTCAGTGCGAGGTGATTCCGGCGTGGAGTGACGGAGTGACGCGGGAGTATGTATTGCTACAATATCCGCCTTCGCTTCGTTTCAACTATACAGGTCTAATTATCGCTTCCCCAAGCAGCAGGTTGAACGGGTCGTGAGTTTTCATGCTTGTAAGCCGCTCCTCCTCCTCCATACGAAGTACCTGGCCCGACGACCTCGTATCCACGCTATCGCGCCGTCCTGGTTTCCGACAACCTCATCCTGGATGAGTAGTTGCTCGCGCGGGCATTGCTCCATCAGCGACCAAGACGTGCCCACGTTCGCGAATCAGGCTTCGAGCAAGCTTGGTATCTGCCCTCTTTCGACCACTTCGAGATCCATCCCGTTCCTCGACTGAGTGACAGGTGCCACAGTGTACTGAACTCGCGTCCAGGCTTACACAGAACGGGTAGGCTCCCCACCAGTCCCGACTATCGCGCGCCAGTTGAAGCGTCGTGGTGGAAGCTGGAACCCATCGTTCACCCAGTCGACGTCGACGTCGCCCTCGATATTGGCTGTGTCCGGATCGGGGGCGTACGAGGCTTGTGCCGTTTTGTTGCCGCCGCCGCCACGTTTGCTCTCAGCCTTATTGTAACTATCAGGCATCTCGTTATGCTCTGTACTTCCCACTTCGTGGCCGCCATTGCTGGCGCTCCGCTTCTTGCCTGAAGACTTGCAGGCTGGCTGTTCAGCGCCCTGCTGGAGATGATCCCTCTTGTTGTGTGCATCACTACCGCTGTGCTTGGGCGGGTCGGGCGTCAGGTTGAGGAACTTTGGAAGTGATGCATCAAGTTTGGCGCTGGGTTTCAGGTCCGCGAGCCCAGAGACGCGTCTGAGAGGGAGGAGATCCGTGCCTTCGAGTCTGTGGATAGGGCCAGTGGTGGGTTTGGGAACATGTGGCCGTGGCTCTTCTGGCGTGAGTTTAAGGAAGCGACTGTCCTGCATGGTTTCGCTGGATATCTGATATACGTCGATAATTTCGCTGGGTAAGAATGGGCGAATGGATGAGGTTTTGATACTGGAGGACCGTGGGTGTGAGATCGGTGCTAGCACGCCGGGCAGGATGGCGAGGAGCACGATCGATGCTCAAGCAGAAGATATATATACATCGACCTGGGAGTGTGGATTGTGAAGTGTTCCATCAGGCAATTGGTTGTCACGGGCAGTGCTCGAGGCAGTGGTCCGTAAGGGTCTGTGAAGTCCTTTGCTCGGGCTTTTGTTCTCTCGTTGTGAATGCCTGGCTCGCCATGTCATTGTCGCTATGTCTGGTAGATCGACAGGCGAGCACTGTTGTGAATGATGTCGTGTCATTTATAGATCCCGGACTTGACGGCCGCATGCCAGGCCGTCAACGAGATCTTGAAAGCAGCCGCTGAGCCCCACCAGCAAACGCCTTGCTTCTTGCACAAACTACCTCTTGCTCATCGTAGCAATAGAGCCGCAGCAATCCCCCCACCAAACATGCTTGCTACCGTGATGAAGCTGGATAAGCTCATGGTGGCCATGCCTGAAATTCCGTGCCCACTTGGACAGCCGCCAGCTAGTCTTGCGCCGACAATCAGACAAAAGCCACCTGCAAGGGCTGCAAGAGGAGTGATTGTTGGGCCGCCTGCCTCGGACAAGGCGGGTATGTACTGGGAAATGATTTTTGAGCCGGCCATGACACCAGTGGCAAAGACAACGTTTGTCGGGGCGGGGCCAGATGTCCCATCAACCACGCTCCAGAATTTCCTCCCGACATCTTCCCATGCACTGGACACTCCGAGGGTCTTGCGCGTGAAGAGGACGGACGTTGCCTGAGCGACGCCAATCAGTATTCCCCCCACGATGGGATTGAGCCAGTGGTCCCGTATCGGTGCGAGGTAGGTGGCAGCCGTGATCATCAACAGGCACAGGATCTCCCAGAGCAGGACAGTGGTGGTCGTGGAGATTCCTAGGTTTTCCTGGACCGTATACTTGGCTGGGCTTGAAGGAGGGTCACTTCTGGCTCGTCGGAGTTGTTGTCCGAGTTTGACAAACGCAATTGCCCCTAGTATGCACCCCGTGGCGACATACCAAGCAGACTTGACTCCCACGGCGAGCTGGACGAGAACAGTACCCGGACAGGCTCCAGTCAAGGCCATGCCGACGCCCTGTAACAGTCCGCCCACCACGTTGGCGTCGTATCTCATGAACCATCCATAGGAGGAGTCGGTGCGGTGCGACAGTTTGGCGTACTTTGCCCGATTGGCGGCGACGACGATCAATGCACTGCAGGCACTTGCGGCGACGAAACTCTTGATCATATGAAAATTGCCCAGCCGCAACTGTGAGATAATAACCGAGGGGGAGTACACGCCGGACGCAGTCAAGGCTGCACCGAAGATGCCGCCTGACGCAGCGCTGAGCAGGAGGGACGACATGATACTGTAGCTTGCAACGAAGGAACGTCGAACTTGGGTTGAAGCAGTGCGAACGGCACATCTGTGAGGTCCAGAGACTCGGTTTTGTGGCTTGCGTGCCAGGCTTGAAGCCCGAATCGACGCCAATAGAGCCCGAGGCAAAGGCTCCTACGCGCCAATCATTCCACTAACGCGGATCCAAGGATCGCCACGAGGTCCATGCCGGAGTCCAGATGCCCAGAAAATGCTCATAAGTGGAAATGAGTTTATCTCAAAGCCCGAAGACACCGTCAACTCACCTCTTTGAACCATGCATGATTGATTAGTGACGGCGGGTTGATGGTGACCACCCGCGCAGTGAACATCTCCATGATAAATCTGGTTCCCGACGGGCAAGGATGTCGCCGCTACAGTCCTTCGTTGTTGTGGCATTATCCCGAGTGGGATAGAGCGTGAAGGAGATACAAAGCTCTGTTCATCCTGGGCCCATCCCGCTTACTTTGGCGCAGGCTCATCAAGGAGACGGATGCGCTATACGGTCAGCTCGTGTTCGGCATTTCGGGTTTGGCCAGTCTAACGAATGTCGTGAAAACGCCGGAATTAGATCACGTACACTAGTAAAGTGAGGCTTCGAGGGTTTTAGGTCGTGACGGTTGCGCGAGACCAGACCCTTGAGATGTCGAAGCCAAACAGACGGGCAGCTTGACTCGTCGTCGATGAAGAAGGGAACTGAGTTGTGGTTGAAAGAAGCAAGGGCGCCTGACGCTGACTTGCATCTGTAGGTGGGACAAAGTGACCAGGTCACTGGCTACATACACAGTACTACGTTCCTAATGTAGCGAGGCTTCTGGTGCGTAAAGCACAATCCTGTCTTTGGCATAATCGAGGGCTGCGAATACTTGTCCTCGCAGATGATATCAGGCCAACCCATTCGAGTCAGATGCTTTGTTACGCCACACGATCTGTATGATCGGTGATCACCCCAGAAAGTCGATCGGAACACGACGTCTTGCGGCTTACTCGGCCCTATCCACGCCAGCCGACCTTCATATCGTCATCGGATAAACAGCTATATATTATCAGACCAATCTCAGTACAGCGCTTTGCTTCTAGCTAGCGATACTAAGTGTCCTCAGATGGCGGCAAGACCCAGATTGAACGTCCAAAACTTTCCCCGTCCTCCGCTGTTAGAGCTGACTCGGAGGCACTTGTTGATCAGATGGAACGGCCAGACTTTGGCGGACACCAAATCTGCCTATTGGGTCCTGGAAACGACACATCCTCCCAGTACGTCCAGCGTCTCCTTGCGCGAGAATGCAGTAGCTTCATCTGGAACGAACCAAGCTTTGAGTAACTTGCCCCTGTATAGCGTACTATCTGCCAAAGAGCGCCGTCTCGGATGCATTCAAGCTGAAGCAAGACCCCCACAAGGCATCGCTCTGTGAATGGAAAGGCCGAGCAACATACTGGGAAGTCACCAATAACTCAACGGGAGAGACGGTGAAGAACAAAGTTTGGAGCTATGAATCCCCGACGCCAGCTTTCAAGGACATCAAGGGATATTTATCCTTCTATGCCAGCGATGTCCCGTGGGAATGCTTTGTTGACGACGAGAAAGTGACGCCTCAAGAAGGTGAGAACGGCAGCCTTGTGATGCCGCAAAAGTTGACTTGACTGTGTCTAGGCGACTACTATGGCGGCTGGGTGACGAGCGAGCTCGAAGGCCCAATGAAAGGGGGACCGGGCACATGGGGGTGGTAAACGTCGCGATGAACCACTGGTGTAGCGAAAGGGTAGGAGTGCCAGTACAGCAACGCCGAGGCTCGTTGCTGGTTGTTCATATTCACCATGTATCCGTCTCTTCAACCCGCGAGCTACCGGCACCGCCACCCGTAGTACTCGTACAGTCATCGATATGCTGTCGGGTCCGGACAAAATCAAGGGACATCTAGCAAGTCAGCTGGTATGCGCGGTTCTCATCCAGCAAGAGCTGGATGTTCCGCGTAAGGCGTGGGTCTAGAGAGGAAGGGAGCAGCAATCGATACAAAAAACAGGGAGCAAGCGACCTCTCGCCTCTGCGCTGTCCAGATACACACGCGAAAATGCGGCAAGCAGAAAGTTTCCAGCGCGAGCAATGCGGATGCTCAAGGATGAGGTGCCGCGCTGCTGAATGGAGCAAACCAGGTCATTCCAAATGCGGCGCGGAGGTGTTTTTCTCCGTCCCCAAATGTGGCCTAGCGCTTGACTGTCCTCTACACCTGCCGTCATAGTTACGGCGGCTCTCCATGCCCGCTTTCGAAGTCCTCCGCATCGCTCAATGAAGGCACAAACGGCACGCTGCGGCCATGGGCTGCTCAGGTCGTGTTCGCCCAGTACTGCATTTCTGCGTGTCGGCGTAGCGGCCAAGTTGCCGGCTGTCAGCTAAAGTGGGTTTCAGGTTGGTAGCACGCCGCGTTGTGTGGCGGTCGACGCATTCTTCAGTTCTCCAATTCCCACGTCCACGTCCTCCTCCTTTTCAACGTAGGCTGAAGGCATCCAGATTTCAGTCAATCTCCGTCTTCATTTCCTCTTCGTCCTGTCTCAACTGATAGATTGCCTTGTGGAGCCAATGGGGGACATATCTGCGGCGATGGTCAAGCCCGTGCCGCTAGAGGTCACTGACCTGTCAGAGGGGTGGTCGTTCAAGCAAACTGATGATATCGGCGGGAACAGTTGGAGCCCAGTCAAGAAAGTCCCGTCGACGGTGCATCAGGACTTGATCGACAATAAGAAGTGAGTGAAGCCATGGCAAGGGTCGGTGTGGCTGATTTTGACCCCTTCAGGCTCGAGGACCCGTTCATCGGATTCAACGAGATCAAGGCCGAATGGGTAGGATTGAAATCATGGACTTACCGAACAAAGCTTCCACCGCCGTCAGTCCCGGAAGGCTCGAGAGTGGTACTGGCCTTTGATGGTCTGGACACCTTTGCGCATGTGAAACTGAACAACAAAACCATCCTGCTGAGCGACAACATGTTCGTGCCACACCGGGTTGATATTACAGAAGCCATCCAAACAGAGACGAGCCATGAACTTGAGATTGAGTTTGACTCCGCCTTCTTGAAAGCTCGTGAGATCAAAGACCAGCATCCGGAGCACAAGTTCATCTGCTTCAATGGGGACCCAGCAAGACTGGCAGTGAGGAAAGCGCAGTATCACTGGGGCTGGGACTGGGGTCCTGTGCTCATGTGTGCGGGCATCTGGAGACCAGTGCGGCTCGAAGTCTACACTGTCAGGGTTGCCGATCTGCGCACCAACATTGATATTTCAGATGACCACAAGCTTGCCACAGTCGAGGCAAGTACAGAGATAGAAGGACTGGAGGATCGGAATCTTCACGTCCAAGCCAAGTTCACAGTCAGCCTAGGCGACAGAGAAATCTCTTCCAGCAAGGTTGAAGTGACAGCGGACGGCAAAGCGGCGGCCAAACTGAAGGTTCCAGACCCTGAGTTGTGGTGGCCCAACGGATATGGAAAGCAGCCACTTTACACTGTGAGTGTGGCCATCGCAGCAGATGAAACCGTCCTGCACACAGAGTCTAGACGCGTGGGTCTCCGCAGGGTCCACCTCGTTCAAGAACCAGACCGCCATGGCAAATCGTTCTACTTCCGTATCAATGATGTCGATGTGTTTTGTGGTGGTTCATGTTGGGTTCCCACCGACAGTTTCTTGACCAATGTGACCCCAGAGAAGTACAGGGCCTGGATCGAGCTGATGGTGCCTGCAAACCAGAAAATGATCAGGTAAGCTGGTCCCGATACCTCCCAAGTTCGCAACGGCTGCCTAGGGTTCAAGCTAACGCGACGCTTCCAGAGTCTGGGGTGGAGGAATCTACGAGCACGATGCGTTTTACGACGCGTGCGACGAGCTCGGCATCATGGTGTGGCAGGATTACATGTTCGGCTGTGGCAACTACCCCTGCTTTCCTGCAATGCTCAAATCGATCGAGGCAGAGGCCGTGGCCAATGTTCGGCGCATCCGCCACCATCCGTGCCTGGTGATTTTTGCCGGAAATAATGAAGACTACCAAGTGCAAGAGTCCGCCCATCTGACCTACGATTATGAAGACAAGAACGAACAGCATTGGCTGCAAACTGACTTCCCAGCCCGCTACATCTACGAATCACTCTTGCCGAGGGTCTCGGCCGCAGAGGCCCCGGGCATCCCTTACCACCCAGGATCGCCGTGGGGCGACGGCAAGATCAGCTCGGACCCCACGGTCGGTGACATGCATCAGTGGAATGTCTGGCACGGCACACAAGAGAAGTATCAGATCTTCGATTCGCTGGGCGGACGGTTCAATTCGGAGTTTGGCATGGAAGCCTTTCCACACATCGCGACGATCAAATCCTTTGTGGAGAAGGAGGAAGATCTCTACCCTCAAAGTCATGTGCTAGACTTCCACAACAAAGCTGATGGCCACGAGAGGCGGATCGCTACGTACCTAGTGGAGAATGTGAGGACGGCAACAGAGCTCGAGGCCTACATCCACCTGACCCAACTCATCCAATGCGAGGCTCTGATGTTTGGCTATCGCGGGTGGCGGAAGCAATGGGGCGATGAGCGACACTGTGGCGGCGCGTTGGTGTGGCAGCTCAACGATTGCTGGCCAGTCACCAGCTGGTCGATAGTCGACTACTACTTGAGAAGGAAGCCTGCATATTACGCCATGGCTCGAGTACTTGCCCCCGTGGCGGTGGGGATCCGTCGATCTCACCACGACTGGAGCGTGACACATGCTCGAGAACCCCAGACCCAAGAATGGGAACTGTGGGTCGTCAGCTCGAGGCAGACCGAGATGACTGCCGATGTGGAGGTGAAGTTTGTGTCAGTCCGAACAGGCCGGGAGATCAAAGAGAAAATCGTGAAGAAAGGGGTCAAAGTGCGGCGGAACGGAACGACCGACGTTCTAAAGGGGGTCATCGACAATGTGCACGAGGAACCCCATGTGCTGGCTGCGCGAATTTGGATCGACGGCGAATTGGTCGCCCGTGACACCGATTGGCCGCAGCCTCTGAAATATCTACAGTTTCCCGGCCGCAACGTCAAAGTCGAGATCGTGGGTGACGAGATGCATGTTTCAGCGGAAAGGCCCGTGAAATGTCTTGTCTTCGAAGAGCGAGAAGGGTGCCATCTAAGCGACAGCGCGATTGACTTGGTGCCCAATGACAAGCAGATTATCCGAGTGCGAGGGCTCAAGTCTGGCGCGCCACCGCTCGACTGGACCTTTCTGGGGGCTGGAGAGCAGTAAAGCAGGGGCAGGCACCGTGCATGGCATTGAGGGATAAAAGGCCAGAGGAGGTTATGATGCATGAGACAAGACTAGGGTATGCAAATGGTTGAGAAACATTGCAAGGGTGCACGTTGGTCCGATCCTGACAAACCAGCAAGACAGGTCCATCTACTGGCTCGGATCGATGGGTGGCTTGGTGGAGGAACGATAGATATGAGTTAAGGGCAGAGTCAGCCTGATTACGGGTCTTCTAGAAGATGGAGGGATGCCTCTGTGTAACTGCTGTAACCATCTCGGGAGCATTTGGGAAGAGACAAGACTCAGACCCTCTCGGAGGTCGGGCAAAACTAGGGAGCTGAAAGAATGACTTTACCGGTAGAATATCGGGTGGCAGGTAGTGTTATGTAACGGGCAATGGAGCGAATAGCTGACCGTGAAATCGAGTCCGAAAGTGGCACGTCGCAAGGTTGGATGGTGGCCATCCAGATGACAAGACTTTCGACCCAGAAGGGTGGGAATGGTGTCGACAAAGCAGAGGTTGATGGGCAGATATTCGGCAGAATCCAGAAGCCCGACGGTTAAAGCTCGACGGACACCGGAGATCCATGGCTAGCGGCTGCTGAACGGCGGCTAATTAATCAAAACTCATCGCCGCGGCCAAGCTGCAAGGCTCCAGTTGCGGCCTGTAAAAATGGGCCAAGGTCGTTCGATGGACTGGGGAAGGGTAAACTGTGGGGAGACCGAAGAGTGTGGCAGTATGGGATGGTGAACACGGGTGACCGCAATCCGATGATGATGATGATAGCATACAAAGCTTGGAACTCAAAGGCATTGCCAGCATCTTGAGATCTGAACGAGTTGTGGACAAGTGCAGAGTGGTCTGCCGGCATGTGGAGCATCCGGCTGCCTGGAGACAGCGAGATGAACTCACAAGGGAGCAACACCACCACAACAATACGAGTAACAGTCACGGTTAGAGCAATACCCATGACGGTAGACCATGTGGTTGTGGAGGGCCATGAGGGCGAAGGTGGCCACCGGAGCAAGTCGAGCTCCCCACAATCTGGCAAGCTGCCACTCACCCTGAGCTCACCCTGAGCTCACTTTTCTCTCACTTTTCTTTCACTCTTCCTTCACCAACGCTCTTACTGTTACATGCGTTCATTACACTACCTACCTGGAGTGACATTACGGAGTGCTACCTAGGCAGATACCCAGTACTCCCTCGCAATCTCTTCTCCTCTGCCCCGCTACGAGTGACTGGCTCTCTGCAATTGAACCTCGTCCACATTGTCGCCCGAAGTCACTCCTACAGTAGCCTGCCTCTAATCGACGCACTACTGCATACTGCAAACACGAAGTGTCACTCGTATTATTCTCATGCTTCTTTTCTTCTGGAGCCTTTCCTCTTTCCAATTGCTCCTCGGCCCGCCGGTGGACGCGCCAGGCCTCTCACCATCCCTGTCGGTGGCATTGGCCCCAGATCAATTATCAGTGATCAACGATTCTGTCACCCTGACCCCGGTCACCGTGAGTGGCTGCCAGCTCCTTAGTGTACGCCATGCACTTCCGATCCCATGCCCTTCTTTTCTCGCCTGTTTTCCACCTTCGACCACCACACCCTCTTCGTGGTCCAACCTCTAACTCAAGCAGGCACTTTAGCCCGTCATGCACATCGTTGAAGCTAGTCCAATCCCCGGTCGAGATGGCCTAAATTATTCCCACAGTTTCCCCGGACTCATCCATGTGCTAGATGAAGGACGTGTAGTCTCCATGAACATATACAACTCCAGATCCGGGGAAGAAGCTTCCTCCTCCACTTGTGCCATTGCAGAAAGGCGAGCTGCCTGCGGCGATTGCTTCTGTGCATTGCTCATTGACTCCTTTCACAATCCTCCTGTTGGCTCTGACCCTGCCGATCTCACGCGACTTCGGCCACGATAACGGATCGGCGCCGTGCTCAGGAGAAGCTCATCGCAACTGCCGTCGCCCGATGGTGGGACACGCCTGCTGCTCTCTTGCAGACGCACGACTTCCAACTGCCAGAGCTCCATTGACTACCGGTTCTCGATCTACCCCGACTGGTTTTTGACCGGGAGAGGAATTTGCTTTCTGAGAACAGTTCTACCAACCTTCGGCACCGATCCTTCCCTGCTGCGCTCGCCAGCTCCTCCCAGAATGTTCCATACCTTTGAAACTGCTCCATATGCCAGCCCCGACCAGGCCGAGCAAAATGCCAGCGCTGCGGCCAAACGGCGGACCTCCACCGTAAGGGCCTGTGAGCCCTGCCGGCGACGCAAAATCAGGTGCAATGGTGAGCATCCGTGTGAGACCTGCCAGTGGTATCGGAAGGCCGCATCTTGCCATTACACCGAGCCTAGGCAGCGGCAAATTCCCTCTAGAAGGTGAGCAGTTCCTCTGCTCGCCCTATTTGGTCACCTTCTTACGTCCGTGACCAGATCGGTGGAGAAGATCTCACAAACTCTCCAAGAGTATCGAGGCATTCTCCAGAAACTCTTCCCTAACGTGCACCCGGACCAGCTGAAAGACCTTGGCCGTGAGAGGCTTGTTGAGCTCATTCAGAAAAGCAGTCCGTTTCATCCTCCTTCTCCACGCACACCCAGCATCGAGGAGAAGCCTCCTCCGGTCAACCCTGATGCTGCCAACCTCGAGCAGCTGCAGCCTATGCCCGAGGACAGCAATGATGGCTTCCCAGAACGCAAACATCATGCTCTCAGAGGCATCACCGACGACGTCAACATGCTCTCGCTCTCTGTGAAGCAAAATCCGTCCTACCTCGGAATATCATCAGTCATGGCAGTCCTACGAGTAATCACTTGGCTTGATCCCGAATGCCTGACGAGGTCCCCCGAGAGGAGCGCCATCCCCACTCGGGAGCCATCACCATCTCCAGAAGCTCGTGCCTCGCAGCATGACAAGCCGCGGACCGACACTCCTGCGGCTCCTGCGTGGGATGAAATCCCCTTGATTAACGCATATTTCACATTCGTCCATCCGTTTATACCTCTGATTGAGGAACAAGCCTTCAGAGACACATACATGGCTGCAAAAAGGACCGATTCCAGGTGGCAGTTGCTCCTCAACAGTGTCCTTGCCATGGGCAGTGTAGCGGCAGGAACAGCCGAGGACACTGGACATCAAGTTTACTTCAATCGAGCAAAACAACACCTCACCATGGACACACTGGATACTGCCCATCTGGAAACCGTTCAAGCTCTTGCTATTCTCAGCGGCTTCTATCTCCATTACATCCAGGTGCCCAACCAAGCGAACAGCCTGATGGGTGCCACTTTGAGGGTCGCCACCATGCTGGGCCTACATCGAGACTATTCTGAAGGCGTTGGGCCTGCGAAGGCTCAAAAGGCGTCGTTCTCTATTGAGATGCGGCGGAGGATATGGTGGTGTACGTTCATGCTGGATGCCTGGGCTGGCAACACCCTCGGCAGACCAAGTATGGGTCGGATGAGCCATGCCATCACAGCAAAGCCTCCACAAGAGCCTATTGGCCAGTCGGAGGCCATGCTGGCGTTGGTACAGGAGAATGTCCGTTTCTGCATCATCAGCACAAGAATGGAAGATGCCCTTGCTGTCTCACCCTTGTTGGAGGAGCACGAGCGCCACGCCCTCGATGCCCTGTATCTGGAATGGTACAGACATTCATCTATCCAAGCGGGCTCGCCGCATCCACATGTCAGCGAGTCACCTGGCATCACAACCCTCAAGAACGTCATGAGGTGGAAGTACCTTTCCAACAGGGTCATCCTCCACCGACCGGTGCTGCTGTGGTACGCCATGCGCAAGATCACCTGGGAAAGACTATCTGAGGAAAAGAAGGCAGCCATTGAGCTATGCCGCGAAGTCTGTGCCGAACTGATCTTCGATATCGCCGCCACTTGGCGTGGTCAAAAAGCCTGTCAAATATCTGGCTGGAATGCCACCTGGCTCATATATCAAGCCGCAATGGTCCCCCTATTGTCACTCTACTCGGATCCTCATGACCCCGAGATCGTGGGAAGCTGCCGTCAACAAGTCGAGATCGCCATACGCACCATCAAAGATCTTCACAGCTGGTGTCCGACCGCTCGCCGGTCTCATGAAGTTCTCATCAGACTCTACGAGGCAAGCAAAAAACATGCAGCTGCCCTGCAGGAGCCACGAGATTTATACATTCCCAACGCCATGGGCACACCCGTATCGACGGGCACTCCAGCGCCACTGTTACACCCACAGCCGACATCCGTCTTACGTCCAACTTATATCGACGTGTCATTCGCCAACGCATATGGCAATCCACAAGACCTGAACACGGCCAACCAGGAAATGTTCATGGACAACATGTTTGATACCCTGAACTGGAGTACCAGCTGGGACAGCCCTATTGGTGGGCCGCAGATGATGAATGGCTGGGACCACAATTCGATGCAGACTTGGGCAGGCAACCCTCAAACGGAGGATACATATTTCTCCTTTGGCTATGTCGATGATGCGACGCAGATGGGTTACGACATGGAGATGGAGCCGCCTAACCCGGGCGATGTACTGAATGGGCACTATGCACAGATGAGACAACGACACCCGATCTAATTCAATCTTGCAAGGTACATTGAGAAAATGTTACAAAACACCTCTGTTCTTCCGGGAGCAGTTCACAGAACCTTTCCTGTCGACACCGGAAAACCAATCATATCTACATGGCTGAGTAGATCTTGTGCCGGACAGGTCGGTTCGTCCCCTCGGTTCCGCATGGCTTCAAGTTTCATACCTGCAGCACCAAGAATGTTGAGCTGTAACTGCCCTGTCGTCATCCGAGTCGTGCTGGGAGCTGAGTACCATCCAACATCTCAAGCTGGTCGGTGATCACGCAAAGACGACCGAGAAGCAGAAGCCTTGACCATGAAAGCCTCTTGTCACCGGTTGCACATACCCGCCACAGGCCGGGCTACTATGAGTAGAGGCCAGGGGCCCCTGTTCATGGTACCCAGGGTGACGTAACGGACAATACCCTGTCCATTGGACGCCATCCAATCCTGCCAAAACATTCATTCGGAACGATAAGGCGCCCCTTGAAGATCGTGTCTGCTCGGTAGCCGCTACAGAACGAATAATATACGACGCGGCGTGCAACGTGCTTCAAGTGAAAGCAAATGTAGCGGGCAGAGGACCTCTTCGACAGACGATCCCCTTTGCAGCCGTCGTTACGGCTAGATGGGTCGCTGGATGGGCCGCTCACTGCATGCAATGCAATGCAGGTGCAACCACAAATGCAACTCTCAACCATCGGCCCAGCTAGTGGTATCTACCCCGGATGTCCGCGAAAACATTTTAGCGCATCTGACATGGTGCGGATTCGCGGAGACGCATTGTTGCATTGACACCTGGACCACACTACCCCATGTATGAGTAGCTTATGTAGTTCCCTGCATGGACTATTGATTATGGGTCATGGGGCATGGGTCATGCTCCGGTGTCGTCCATGGAGGACTTCTCATGTACTATCATACCTCCGCCTCGAAAGACTGGAGAGAGTGCACAACAATAACATGCTAGATATCGGACAGGGTAGGCAGCTAGTTAGTGAGCGAAAACCGTACCGTCACGCGTACTGGAGGGGTGTAAACGCCTGCAAAGACATACCAAAGCCCAAGCTCAGAGCGCAAGCTCAAAGCCACCTCTATGTCCTCAGAAGATGACCTACCAAACACGACCTCAAGCGCCGGCACGGGACTCATTCCGGCTCCAGCAGCAGCACAAATGCCGGCGTGCATGATACATGCCGTGCAAGTCTGCAAGTCAGCCAGCGTGATGAAAGCACTATTTGTGCTGTGCTACATATCATGTCATGTCGAGTTCGGCTGTCCGTGACTCTTGTCACTCACGTCTATGTATTCGTCGACTTCACTCACCCGCACCGACTGTCATCCACCCGCACCACACCACACCAAACAATATACACCGTATATAGCCCTGGATAGAGCCCTCTACAAGTATCAGTTATTTACTTCCATGTCCCAACGAGGAATCGGTACGCGTACGTACCCCGTACACTAGGTAGGTAAGGGAGGCAGGGTATCTACTGTACTTCCCTACATACGGAGTGAAAACGCATCGGATGCCATCTGACTCGCTACGGTATTGTATTGAATGGGATGGAAATTGAAATGGACCCTCCTATCCGCGCTAAAGTCCAGATGACGGTGGCTCAAGATCAACTACATTCCTGTAGGTACCTAGGTAGGTACCTAGGTAGCATTGTCAAACTTGGAAGGACGACCACTCCGAGGTCTCCGTACTCATGTCGATTTATTTTCCAACCGTGGGATCTGTGGCGGGCAGTCCCGTTCCCTGCCCTGTTCAATTCCTTGTTATGTCCTTTGCCCTCACAATGGCAGGACCAGCAGGGCCACGAGATAGTTCATAGCTGAGAGCCTCGAGCTCTCGAGAGACAGACTCAACAAGAGATTGATGAAAATACAAGTGATGCCCCACTACCACAGGATCTCCCCCTTGCCTGGCTTGATACACGCCTCGAATCTCCTACTGTATGTAACATCTCGCATCCTATGTTGTGCTACATACCTTAGGCACTGTATTTGTGCTCCATAAGTACTGTGCTGTGCTCCATACCTACTCTACATCTCGCATCCTATGTTGTGCTCCATAAGGTACCTACTATATGTACTCCGTACATGTATACACAAAATGTAATATAACGGCAATCGCAACACAATCACAATCTCATCGGTATTGCGACAGCAAAACAACGCCAAGCTCCGTTCCACTACGCTTGCCATGCATGTTTATTCCACATATCCAGAGGTCATCCAGCCAGCCAGCCAGCCGACCAGCCACAGGAGCCAATATGTATCTGTATGTATCCACATGCACGCCCAACCAGGCACAGACACAGGCACATGAAATATTCAAAAAGTCCATAATGCCCATAATGCGACCACGAACATGACCATCGCAGCTCCAACAATCATCTCGCGTACCCTCCATGAACACCTTTCTTCCAAAATGTGCCTCTGGATCATTTACAAAATCGTGCCAATCTTAGCATCTCTGCAGGTAATTGCTGGGGACCAGCCCGATACCGCCCTTGACGCCGCGCGCCGACTCTTTGACTTCGGCTTCCCACCATCCATCGTCCTGGAGTCGTAGCACCGCGAGGATATCGCCTTTACTGAAGGAGAGTTCCTCCGGGATGGCGGCTGTGTAGGAGTACATGGCTCGTGCTAATACGGTACGGTCAGTGATATTTCTGACAAGGCCAGTCATGCTTGCTTACCATAATGCAATATGCGCTGTGGCTCGGGCGGCGGTGGTGGCGGACCTCGATACGGAATGCTGGCGAGAGATTTGCTCCTCTCTCTGCGCAACTCAATGTCCATTCCGCCCCCACGTTGCTGTGACTGAGAATGGCGGTCATACCCCTGCTGCTGCTGCTGCTGCTGCTGCTGCTGCTGCTGCTGCTGTTGAGAATACCGATCCCCGCCAAAACTTGAGTTCGGTCGCATCATGTTATGACGACTGCGTCCACTACCACTAGCGCTACCGCTGTGCCCGTCGTAGCGTGTCACATCCTGAGAACTGAGTTGCATTTCCATTCCACTCTCCTGTCGTGGAGCGTGGCTTGACCTTGCATCCGGCCTTGGTCTACCTGCATACGGATTTGGCGATGCTGCCCGGTATTGTTGACTTCCTGGTCTTGCGCCTTGTTGTTGCGCCATAGGGTTCGGACTCGCTGCCCTGGGCATCATGCCAGGCGCAGGGCTCCTCGACCGAGGCTGATATGCATCCTGTGCGTGCGGTAGCGGGCTCGCGGCTCGAGGAATCATTCCCGGAGCTGGACTTCTCGCTCTCGGAGGCTGGGTGAATTGGCCTTGTGGTTGCGGGCTACGTGATCGAGGAGGTTGACCGTACTGCGGTTGCGGACTGCGTGCTCGAGGAGGTTGATTGTAAGATTGTGGTTGAGGACTTGCTGCACGCGTCATGCCTGGTGCGGGACTTCGACGGCCATCTCGTGTCCCTGGCCTCGGTGATTGAGTCTGGCTGCCGTTGAGCCGGTTCGTACCCCAGGTTTCAGTGCGATTGAGCATTTCTCGCTTGGTGTGGGCAGGTTGAGGGACACCGAGCGCTGTTTGGACTCGGCCTACTGGTCGCGGCTCTGCGCCTGCCGTCTCATAAGCCGGCGGAGGTGTGCCTCTCTGAGCAGCCAGTCTTGCTTGACTTTCTGCGCTCAGCATGCCTGGTCGAGTGAGTGGTTCCTGCTCTGGGGCTGGAGTGGCCACGCCGTGGTATCGGTCCACCGCAACACGAGTACTCGCCTGCTTGGCCATACCACTACTGCTGCCAGAACTCTGCTTCAAATCCGCCAATGCCTGTGCGATTGGATCATGCATTGGGTCATCGGTCAAAGTGGAAGCTGTCGGAGCCGGGAGGAAGCCGCGTCGGCTGGCAGCACTAGCCTTTGGTGTTGTATCTTGGAACCCATCAGGACTTGCCACGTCGAAGACGTTATTGCCAATGTTGAGCTGGAAGTTTGCTCGCGGATCTGGGGCCTCTTCACCCTCGGGAGCCATGTCAGCTACATTGCGGTTGAAGTAACTCTGCTGTTGCCGCACTGGGGATTTAGTCGGACTTGACTGGGCGCTCGAAACTGTGGGATTTAGGTTGATACGACCATTCGTGGCTGATGCTCCGTTCCATGAACTACGATTCGACGAGAGGTCGCTCGCTGTCGGGTTTTCATGCTCCTTCCTCGACTTTCTGCGGAATGGGCTGTTGGAGAAGAATCCCGATCTCTTCTTATGCACAGACTTTTCCGGCGATGTCATACCTGGCAACTGAACTCCGTTGACGGGCGCCATTTTCGTGGGCGAAGCCGCTCCAGACGACGGTTCAGCACTAGTGAACGAGCTTGGAGCAGAATAGTCGCTCTGGTCATCGCGACTTTCAGGTCGAGTGTTTGAAGACAGAGCTGAACCGGCCACAGACGGTGCATCTGAGCGGCAAAACATGGTCATTCCCTCGGTCGGGTATTGGTTGTGCGGCACCTGAGGGACTCCCCCGTGTTGGCTCGGCGAGTAGTTTGGCGGCACATTGGTAGCTTGCGGTTGCTTGTAGTTGAGAGGCGGCGGGCGGCCACTATTGGGATTTTGAGGCGTTGGCATGTCATCTTCATCCGGTCGCGTCGGCTCCTCCGAGCGTCGTTCTGGTGTCTGGCTTCTTCTTGGCTTCGAGCTTGCGGAATGTGTCGGTGAAGACGATCTGAAAGCGGGATTTGTGGTTCTCGAGAATTGTGCAACCGAGTAGTCATCCTCTGAGGCTTCCGATGCGCTGTCAATGTCATTTCTGGCAAAGTTGATGTATCGCGGAGGGTCAGGGATTTCTTGTCCTGTACCACAAGTCTTGATGAAGCTGGCGATATCCTTCTCCACCTCACAGTTCTCAAGGGCGAGGCGAATCTTCTCACACGACGAATCGTCGGATACGCAAACGGTGCTGGCAATGTTGGCGAAAGCCCACAGGGATGACTTTGTGAAGTCAAGCCGTTCTTCCTCGAGATCTTGGAATTTGTCGCAGGCAGCCTTCCATTCCTTGTTCCAACGGCCGGTTGTTTCCTCCAGCACCTTGACAGCAGCCTCGTATTCATTCGAATTCGACGCCATGTTGATCTGAGTCTTCTCCAACTTGGCCTTGTTCTTGCGCTCCTCTTGTCCCATGACCATGTGGCCCTGAGCGAGATATCCCTTGATCCGGAGACAGTCCTGTTCGTATTTGTCCCGACACTTGTTCACGTGAGCTGTTTGGGTTTGCTTCATTTTGTGGAGTCTCTCGATCCCATTCTGGATAATCTTCCTCCTCTCTTTGATCCCACCTGCGAATGCCGCTAGGGGCTCTTCCAGCTCGGACCTCATCTGCTGGGCGATCACGGCGTGCTGCTTGCCCATCGACTCTGTCTCTCCTCGAGCGACATCGAGACTGGCGCGTAGAGACCCTTGTTCCACACTGCCGAGGGGTTTTCGGGACAGGCTGAGCAGCTTTTTAGCGTAGTCTTCCTCGAGGGCGGCGCGGGCATTGTAGAATGCCTTGAGTTCGTCGCAGGTTGTTTTGGCATTTTGCATGCGGGTGAGCAGAGGGTCGACGCCAGCGTCATCGCGTCCCCAGAAGTTATTGGAAACTAGACGACAGTCAGTCGCGTCAGGTAGGCCGCAGAGACGGCGAACTCACAACTCAGCGGCACAGACGGAGGGGCGCCCACTTCCGAGGCAGTGCCTACTGGCATTGTGCCAGCTTAGGAAGAATGGTTCTACTATCTCTTGGTAACGGCTCAAAGGCGGTAGATACGGTGTACTGTATGCTGTATGCAGTATGCGGTGTCGTCGGGGTTCAAGCAGATACTGAGGATTGTCAAAGCAGCCGATGGGCTGTGAAAGCGAACCCAACGACGAATTCGTACACAGAGTTGGTCACCCCAGCAACCACGAACCGCCAGCAGCCTTGCCGCGCGTATCCGCGTCTCAGCCTCGCGTTGTGGTCCTAGTGGCCGTTTGCTTCACTTCAGTCTCAACGGCTGCCGTTGTGGTCATCAGCTACTTGTTTATGACTTGTTTATGGAGTAAAGTCCGCGCATGTAAGGCGCTCCCAACTGTCCTCGTCCCGGTCCAGGTGATCATTCAACTTCAAACATGTAGCCCCATCCCTTCACCAGCCTCGTGTCTACCTTTACAATCTTCAGCATACCCCAGACGACGCTGGCCACAGTGTCGAGAACAATGACAGAAGCTGACTTCTCCCAGTGCTCGACGCGTTGCGCTGCCCGAAGATTGGTACAGAAAGTGGACAAGACATTTGCGCCATTCGACGCCACATCCATCACCATCCCGTCTAAAGTGGCATCGTCCACTTTCCCGATCTCATTGTTGTCCGTCATCCCGAGGTGGCGATCCCAGGTCGCGTTGATATCCACACCAATTGCTGCATAGTTCTGTCGGATCAAGCTGTTCAGCTCTTTTCGATATGGTGTCACGAGCCCGAAGGAGATGACACCCAGGCTACGTAGAATCGAGTTGAGCGACAATACGGATGTCGTGGCTTTGATACCGGTCTCTGCTTCGATTGCTGCACAGAGTTTCTCATCATGCTCGAAGCCGAGCCAACCCGCACTTGTACCACTCCAACCGATTACATCCACTTTCGCATCTGCGAGCAGCCTGGCAGCGTTCAGAATCGGCGAGAGCTCGAATTGCGCATTCGCCTCGGGGGAAACGTCGATCGTAGTCACTCGGAATCGTGAGAAGTGTACGGAAATGGCGACATCCTTTGATTGGATTGACGAGACGATGGCATGGGTAAGAGGCTCCACAGCCGTATTTGATGACGGCACAAGTACTCCAAGCCGAATAACCCTCATTGTCGCGCCTGTGCCAGTGGTTAGGAGCGCCAATAAGAACTGAAAAGATGCCCTTACGGTAAAAGGTCCAGTGGCACTCGGACAGTAGACAGAGTGAACAGGGTGGCTCGCGTCCCTCAGCTCGGAGTTCGACGTCTATCCCGCCAAGACGCATGTCCCGTAGTCTGGACAAATGCTCCGTAGCCGGCTCTGCCGCAATTCGAGACAAGCCCCATCACGGCCTGCGAAAACGCCAGGAAGCTGCCTCAGAACATCGCTCCGTTCATACAATGAAGACTAGTCCCTCTGTTTCGTCCTTCACTGTTACTCATTCTCTACAAAGGAGTTTGCCAGCCTGCCGAAAAAGGGGACCTCGAAGTGATCAAGTGTCTCGACATCTCTGTAAGCATGAAGTGACAGAAACCCGATGAGAAGCAGGTCGATGGCGAAAAGCATCCAGGAGAGAATCTTTGACCATGCCAAGATCAGGTGCAGAACGAATAATGCCGCGAAGAGCATGCTGGACTGCCATGCATGGAATCGGACGTAGTCGCTTTTGTGCTCAAACATGAGGAGAAACACGCCTCCAGCAGGAGGGAGTAGCAGGTATGCCAGCATTGCTTCATGGTCCACCCTCATGGGCAGGCTGGTCTCAAACGCCTCCAAGCTCTGACCTCGCTCAATTCCAGCAACCGACGGGCGTGCAGGAAAGTCACCAGCAAAGGAACTCGGCGGAGGAAGCGGTTGGACGTCGGAGATGGTACGACCACCACCATACCCAGGTCTGTTTGGGGGAGGAGGCGATCGGATCCGAGGGGAGTCTATCGAGGGTCGGTCCTTAGGAGGAGGTGAAAAGGCACGCTCTCTGTTCGTAGGTCAGTCAGTCATCATTGCCCGTTGAGCGGTGACTGAAGTGCAGCTTACATTTCGGGGGACGCATCCTGGTAGGGCGCGAAGTTCATTGTTTACCTTTGGTCCCTGCGGGTGTCGGTGCTGCAGGGTGGTGGGAAGGCCACTTGGAGCAAAAGGTCTGAGTTCTGTATTTCAAAGAGCGCTCTGCACAGATACCCGCTTAGAGGACTGAACAGCTGAGATGAGGCGACCTGAGCTGGGCTAGGAAAGAACTTGGTGTTGGCTATTATTGAGCCAGTCGACCGAATAAAATTACCTGCGCTGCGCCGCGTCCATACGTGAGCCTTCACCGGAGCTTCGGGCTTGCACAATAGGCTTGAACCTACGCTTAAGCTTGGCGGGTCCAGCAAAGCAACTACCTACTGTAGGAAGTGAGGAGGCACGAGCTCACGTGGGCGTTAACAGCAAATCGTCTTTGATGTCAAAAATAGAGACGAGAGCTCTGGACAGAATCGTCCTCGTTCATTACCTCGTGGATATTCGACCATTCACCCTCATAGCTCCCCATTCATCCAACACGCTCTTCCCAAAACCATGTTCTGCCACAATTACACTCAGTCTACTTGTGGGCACGCGGGTTGCGAATGCCCCTGCGACAGGGTCCAGTTACTGACTCCAGTTCGCGACTGCCTGCACATATCTTGAACCAACAGGTCCGCGCAGCTCGACCGTCTGCTATCCGTCCAGCACGCAATCGGAGTCAGGGAACATGAAGCACTGCTTGTGCCGTGACTTCGGCTGACCGCTCAGCTGGGTCGCTTCATGTTTGCAAAGCAGCCCCCAACAACAATGACGTCGAGCTATGCCTTCGAGAAGGTCCTGTTTCTGCGTAAGGCGTTACCAGCGTTGTGTCATTGTTACTGGTAGCTCAGCCATGTCGAGATAGAAGCGTGACAATACATCACATTTGTCGAAGCGGCATTCGGTTTCTTACATTCGCCGCCGGTCCGTTTAGCAGTCAGGCACACTGACTGGGATATGAAGCGGCACGCTCGTTGCCAATCCACTCAAACTCGTCTCCTTGAATTCATTCCTCATTCCCTTGGCAGTCAGGCGCATAGCCCGGATGGCATCGTCGAGTCTCACTTTTTGCGTGCCTGTTTCGCTGCTGAGCGCCAGGTTGGCACTCGAGATGGCCTTGATGGCACCCAGAGCGTTCCGCTCTATGCAAGGTGCCTGGACCAGACCGCCAATAGGGTCGCACGTGAGACCTAGGTTGTGCTCGATACCGATCTCGGCCGCCTGTTCAATAGCCTCTGGACTGGCCCCCATGCACGCTGCAAATGCGCCAGCAGCCATGGAGCAAGCAACACCTACTTCTGCCATGCACCCGCCCTCGGCTGCGGAGATGGTAGCGCCACGCTTGTACAACATGCCGATGGCAGCGGCCGTCAGTAAGAAGGTCATCACATCACGTTCCGCATCGTCGCTAACGAATTCGATCGTGTACTTCAGCACAGCGGGGATAATGCCCGCGGCCCCGTTCGTAGGAGCTGTCACGATCCGTCCACCAGCAGCGTTGGTCTCATTGACGGCTATAGCGTACACAGTCAAGTAGTCCATGGCCGGGAAAGTGGTGCGGCGCAGGGGTGACGGAGGAATGGGATGCTCCAGGGACCCATGAACGCGGAGCGGCTGTCGCCTTCCCACGCCGGTCGGTACCCGAGTCACTGCTGTAGGTTTCGATTCAGGCAGGGATTTATTGCTCCTCTTTTGGGGAGGTTGTTCCTGACTTCCGACTCCTCGGGCACCTTGCGTGTGGGAAGGATAAAGCCCCCTCGTAAGCCGCTGGTACAATGCTGGAGCTCGTCGATGCAGCTTCAACGACCCTGGCAAGGTGGAGTCTTGCGGTGCCTGGACACCTTCGAGGATGCTGTCGTCCATGACCCGCCAAATCCGAAAGACCTTTTGATATATGTCCTCGTCTGAATACCCGTGGCTCTTTTCGTTCTCAAAGACCAGCTGCGCAATGGTCAGGTTATGTTTGTGGCATAAATGTAACAAGCTGGCAGCATTGCGGAAGGGGTAACGGGGCTGATGGGACGCGGTACTGTCGCCGGAATCAGGGCTAACACCTGTCGTCCCGGCCGCCGCGGGCGACAAGGCGGTTGACCTAGACTCTGTCACAATCTCAGGCAGGTTAGTAGGATTCGCAGCGGCGTCGTCCGGGGCTTTGATCTCTGCTCCTGTTTTCCGATCTCCCGCTGCATCCGCTCGCCGGATCTCCTTGTAATACATGTTCTCTGATAGATCAGCTGGATGCTGTCCTGAATCCCGGATCATCAAATCCTGTGTGTTTTCTGAGGGGCCATTGGGCGGAGCCTGCGAATCTGGGCTGGAAGCTGGATTAATAGAAAGCGCGCCGTTGACGACAAAGCCGCCACCAACACTAAACAGATCGTTGGTTGCTAACATGTCGCCTTCCTCATCAAACACGGTTAGGCGCATGCCATTGCTGTGTACGGGCAGCTTTCTCCCCCATTCCCAGACAAAATCGCGCTCATAATCAAAGGCCACCTCTTTGCCCTTGCCAGCTGGAAGGCCACGGCCGAGGAAAAGCCTCTTCCCGGTTTTAATCTCAGCAAAACGCTTGGGCACGTATGACGTGTCGACGCTCTCGACGTCAGCACTCTCCAGACCCAGTAGCAAGGCCGACGGCGTCATGTGGCCCTCACCCGTAAGAGCTAAACTGCCGTAGATGGAAACACGTATCTTGTTAACCCTGTGCAGCAGATTGGCCTCCGCGAGATCCGCCACAAAGATGTTGCCAGCACGCATAGGTCCGACGGTGTGGGACGAGGACGGGCCAATGCCAATGGAGAAGAGGTCAAAAGTTGAGATGACCGCATGCTCATGCTCTGCTTCACTGTACGTGCCACTGTCTTCATCATCGGGGTATGGCTTCGGCGATGTTGTGCTCAAGTGACGAGAACCAGGGGCTCCGGACACAAGAGAAGCTCTGGTCAATGGGCGCCGATAACTTCCTGCCGTGTCAAGGCGTCTATAACTTGTGTCGATCAGCCGTCCTCGTAAGCTGAAGGTCGAAGCACCAATGACCCGTGGCAGGGCAAACCAGAGGCAACTCGTGCGTTTCATCACGCCAAAGGTTGCGATTAGCGAGCGACTGCTGCCACGGTCAGGGCATCGAGTAACCACACGTAGAGGATTCTTCACGGCGGCTTCGTCGACACAATAATAAACAGCGTCGCGGGGTCTTGGCAAGGGGTAACGTCACCTTTTAGGGTTTAGCCCTAAATGCCACCCCCAGTATCAAGGGCTGGCAGGATCTTCGCCACTGGACAGAGTGAGGAATGCATGACCAGATATGTGCGGTCCAAGCTCGGTCCTCCTCGGAACTGCTCCAGCAACGACTGCAAATGGGCACAGATATCACCTCGAGTCTACGCTGCGCAGCGGAGAGGGTGGGCTTTGCTGGCAGGACCAGGCTCTCACACACGCAGGCATGGCTCGAAATCTAAAGAATAGGTGATACCCACAACGCATGTACATGTCAACTCTAGTCCAACGCTGCTGAACTTCAAATTCGAGTTCCCCATCCTGGTTCTCAGCGACCGTCTGATTGGTAGACCATGATTGTCCCGCCATTGAGGTGAGAGTATTGAATATGACGAGCTCTGGACGGACGATGGAACGAGGCCAGCCGAGCTGGAGTTAAGTGAGAAAATAAAAAACCTGCGTAGCGCTCCGAGGCATATGAACGAGGAGGGTTTGGTGGTTTGAAAGTCCATCTCATGAGATCATGTATGTTCGGGGCAGGGTGGTATAAAAATAGTAGCAGGGTAAACACGGCTAGACAGCATCAAGTTCAAAGTCCCAAGGCTGTCCGAGTCATCGAGGTCAAAAAGGGGAACCGGAGACCATGTGGTAAAGAGGCCTCGATATCGTCATCCATAATGTCCGGGCTCGCTGGTGAGGTGCTTTCTGCATGATCAGGCATCTGAAGTGGTATGTTTATGCTGGATTTTGGTTGAAAATTGATGGGTCAATGCTACTGAAGGATGGGCGACGATTTGCTACTTCATCCGTGGAATTCCAAAACGCTGTAACTGAATTAACCAAAGATAATTGTTCCAAACAACCCGAAGACCTTCTTGACGCAGGTCCTGCACCACAGCATCTCAGAATCTATCAAGGGTAACGAAGAGCATTTGGCTAATATCTGCAAGAAGGCTTGTCGATCCAAGCGTCGAGTCAAAATAACATATTACTTCATATCTTGTGTTCTGATTCATGATGGGATGAGGCTGGCCGAACTATCGCGAGTATCTTGCGCACGACAGTATCTGTGTTTTGAGAAGGCTCGGATAACACGTCAGGCGACACACTTACGGCCTCAAAACTTCCTTCGAGGTCGAAGCCGGTCAGGGAGGGTGCCTAGTTGTGTTTTAAGGTTGAGTAGGACGCCCTTCCTGGTCCTGGATATGCCTGCAGGCATAGTCTCATCGCCAAAGGTTCCCTCGCCGCATCCATTGCAACCGCAGAGGCACTGCGCGAGAGCCGCCGAGAAGGGCGCCTTAGCCTCCTTGAAACACCATCTGAGAGGATGTGAAGTGCCCGGCTTCCCTTGTGCTTCCAGCGTTGGTGTCATTGACGCTCGCATTCAACCCCATATGCCAGCATTTGCGGTGGCAGCAGGATCGAGGCAAGCCTTTGAGTGTGTTCTTGAACGCGCCAAGGACATCGTAGCCAGGGCACATGATCTGCTTGACCGTCCTGATTGATAGAGGCGTGATGCGAGGTCAGGGAACCAATGAAGCTCAGGCGAAACTTCAATCGACCAATGATAAATGGCGGTCGAGAAAGGAAGTCTCTTTTCGCTCCCATCTCGCACATATGAAGGTTCCGCTTGTGCGTGCAGAGAGGAACAATTTCAGCCTCTCGAAAAGACAAAGACCCGTCTACAAGTCGATATTGTGTCTTGAGCTGACCTTGTTCCGAGTTAGAGCTTCGAAGTTCGTTTTGCTGATATGGCAACGCGAGGCGCGTTCCACAAGCCTTTCTTGCCAGCAGATTGCCCTCTGAGCCTCACCACAACGCTGCGCAGGGTGGTAATGTTGAGGGCAATGGCCACCCGTCTGAACGAGCCGAGTCTTCTGATTTATGAAAACGCAGTTGGAACCTTTTCAACCTCAACCACGCCCCCTCGTGCCCCTACCCGCGGTACCCCGGCCAATACCTGAAGTGGTCCTCCTTGTCGAAGATGTCCCTCGCCTGATACCGCTGGAATTGGTGCCACCCATCTGAACATAGGATGACGAGGGCGTGTGCGCAACCGACCCTCGCCCAGCAGAAGGCGCCCTCGATGTGCCTCTCGAAGTGCCGGCTTTGGTAGGCTTGACGACTGCTTCTGTTTTCCGCTTCTCCTCTTCGTCTGCGCGTCTTGCTGCTGCTATCTTTCGCTCTTCTTCCTCTGCTTCTCGTCTCTCGGTAGCACGCTGCTTCTGTAAAGCTTCCTCCTCGATGTTGGCAATATCCTGGCTGGCACCCTGCCACGAGGGGTCGAGGATGAGTCGTTGGTTGTGTTCGGTCTGAGATAATATCCGAGTCCATGTGTTGAGTAACGCAGAAGCAGCCGAGACAGTGTTATTGAGGGTCTGGTGGCTTCAGTCAGTATGAGACGTGTAGGGTAGCCCTCCTGTCCACTACCTTCATGTTGTCTTTCGCCTTTCGCAAACTGAGAGTCACGCCTTGAATTGCTTCATTGACCTGCCGGACGCTTTCCAGTTCCTGACGCAGGCTTTCGTCACGTTCTCGTTGCTCCTGGTATGTAGGTTTTGTTGAATGGGCCTGCTTGCTGGTGTCTTCTGGCTTGGAGGGAGAATCCCACAAGCTCTCGTCGAGGTCGTCAATAGGAAGAGAATTGCGGTGATTCATGATGGCAGGAGCAAGGAGAAAATGCTGTAACAACGTGGAACAGCATTTACCGTTATATTTTAGTATGTGTACTCCGTACAGAGTAGACAGTAAATGGTCCGCAAATGTGCACATGGCGACCACTTCGCGCGTGGTGGAGGGATGTGGAGGGACGAGCGCGTTCGGGCTGCAGCCACTGGATCGCCTACGCCTCGCAGCAGCGGAGCCCGCAGCTGGTGGCGCCACTACTGGGTACAGCGCACACTGCATTCCCAGCCACGTCAATCACCGCCCAATGGACAAGGCCCAGCCTCCAACATCGACCTCATCGTTGACCTCCTTCTATCTGTAACTCCCAATGCTGCCGATTCCTTCCAACATACCATACGCGCATTCAGTCGGTCGTCTTACCATACATTACACCTTGATACTCTGAGTTCCTGTGCGGCCCCTACACTGGGACTTCACCCTTGGGGTCCGGCAGTCGATTGACGGTTACTTCACTTTGTTCCTGAGCGCTCAGCAACATGGCTTCAACTCCGCCGCTTCAGATCGCATCCACCCCTCAAACTCCTCCCACACCTTTACACGGCACTACCTATGATTGCCGTCCTACTAGAGCCAGCTCAAGAATCGCAGCAAGACAAGTCCGTTTAACTCCTGATGCGCCCCAGCCAAGTACCAGACCCGATGCAACAGTGACAACCCCAAAGTCGTCAAGGCAGTCCAGACAGAGACAAACTGCACCAGGTATTCACTCGCCTGATTCAACGCCGCGGAATAAGCAAACTCGCCGGGTGCAAATCATCTCTCCCTCCTCTCCCGAAAGCGAGACTTTGCCGTCCAAGCAAATGACACGCTCCAAAGCGCACCTGCAACCCTCTACTTCCTCTTCAACTATAATATCCGACGGCATGCTCCCTACCCCAGTCAAGACCCCCAAGAAGAAAATGGTCGCCAAGGCGAACAATGCTGCTCGAGCACTGTTTCAAGAAAACCCCGACATGGTGGATTTTGAGCCAAGTCCGAGAAGAAATCGTAAGAACAAGCGCTACAATGGCTTCTCCCTCGAGAGCTTTTCTGCCGAAGACGAAAATCATGGGCAGATTCAGATCTTCACCGACTCACGGGATAGAGTTCCGCAAGTCGACCACGGCCGATCCAATCCCTTCGTGGACCACGAGGTGAATAGCGAGGCATCGACCAGTCAAAAGGTCGAAGGAACTTCGAAGCGGCGCAAGCTCAGTGGGGAGAGAAAGAAGGTAGATCCTCAAGTGGCGGCGGCCATTCGAGAGGACGAGGGCATGGTCTACGTCTTGTAAGTCATCTCACTGACTACCATTGCGTCGCCTACTAATCATTTTCTAGTCGCGGCAAGAAGGTCTACAGACGATTTGACGACGAGGACGACGAGGAAGAGGAGATTGAGGATGATCTGGGCCTCCTTGAACACTCACCCGAATCGACCACCCATTCGCTCCGGACTCTCACACGTCGCTCAATCAAGCCAAAACGACTATTCCAGACCGAGACGCAGAAAAAGGCACGCAAAGCCCAGGAGGAGGAAGAAGCCTTGACGGACATTGAAGAACCAACTGGTCAGACAGCGAATGCCGATGTGTCTAGTCCTGGTTCGCCGAGTATCCAGATGGGAAGGTCACTGCGGTCATCTGGGAAAGCTCTTCTCTTCACATATGAAGCCGAATCGCACGATGCTGATGCGAGCTCGAATAAGAAGACTAGCCCCTTTGATACTTGGCCTAGACTCAAGTCTGGTGGTAGATCTTCATCCGGAGGTCAGAAGGGGAGAAAGAGGGGTGCTCCAGACGCTGCTGATGACACCGTCGGAGTAGCAGCAGTGGAGTCTAAGAGAACGAGGGTTTGAATCAGCGAGCAGTAGGCCGACATCCTCGCCACGGCGCGTCTTCAGCAACTCTTTCTTGGGTTGTCGATCCCGGGGACTTGTATAATCCAAGGCGCAAGGCCTTGGATTGTCCGGTGTGGGCAAGACTTGTATTCTTCTCGAGCGACGACTTGTTTTTTTTTTTTACGACCTGGAGTGGCTTGAGGGCTGAATGAGTTCCCTCTATTCAGGCATTGCAGGCTTTAACCATATGTGTCAAAAGCAAACCCTCGAGATAGTACAATGACAGAGCGAAACGAGATTGACATGCCCAGCCCTTCCTGCTAGTGAATTTCTTAAGAGGCTGTTGTGACGCTCACGTGATATGTGCCAAGGCGTGAAGGAGAAGGACAAGGACGACTGGGCCGTCCTCGACAGCCAGCACATCCTGTCTCCAAGTTGTTCCTGCTGTCACATCTCATCAACATTTAGTCTTTCTCTCATTCACGCGGTGAACCACTGTGTTCTAGACGCTTGCTCTTTATCGCTTACCTCTCCACCTCTCTCGCGTTCCCTTCACCTGCACTGCGTCTGGACACAAACCGTGCAACGTGACTGCTCCTCCCCGCAAACCCTTCGTACACACCACCGCCCTTTCCAAGGTCATGAATGCTTCCCATGATCACCAGTCCTGCCGCGTCCGGCCCCTCTTCGCTCTCAAAGATATCCGCGACTCAGATTCTCCTGCTTCTTGATACCATCAGCGAAAGAGAGGGAAAGCAGAAGTGGGAGGCCAAGAGGGAGAAGATTCAGCGACTGCTTGACTCCAACGGCATGGAGGTCTTTTCCCAGTTCCTCCGGCGCGCCATCTCCCTCAACAATGCCGCCATTTTCCAGGGAGCCAAAGATCATGACCAGGGAAGCTACAGATTGCTACACGAACAGTTGGACAAAGTCGCCTCAGATCCAGAACAACCTGCAAAGATTGCCGAGGCCATCGACACCTCTAAGGAGGACTCCTTCCGCGATTTCGATCTAGTGGCCTTTATCCAACACTTCTTCCCTTCCGACACTCTACCTCAAGTCATCCTCGCTGTCGCCTTCACAAAATGCTCTCGAGTCGACCTGAGAACAAAAGCCGAGAGCTTCTTGACAAACTTCGCCCAGTCCTCTCTGCGGACTCTGTCAGAAAGCCGCAGCGCCAGTTCACCCTCCTTTGCCGCTGAGAATATCTGCTCGGTAGTTGAGTACTTCTCGTTGGCCGCTGCTTCAATAACCACCCAAGATCAAAAGGACGACCTCTGGCGGGCCATCACACCTCGATACACAGGGACCAAGCCCGAACTATTATATGGTGCCTATATGGTCACGCGCCTCCCATCCGAAAATCGAGACATTGCACGTGGCCTGCTGCGCCATGGGCCTAAAGTACTCGCGTCGGAACAAGCAGCTCGAGATTTTCTGGCATCCTTGCCTGCGCCCACCATCACTGAACCCCAGGCGGCCAATGCCATCCTATTCCTGATCCTTACCGTCAACCAACAATACGAATTGTTGAATCTAGTGGAAGCTCTCCGGGTGAGACAGCTGGACTGGAACCTGGTCATCCAAGCATTCGACATCCCGGGTCTTCGGTTGCGCAGGACAGAATTCCCAAGACTGTACGGGTCCCTACTGCATGTTGCACAGGAAGATACACACCTGGACATCCAGAGACTCTGGGGAGGAACCTGGCAAAATCCAGCTACCCAGATTTCACTTCTCGCTGGATTCCTCGCTGCTCCCCCAACAGTGGTACGCGTTGCGAGAATACCGCATTTGCGTCCGACTCTGCCTCAAGATGAGTTAAAGAAGCTGTCCCCCGAAGTCGTGAATTTGATCAGTGCGGACCTGGAAACTCCATACGCCTCCGCCGATGCTTGTCAGGCCATCTTTGAGGTCGTCCTCGGTCCAGCGACCGGGCCAGATGGAGAAGATGCAATGGACATATTGCAAGACGTCTATCAAAATCACGCAGCCATCTTCCTGCTGTTCCTTGCCCGCACTAATGCCAAACCGTGGGCGAGTGACCAAGAGAAATTCATCGCGGAATGCTTCAGCCTTTTCCTTGAGAAACAACGCCCCGATTATCGTCCGGTCCTACAGGCTCTCGCGACACAGAATCCTCAATACCTCTTCGAACTTTGCCATCTAGTCTTTCAGAACGATCCTCGCCAGACAGAAGTCATCTATGAGCGCGCCGAGGAGTTTGGGTGGACTGAAGAATTTCTTAAGCATTGGACCAACCCCTTGGCCCTCGATATCGCCTGTATGCGCGACCGGCTGCGACAGGACTTCGACCTTGAACGATATCTCGCAGAAGCCGCAGAGGGGCAAACGAACCTGGGTTTGATCCTCGCCAAGTACCTCCGGATCAAGGCAGACGACGAATTCAGGGTTCAGCGTGGTGGAGCACCGCCACAATCAATTCCACTCACTCTGCGAAACGTACATACTCTCCTGGAAAAGGTCGAAGACAATCTGGATGATCGTGACGCCGTCGAAAGCGCCCAGACGACATGCTTACAAACTTATCCGCGATTAATGAACTATGGAGCAGGTTTTGATGACATCTTGGAAAGAAGCAGTGAAGAAAAGGGCAATAAGCTTTCCGAAGTTATTGACAAACAGATGTCCGAGCTGTTTGGGCGCATGTATCGAGGAGAGCTGTCCATTCGCGACATGGTCAACGAAATGCGCAAGTTCAAAACGTCGACAGATCCAGACCAGCAGGATCTCTTCTGCTGCATTGTTCACGGGTTGTTTGACGAATACGTCTGCTACAGCGAATATCCGGAAGACGCTCTGGAGAAAACTGCCCTTCTGTTCGGCAATATCATCAAGTACAATCTTCTCCCTTCCATTCCCCGAGATTTTGGACTTGCTCTCATCCTTCGGGCCGTCCGCGATCACGAACCGGACACACTGATGCACCGCTTTGGCATAGAAGCATTACTGCAGATCAGCGATCAACTTTCGGAATGGCCCGGCTTGTGCAGTCTTCTCTTGCAAGAACCTTCACTTCATCAACATGCAGAGCTTATGCAGCGAGCCGAGGAGGGCCTCCGCGCCCAACAGGCAGCTGGTAATGGCAACGGCCACGGCCTCGGGGCCAACGGTATTGGCAGCGGTCACACAG